TAAATATTAATTATCAAAGTATACATGAGAATTTATTGTAAGACTAAGGTCATTAAGCTCTTTTAAGTTTTCAAATGATTATTTATAATGGCAGATGATTTTATCATTTAATTATGAGTTGGCTAATGTCATATTTAATTGATGCAATTAATCAAATCTAGACACTTATTATATATATTTATATAAATTTTATTCATTGTATTGAGTGAGGTCTGTAGAGAGAGATGTAACCATGCTATAGCTATTCAAAATCTACAATCCTAATAAGTTGCTAAAATTCTTATTTTCATTTGTTTATATTTATTCTTCAATTTTCAAATATTTTATCTTCCTCTAAAATTTTTCTTCAATTTCATTGTGAATTTCTTATTGTTTTTCATCAACATATTGATTTTAATTTTACAAAATTAAACTAAAGTATTCTAAATTGCTTAAAAAAACTGGAATTTTTTATAAATTACTCTAATTTAAGTTCGAAAGAATAAGGTCAAGCTATAATTTTTAGAGTTAATTTTATTATATAATAGAGTTTACTAATTATTATGTTACTTAAGTATCAAGTTAAGTTTATATTAATTTTATTTTCAAAGTTTATAAATGCTTAAGCTGGTGCTAAATAATATTGAAAAATTATTAAGGAACTTATATTTCAGACAAATTAATCTTGAGTGAGCTTAGATTTTGAAAATTTGTAATAGTTTTATTAATTTATTCTGATTATTCTGGAGTAATTTAAACATTACAAAAATTTAATTTAAGTTGTTTTATTTGTTATTCATTCATTTATTTCAAAAATTCTAGAATATAGTTATTATTAGACTCATTAGTAGTATTAATTATACCTAGCTTTTAGATTTAGATATTTTGATATAAAACTTTAGCTAATTCAATTATTAGCTCTTATTTTATATCTAAAATAGAAGAGTCAAAACAAATTTTAATTGATGAGTTTAGCTACTTGTTTTTAAGTTACTAACTTAGATTAAAAAGTATTTCTGAACTCAAGTCCAAGATTTGAATATTTAAAATTGTATTTTACATATTTTGGCTTTCATTTAATGATTTAGTTTGAAAATCTTTTTATTGATTCATGTTTTTAAAAGGATTTTGATTTTTTAAATTTTCCATTTTTTTTCGCTTTACTTTTTTCACTTATTTTTAATTAGCCAAGCTAAATGGAAATATAATTTGTGGTCAAAATAGTAAAATATAATACTAATAACAATCAATAAATAAGGGATTTCTAAATAAAATATCTCATCTACTTAGATACTCGAATATTTTTATATCATAAAAAACATTATAAATTTGAATTATAGAGTTAATACAGATAGATAAGATAATTCAGTAAATAATATTTATTCAAAATTTAAAAGTAGAATAAGAATTAATATTTATCTATTTAAATAAATAATTATCTAAATTTTTAAATCAAAGTATTTATTTATTTATAAAAACAAAATAGAAATTTAAAAATTTTAATTCAGAAAAATTAATTGAATATTAACTTATATGTTCAAGTTAATTTAATATGTAAAAATAAACAATGCATGAAAACTGATTGCCTAATATTCAATATTTGGGGTAGCTATATTTATGTAAAACAAACATCAAATTTTAAATAAATACACTTTTTATTATTTAGAAATCTTATAAATAACAAATAAAAATAATAATTTAGTACACATGAAAATATTAATAATTAATTTTAGCTTAAATTTTTTTAATTTTAAAACCTATTTTAAAAAATGATCAATATTTTGAAAACTTGAATAGGAAAACAAAACATAAATTATTTATACTTTTTCGGAGCTGAATTAAAATTAAAAAAAAATTATCTATGTTATTTTAGTTAAATATCAAAACAAAAACATAAAATAAATTTCATCAAATAACTTTTAATTTTATATTTTGATGAATTAACCCATACATAAAGATTTTCACTCTATTGATTTGATTCAAAATTAATTTATAATTCATTAAACTTCTAGTTTTACTAATCTGATTGCCTTTTTAAAAATTAAATTTTTCTAAATATATAACTAATTTCTTCTTTTTTAAGCCATGTACATACTTAGCAGCCTCATTTGAGCTATAGAATCAACAGAATTACTTTTTTAAATTTCTATTTTTTCTGTTTTGTCTTATTGAGAATTTAAGGATTTATTTTACAGAATTATATCAGTTTTTAATTTTAAGTTCTTTTAAGAGCTGTTAAGATTATGAAAACCTAAACAGACATAGTTTAAGTTAGAGCATTTTCTTACATTGCTTCCAAAGATTTAATAATTGAATTACATAGAATTATCAAATATAAAGTAAATTTATTTTAAATATTTTAAGCTTGGTAAAACTCCAAATAGTTCTTAATATAAAGCATCTGTTAATTATATTGTTTTTAATTGCAGTCTTAGTTTACTAATATAGGGACTGTATTTTATTAAATTTGAGAATAAATATTAGTCATCAAAGTATTTATTAGAATTTATTGTAAGACTAAGGTCATTAAGCTCTTTTAAGTTTTCAAATGATTATTTATAATGGCAGATGATTTTATCATTTAATTATGAGTTGTTTAATGTCATATTTAATTAATTTAATTAATCAAATCTAGACACTTATTATATATATTTATATAAATTCTATTCATTGTATTAAGTGAGGTCTATAGAGAGAGATGTAACCATACTATAGCTATTCAAAATCTACAATCCTAATAAGTAGCTAAAATTCATATTTTCATTCACTTATATTTATTCTTCAATTTTCAAATATTTTATCTTCCTCTTAAATTTTTCTTCAGTTTCATTGTGAATTTCTTAATTTTTTTCTTCAGCATTTTGATTTTAATTTTACAAAATTAAACTAAAGCATTCTAAATTGGCTTAAAAAAATAGGAATTTTTTATAAATTACTCTAATTTACGCTCGAAAGAATAAGGTCAAGTTATAATTTTTAGAGTTAATTTTATTAAATTATGGAGTTTACTAATTATTATGTTGCTTAAGTATCAAGTTAAGTTTATCTTAATTTTATTTTCAAAGTTTATAAATGCTTAAGCTGGTGCTAAATAATATTGAAGAATGGTTAAGGAACTTATATTTTCGTCAAATTAATCTTGAGCAAGCTTAGATTTTGAAAATTTGTAATAGTTTTATTAATTTATTCTGATTATTTTGGAGAAATTTAAACATTACAAAAATTTAATTTAAGTTGTTTTATTTGTTATTCATTCATTTATTTTAAAAATTCTAAAATATAGTTATTATTACACTCATTAGTAGTATTAATTATACCTAGATTTTAGATTTAGATATTTTGATATAAAACTTTAGCTAATTCAATTATTAGCTCTTATTTTATATCTAAAATAGAAGATTCAAAACAAATTTTAATTGTTGAATTTAGCTACTTATTTTTAAGTTACTAACTTAGATTAAAAAGTATTTCTGAACTCAAGTCCAAGATTTGAATATTTAAAATTGTATTTTACATATTTTGGCTTTCATTTATTGATTTAGTTTGAAAATCTTTTTATTGATCCATGTTTTTAAAAGGATTTTGATTTATAAAATTTTCCATTTTTTTTCGCTTTACTTTTTTCACTTATTTTTAATTAGCCAAGCTAAATGGAAATATAATTTGTGGTCAATATAGTAAAATCTAATACTAATAACAATCAATAAATAATGAAATTCAAAATAAACATCATCTATTTAGATACATAAAATATTTTTTTATCTTAAAAAAATTATGAATTATAGGGTTGAAAAATAAAACTTTTTATCATAAACTTTCAGAAAATTTAAATTATAAATGGATTTTTAAGGGTTGTTTGTTAGTGATCTCGAATATACCCCTCCCCTCCCGTCCACTCTGCATATACAATAAATTTTTTATAAATTGGAATAAAGCTTTACTAGAAAATATAAGTATTAATTTTGAAATAAAGACTTTCTTTTAATTTAATACAAAAAATAAGTAGGTTTTGCAAATTGAAAATTAATATATTCTTTTATTAAAAATATAATGAAAATAAATAAGAATTTGATCGTGGTGTGTTGATTGATTAATTAATTAATTAGTTCATTTTGGAATTTATTCTTTCTCTAAATTGTCAAGTATATTGATGCTATAGTCAATATTTTTAATATTATCATTAGCACTTTTATTTAAAGAGTTGTTAGCCTCATTTTATTATATCTTTATGATAGATTATCTTTAATTTACAGAATTTCTCTGACTAGCTCTCTCTTATACAGATTGTCTTTTATTTTTAAAATTGAAAATATCTTGTTTTAGTTAATCTTTTTCTTCTTAAGTAATATTTCTCAATATTCTTTCATCTTCATGAGGGAACATTCTAATTATTTATTAAGTTATCCATTTTAATAAAGGAAATTCTAAAAGAAATCAAATTTTATAAGTAGAAAATAACATTTTTTGATCAAATTAAAATACATTTTTTTGCCAAAATCATTCCAAGGACCTATATTTTTACGAAGAAGTGCTCCATTTTGAGTGTCTGACTCTCCACCTAAAAATTCTGGTAAATTCTCCTTGTCAATCTTAAAATATAGAAAAATAATTTTGAATGTGAAATAAATTTATTTTATTTAAAAATATATTGATTATCTTCAATCAGAATTAATCACAATAAATCTAAAATAGCTCAAAAAATTTCACTTTTTAATTTTTAAAAAATTTTATTACATTTTCAAGTAACTTTTGCTTGTAATCTTTTCCAAGAATGCAAATCTTACTTTTAATAGTTTCATTTAGCATAACAGATATAACCTTCCAGAAAACTTATGCCAACAAAGGACTATTAACAACATATAACCTAAGAAAAAATTAAATTTGAATAGAATATTTATTATCTAATAAATTACTTTCCCATGATTTCAGGGTAATTAGATTCAGAAAAACTAGTCACTAGTTAGACAAAGTTTTTGGCTTCCATAGGTTTAAGTTTCATATCTTTTGCATCAAGAATAGTCAAGGTTTAACCTACATATTTATTTGCAGCTATAGAGGCACAGGGAAGCATTTTATTAATAAGCTATTCATAATTTTAGTAGTAATGTTTTTTCATTCTTTCTTATGTTGTAAGGTTGTAGAGATCGTTAAATGTTACGTTTTTAAATATTTCTATATAAATTGGCCTTCCCTATTTTAATCCAAGTGCAATTTTAATTTAAATTCGATTAAATAAATAAATAATCAATAGAAATCTTTACTTCTTTATCTGTTTTGTGATAACCATGAGGATAAATCTCTTAGACTTCATCTGACTCCCAAAAAACGAAATCCTAAAATAAAAAAAAGAACGAATAAAATTCAACTCCACTAAATGAATCAATTTACTTTCAAAATTGTGTCTACTTTGTTTTCTTTACGCCAATGTAGGTGATCTTTAAACATCTTTATTGATTTTTACATATCAAAATGTCTTGCTTTCATAAATCTATAAAGATATTAATTATTAAAAAATTAGGAATCCAGGTTGTTTTCATGCCTTAATCTATTCATTTCTTAAATATTCTTCTAATATGCTTCATTTTTTATGATGCTGCTTTGATTGAAGTAAAACCTTTTTTAAAATGAATTAGCTATTTATAAAACTCTACCAAATTGCTTAAAAATAATTATCTATTATTCGCAGAATATTCTTACAAAAATCTATCTAATTCTTTGTTAAAAACTGTTTCTTGGTCACTCTCGCTTTGTAAAGTTGTTGCAGAGGTCAATAACTCCATTCTATGCAACATGCTTTAAGGAGTAGGAGCTGTTTTTACATCATTTTATTAAGATCTGCTATCGACGCAACCCATAATTTATTAAACGCTTGAATTTAGAATTACGCTTACTTACTTTATCAAAATTATTGCTATAAAATTTTCAGATTTTTTTAAAAAGATATAATACTATTGCACAGCCAATTAATTGTTTTTTTTATTATTTTTTTTTTTTTAGTTAATTCGATTTTACGCCTAATAGATAGATGACAACACTTTAAAGACTCTAAAAACTAAAAATAAAGCTCACTTTTGTAATTTTAAAATATAAAGTATTTGATATTTCTCATGAAATTGCTTCTCATTATCATTGCATCTAACGTATAACTATACCTTCTAAGTATTTATTAAATTTAAAATATGCAATCATTTAATTATATTGCCTATCAAATATTAATAAATCCATTAAATTCTAAGACACTTAAATAAAATAAGTAAAGCTTAACATACCGTTTCTAAACACACACACTAATCTGATAACTTAAAATAAGAATTTTAAATAAAAATAAAATTAAAAAAAAAAATTATTTTGTTAAATCATTTATTAGGCAAAATTCATTTATTTATAATTTAATTTAATTCAATTATTGATTTTTTTTAATTTTAATTATTTGCTTTTTTAGCTATTAATATTTTATTTGAAAAATCATCAAATGTATTGATTTATTTTTAACTATTTTTAACATTTTTAACTTTTTTTATTTAAATTTTTACAAAAATCTGAAATTTTAGTTAACATTAAAACATTTTGAAAATTACAAATAATAAATTTTGATGTAAGTTTATCTAAACTTAAAATATCGTTGTAAATAAGAGTGTTAACAATTAGTGAATGCTTTAAACATTTAATAATTAAAATTTAGAATTTAATAATATTTTCTATTTAAAAATAATTATTTTGATGATTTATTTGTATAACTTGCTAAATTAAAACAACCAAATTAATAAATTTAGAAAAAAATAAATTAGATAAAGTCGTAAGTAAGTAAGTAAATAAGTAAGTAAATAAGGAAGGTATTTATTGGATTAAATTAAAAATAAATGACAAATAAATATACATTAGTTAAAGGAATTGCTGACTAGAATTAAAATTAATAATTGTTATTTGTATTGTTTGTTTTTATCAGTTTGAAGATTTGTTAGAATATTTATAAATAAGTAAATTTGAAAGTTAATAGATGGATTGATGGATATTAATTGATTGAGTGTAGTTAGATTAATTTAATTTAATATTAAGTTTCTTTATTGCATGATTTATTTGTTCAAGATTTGTATAATATATTTATAGACCCATTTATAGATCCTAAATAAGCGGTTATTAAATTATCTTCATCTTTGTAAGTCGTCATGCAACTGAATTACTAGTCTTCAACAATATCAAAATCACCTTCGTTAAAATCATTAAAGTAGTGACCTACTTTCTTTTCAGTAAGTAAATCGAATATAGCAATATGTCCTTTATTAGTAACTATTTTTTTTAAGTTTTAAATAAATATTATTATAAAAATTAATTTTTTTAGAAAACTAAGAAGTAAATTTTTAAATTTATTTACCAACTACAAGGTTTCTACCATCTATGTCAAAATCAGTGATTTATCCGTTTTGTAATTCTACATCAAACTAGCATAATTCAGTTCCTACAAATAAATAAATAATTAATTAATAAGTTGTTATCACAAAAAAGTTAATTACCATTTAATTCGTAGTGTTTTATAACATTATCACCAGATGCTACTAAATGATTTTTAGAGAATACTATTTTTGTGATTTTTTATTCTGGAATTTAGAAGCTGAACTTTACTTATTTTGTTTTTACATCAATAATATTGACATGACCTTTTAAATAAAATAATACAAATTTAGATCTGTTTAAAAAAGCTAAGCAAAATTTAATTTCAAATCTTAAAATCAATTTTTAAAATATTTAAAGAAATAAATTAAATTTTTAAAATATTTATTTTAATAATTAATCAATAATTAATTAATTACTATTTTTTCACAAAATATTTGTAAAAATGAATAATTCAATTAGTTTATTTAAAGAATTTAATTCATTTAATAATTAAAATAATTTGATTTTGATAAATAAATATATTTGCTTAATAAATTACCATCAACATCTCCAACACCTAGAAGAGTCTCTTCTTTATTTCCCGATATATGGGTAATTTGAGAATCGTGGTCCCAGAAAATATCTTCTGAGTCTTCATCAAGCTAGCCATCTTCGCAAGCAAATTATTTCACTGTGCAATCCCAGGATGCTGTAAAAAGTGTGTTTAAGGAGGAAAAATAACATAGACTACTGATTGACTCGTTGTGAATTGATAAGACTTTCACTTTAGAGCCATAGTTTAAGTTAAATATATAAAGCTTGTTATCCCAACAACCAATTGCAAATATTTCATCTTCTTTTATGGGAACAAAGCTGCTAAGATTAAGATCGCATATTTTAAAGCTTTTAATTACAGATTTATTTGACAAATCGCAAACTTTCAAAAAGCCATCTTCTCCAATGCTGATTATTTAATTCTATTTCTTTTTTAATTTTCTGATTTGTGTGACATTTTTTTTGTGAGCCTTGCTAATCAAATCTACTTGTAACATGCTTTTATTACCATCGTAAACCTCCCACAAATACTTATTAGAGTTATTAGTTTAGATATAACTTTCTGCCATTTTATTGTTGCTACCTTAGATACTATCACGAGCCTTTTGAGTGCTAAAAATGCTATTTCCTGGCAAGCTATTTCTATCTTTATATTCTTCAAAGCTAGAAGAAGCTAAAAGTTATCCATTAAGATCTAAAGAGCCTTTGCCATTACTCCAATCGAAATTCAAGCTTTGGCTAAGTCCATTCAAAGGAGACTAAACTGGTAATCTTCTGGGAGTATGAGGAATCTTAAATAGTTATTTAGGGCATTATCCAAATTCGTTGATCTAACAACGCAAAGCTTGTCTCTCAATAGGATCTTAAATTGCATCCAAGTCCACCATTCCTTCGTATGTCAAATGATGGAAAACTATTTTATATAAATATTTGCATTTTAATTTTATCAATAATTTATTTTAATGTATTTTTATATAAAAAATGATTGATTGATTACCATTATCTGCATCAATAGAGTGCTAGCCTCTTTGTTTATATCCGAAAATTAAATCAATCCAATGATGAAGGTTTTAGGAAACTATTTCACTTTCTAAGGCTTCTCTATTTACTCTCAAAAATTCCTTTGCATCACCTTTTGCCCATTTGGGAAGTTTTACTGCGTCTACCTTTTTTCCATTTTGTCTGATTCCAAAATTTAAATCTTTGTAGTTCATGAGGAAAGAGTCATCGTTTTAAAAGTACTCAGGAATTAACTCCTTAACACTTGTGGGGTTATCTAAAACATTCTGTTATTAATTTAAAAATAAGTTTTATTAAAATTGAACTCCACCAACAAAATTAAAATTATCAGAATTGATTTATTCTGTAAATGAATTATAATTAGATTAAAAATATATTTAATTAATTAATTTAACAAATAAATAAATAAATTGATTACTCGCCAATCACCTTTAATACTTTTGAATAATCTGTCTGGTTTATCAAATTTCCCGCTTTGTAATTTGAGCATATATTCTGGTTTCTTTCTAACCAAATAACCAATAACATATCCTGGAGTTGAATAATGTGTTCCATACAAAAATTTAGGTGAAGGCATGTCTTGATATCTAAATTGCAATAAATTAAAATAAATAATTAATTAATTCAAAAAATAGCTAAGCAAATAAACACAAAATATATAAAAATTAATTAATTAATAAAATTAATGTACCTGTCTTTGAAATCCTTGAGTCTCTTTGGATTGAGAGCTCCGATAGGCTTTTTGAGATCTCTGTAATTAGCAGGATCATTAATATCTATTTCAGTACTATTATAATTAGATATAACCCAAGGAAAGACAGGATACTACGAAAGATCTGCAAATGATCTATTACCTTTTTATTAAGTAAATTGATGATTTAAAATATTTTTTTTAATTAATTTTATTTTATTTGTTTGGGCTTGATTTTGACTGTATAGAATTTATTTTCATATGTCGAATTATTATTTGGAAATTAAATGAAATTATTTAATGGAATTATCTTTAATTTTGTCTATTCTTTTTGATGAAAAATAGATTCGCTAAAAAAAAAGATCTACCTGCATGATTTAAATGCATAAGATATTCGTAGTTTGATATTTGATAGTTTTACCACATGAAAGTAACTTTTTCAAGTGAGAGATCTGAAATGCATTCTTAGGAAACCTATCTGAGGAGAGCATTATAGAGTAGATCTCTATTATTTTGGTCTTCAAATGCAAAGTAGTAAGATTTATTCTTGTTTGATACCATCATTTCTAAGCCGATGTTCTTTAATTCGAATCTTCTCTTATAGAGTCTAAAGATGTATTCAATCGGAATGATTTTGACGGGTTTAGTAGATATGTTGTGTATAGGCTAAAAGTATATGTTTTTGTTAGTTGCATAAAGGATGCCATAAATTGAATTCAAAGGAAGAATCTGTCTGCATAAAAGCTAGTTGTTTAAGAGAGGTTTTTCGCTCACACTCTCAGTCTAACTCATATTGAATTTTTTCTTGCCATTCTTTTCCATGAGAATCTAAATAAATATTTTTACAAAAAGTTCCTTAATAAACAAATGAAGTACAAATATTCTAGAAGATAAATAGCTCTTTATGATGCCTAGCTAAAAAATTAAACAGAATTATTGATGCTTTTATTATATTATTACCTGCTGAATTTCTTCTTCCTAATTGCCAGAATAAGGAGAACTCTTTTATATATCGTAGAGTTGTGAAATCCATTGTTGAACTCTCTATACATTATCATAAATAGGTATGATGCTAACATGAAAGTAAGGGGCTATTTCAAAGTCATGATGAATATAAGGTGATGGAGGACCGCTGGTATCTATTTCTACTACTTTATTAACTATAATTTCTACAGAATTATCGTCTTTATTAGAACCTAAGGTTTTTACTTCTTATTAGCCTCTTTTGTTATCTTCTAATTCTATTTTTATTTTTTTTTAACGTTTAACATCTGCTTATAAAGGTAAATTATTTTATTCATTTTAGTTTCATTAAGTGATTAGATTTTTTTTTTCTATATCACTTCTTCCTAATCGAATTTATTGCAATAAATTACTTAATTAAGGTGGCTTCATCATCGCTCTATAGCCGAATTTCATTAAAGGTATTTCTGGGTTATCAGATTCAAATATTATGGAGCGCGAGCATATGTGAAACTTGCCTCTTTCTTTGCTTTTTATTTGTTTAAATAATTAAATAAGCCATAATGCTTTTTAGTATTTTTTAATAGGTAATGAGCACAAATGAAATTTGTATAATAAAGATTTTGTAAATATATTTGCAGTCTATCTTAAAATGCCTCTTACTGCTCTTCTTCTGTATGGATACTTTTATATATGCAGTAGCCACTGAAATCTTCTGTGTAAAGCTCACTTTCGTCTAAATAAAATAAATTGAATCTTTGTTTGCTTGTCTTAAGTCCTATCATTTTTATATTCCTTTAACAATTATGTAAATTACAAAAATCTAAATTTTTTTTGATTATATCTTTTGATTTTTTGAGCAATCAAACAAATAAATAAGCAAACTAAAGCAAATTAAAATAATTAATTATATGAATCTAATAGTTTAAACAGCTGATAAGAAAAAGCAAAAATATTAGAAGAAATTTTAATAAAGTCTATTTGACTTGAAATGCATTGAAAAAATTATAATAAGTACAAAGAAATTTAGAATATAATTTCTTTAAAAGCAAGCAAGCAAGCATCAAAACAAACTCCTAAAAGAATAATAAATATTAATTAATATATTTTTATTTAAATACTACCAAACACGATAAATTCTGATTCTTATAGATTCTGTCTTTCAAAGTAATATTTTTGAAAGTAAAATCTCTAATGCAACTAGTTAGCTATCTAGCTAGATAATTAAAAATTAATTATTTATTCTCAATTCAAATGTTTGTTTATATTTATTTCATTGCAAATTTGAACTTCATTTTTCCTTTATGCTCTTTAATTTAATATCATTTGGTCAACTAAATTATCAAATATTATGATGAAGTTAAATTATTTATTTTTTCTTGTAATAGTAAAATAATTTAATTTTTTTTTTTTTCTTTTTAAATTTTAATCTTTTAAAAATTTAAAAGGTAATTAAATAAATTTTAATTCAATTAAGGTTAATTGAATATTTTAAATAAAATTCATAGATTTCAGAATCAAAAAAGTAATAAATTATCATTTTTAAATTTGATTTATCTTTTATTTAATACTTTATTATCTCAATTTAATACTTATTTAGCAAAAAAATTTAATAAATACTTTTATTTTTATTTATTTTTTTATAAAAATTATTTATTAATTTTTTAAAATCTGAAAATTTTTATGATTTATCTATTTAGCTTTTTAAGTTAGATTCCAAACTCTCTCTCTCTCTCTATGTGATTTGCTCTGGAATTTAGAGCCAATTGTAGTAAATTTTTATTATTACTTGCAAAATAATTAATAACTTTCTTTTCTCATGAGTCTTTACGTTTTACTGCTGAAAATGTCTGTTTTTAAATTTAATTCTTAATTTGAGTAAAACTCCTTTAATATATTAATAATTGATCCTATTTTACAGAATTTTTATTGCACATTTGATATAAAGCACTGCTTTATTTGATATTTGAAAAAAACCATTTTTAGGATCATACATATACTTATTTACTTATGAAACTAGTATGGCTAGTTACTTTTTATAAAGCTCATGACTATCGACCTTCTAATGATAACTAAAAATATTGAGCTATTGTTTGAGATTCTTAGAACTAGATTCATAGACAAAAAAGTTTGAAATTTGTAGAAACAATCCATCATGCTTTTTTATCCACTTCACAGTTGAAAAAACTTAATTATATTGTCTTTTCACATAAATAAATTAAAAATTGTGAATTCAACTAAAAATGTAAAATAAACTAAATCTCTAATTAATTATTTTATCCCAAATAATCTTTTCTAGCTTATTTTCATCACTAACTTTGATAACCTTTTGACAACATTTAATTTAAATCCTATATTTATTAATCAATTTGTTAATTTTTTAATATAAAGTGTCAAAGGATTTGTAATTACTTCTGAGTTAATTACTCATTAATTTCTGCTTTTTTAAAGATTTTTTTATATAATTTGTAAGTTAATTGATGGTAAAGTTGTTTATCCATTTAAGTCTACAAGCCTATCGATTTTTTTGAAAGTAGTATTAAATAATCAGAATATACATACATATGGTATTTATATTTTAACCTATTAATTAATATTTTTTTTTATTATTTTTAATTTAAATTTTTTAAATAAATGTAAAGCAAAGCTAAATTTAATCATAAAAAACAAAAAACTGAATGAATAAATATTTTTAATAGAGAACAAGCTTCTAATTCTCATAAAAAACTCCCAATAAATTAAAATATAAATAGATAAATAAATATTTATAATCTTAAATTTAATTAAAAAAAATATATTTTTATGGATTTATACATTTTCAAACTTTTTAGAAATAATGGAATCCATAACGTTAAAGAGTGTACCGATAGATCGATCTTAATAGTATTAATTATTTGTTGAGATATTAAAAGGATTTTGATTTTAAATAAGTTAGTTGAGAAATATAAATGAGTTTAACTATGAGATTTTACTGATTGTTATTCCATTATTTATTAATTAAAAAAATATGAATAATTTGTTAAATTAATTCCTTACTTGAAAGAATTAAAATAGTATTTGGAACTTATCTATGAAAGATATATAAAAATAATCAATGTACTGTCTGTCTAAAAATGAAAATTAAAAAAATTTAAGTGATAGTAGTAAAAAGTACTTTTTTTCTTAAAAACTAAATTTAATTCTTAAAAGAGATATTAAAATTTATACAATTTACATACAAATTAAACAGATTCCTATGTATTTATTAAAAAACTAATAAAAAAATAGATAAATTTCGCTTTTAAAAATCTTATATGAAACACTAAGAAAACGACAATTCATTTACTTCTTCAAACACATTATAGAAAGTTTTTTATTTTAAAATAAAATTTATAAAAGTTTGAATGAAATCTAACTTATATAGATAAATAAACTTATAAAAATAATGTATTTATTTTTTCTCAAATTTAAGAAAGAAACAAACAAAAGTAATTTCTAAAAATAGATATTTGTTTTAAATTTCAAATAGATATTTAATGTAATTTTTATTCAGTATTATCTATTACTATTTTTAGATTAATAACTATAAACTAAAATTAAAACTGTCGTAAATACATCTTTTTATTATCATTCTTCTTATTTTTCATATTCATTAATTTATTTCTAATTTAATATGATGAAATATTTAAATGTCATTATGAATAAATTATTTATTTATTCTCTACTTATTTATTTTAGTTCATTGCAATTTAAAAGTAAAGTGATAACAATAATTACTTTTGTTTTTTTACCGAACTTGCTTATTTTGATATTATTTTATTTAGAATTAAAATATTTGGAATTATTTTTCTACTTTTACTAAGAAGTTATTTTTAGTCTTTTTGTTTATTCTAATTCAATTTGATATTTAAATATCTTAGATTAGCTAATTTATTTTCAAAATAATCACTTCACGAATATTGATATTGTTTTACAACTAATTACTCATCAAATTTATTTAATAATACAAAATATATTTTTTGGGTTCGAATGTAAATCTTTGTTATTTATTTTTTCATTTTAAATAATTGTTTACTTTGTTTAAAGAATATTTAAATGTGATCTAAAATTTAATTTGTTAATTATTTTCTAAACATTTAACAAATAATCATCAGAAAAAATCCAAATAAATGTTAACTAGATTTTTAGAATGCTTATTTACAAAAATATCAATAAATAAAAAATGACTAATTTAAATATCCTAAAAAAACGGATTAATTTTTATATTATTCAAAATTTGCTTTTAAATTGTAGTAAATTATCAAAAAATATAATTTATATTTTTCAAATTCAATTTTAAAAATTTTAAGTTAGCATCTGATATTTTGGAATAGATGACGACATACACATACTTATTTGGATACTAAATATTTTTACTACTGAAGTTCTAAATAAATTTGCTAAGTTAGCATATTTTTTAGATATCTAAGTTTTTGTAGGAAAAATTTTATTGTACTGAATAGGAAATTGAGTTCGTTGTTAAAAATTTGTATAAATTTTTGATAAAAGTAAGTATTTTCGTTTGGTATCATTCGAGTAGTTAAAAGAATCACAAATTAATTCTTTCATGTGATTTATTTCTTTCTTTAATGAAAATTGCAATTTGAATATTTAACAATCATTCAAGTAGAAAAATTTTGATTAATTTATTTATTTTTTGTTCGATTGATTGATTGATTCATTAATTGATTGCGTCTGTAATACTAAGATTATAAATTATAATATATTACAACGATATATATATATAATTTAGATAGGCCACTAAGAAAGAAATTAGATTAAAAGTAGTTCTGTGAGTAATAATTAATTAGCAGATTAAAAGTAGGATAATATAAGTAAGTTTCTTCTAATTTAAACAATATGGATTACTTAGAAACAGAAAAGGACAGACTAGAGACTTACTAGTCTTAAAACGATTAAGCTAATTTAAGAAAGCAGGATTAGTTGAATAGAAAATATAAGTTAAGGATTAAGTGTGATTCGTAGGAGAATTCGTTTAATGAGATGAATATTGTACAAAGTCCAAATTAGGCCTAATCTCACAACAATATGTCTGAATAAAATAAATCTAATTGCATAAAGAAGATTTAAGATTCTGTGATATTTTAAGACAAAAAGGAGAGCGAAAACGCTAACAACTCCATGAAAATACAAGGAAATAATGAAAATAAATTAGATGTTTACTAGAGCTCTTACTTTGACCCTTAAAAGGAAGTGTATATTAGTACTAATCAAAGAAAATACAATCATCCTAATTAGAATGGAGCTAGTCATTAAGTGCCATTTAAACGCAAACTAACCAGGAAATCAGAAATATTTTAAAGCTAAGTCCTAAATCCATAGGATATTAGCACCAAAGACTCAGAGCAGGTAATCAAGAGTCAGAAAAATTTTCCTAAGAAGAAGCAGGGACCTAATTAATTCTCTTTGTATTTTAAAACATTAAAAGCAGTAAGACAATTCAAGCTGTTTCTCATCCCAAAAAGCATTAATATAAGGAGCTCAAAAATAATAAATGACGCTTCTCATTACGTGGAAACAAATAAAGCTTAAACAGCTTTTAATCCTTTCGAAATTATGGAAAAAATTTCAAAATCAAATTATAACCTTAAAAACTTTTTTAGAGAACTAAAGAGCGTATTTAGTGACACAAAAGTTAAGATTTGTAAATTCTTAGACGAAAATATCACTGTTTTAGATCCTAACGGATATTTTAAAATGATTTTTGATATTATGATGATATTTGCTATTATCGTTTGCATATTCTTCAATACAGTTGAGATTTTCTTTGCTATAGATTTTTATGATTTGTATGAATACGGATATCCTATTCTAGACTATTTTTTATTAATATTATTTATTTTAGACATCATACTTAACCTCAATACTGGTGTTTTTAACGAAGGTCAGATATCAAAAGATAGAGTTGAAATATTTAACAGCTATTATGATGGTAGATTATTGCATGATACTTTATCTCTCCTTTGTTTCATCCGTCAAAGAAACCACCAAATCGTTACATCATTTTTCGATTTATTTGTTTTCTTCAAGGTAATTTATTTATTTATTAATTTTACATTTAAAATACCCTATTATAGAAAATAAACTCCAAAAAATATTAAAAATTAATTGATCATCTTTGAATTATTTAAAATATAATTTTTTTTGAAATAGATTGGGCAAGTTTCTTTAAAACTGCAATAGTACTAACAAACAGCAGGTTCCAATATTAAATACGCGAAATTGTATTATTCAATATAACTGCTGAGACTAGTTTTATTTGTTATATTTGTAGCACATTGTGTTGCAGTTATATTCTATGGACAAGTTATTTTTGCAGAATGGATAAGCTTTGATGATGCCCATAATTGGGTGGAAGCATCTACAGTAGTAACTCGATCTGATTCTTGGCTGAAAATGTAATATAATATATTAGCATTATTTAAAACTTAATATATTAATTATTTATTATCAGATACATATTTTCTTTGTACTTCTCAGTAACTACAATGACCACAGTTGGTTTTGGTGATATCACTCCTAAAAATGGGTAAGTTTTTTATTAAAAAGAAATGCTTGGCATGTTATAATTAAACAAACATCATTTAAAAAAGTCATGAAGCAGTCATTGTGATTATTTCTATGATTATTGCATGTGGTGTTTTCGCCTATACTTTCAATCTTATTGGTTCTATAGTCAGTGAAATGAATAGGAGATAGGAAGAATTCAAGATTAGAATGAAAAAGGTTTACACTTATCTTTCTAATAGAAATGTCGACCAAGATCTGAAGTATTAAGTTCTCAAATTTTTAGAATTCAAGTAATTAATTAATTAATTAATTAATTTTCTTTCTCATTAAAATTCATAATAATATCAAATTTTTTGTCAAAATTATATGTTAAGATTGATTCAGTTCTAAAAATAACTGATAATCCTAGTCAAATAAAACATAAAAATTCGATTGTTTTGTTAATCTTATTTTTTTATTTGTAATTTGAATAGGTATAATAATGAGAACACTCTCAGTTAGGAAGAAGAAGAAGGAATTTTAGACGGATTGTCAGATAACCTCATTTACTAGATTAATTATTAGTCCAAATTCAAAATTCTTAATAATGGATTTGAGTTATTCAAATCATTTTCTAAAGAAATCAAAGATGAGCTTTGTATGAAATTAAAAATTATTAGAGGCAACAAAGAAGAAATTATTTTCGAACAAGATACTATTTAGGATGATCCTTAGATGTATTTTATCCATCAAGGAAGTATAGAAATCTTTTTCAAAAATAAACAAACTAAAAACAACAAAGAGTCTATCCTTAATGTTTTGAAGGAAGGCTAATTCTTTGGAGAATTAAGTTTTTTCACTGATAAGCCTCGCTCGGCTGGAGCGAGAGTCAAGAGTTCTTGCATCTTGTTTAGTCTTTCTAAATCTGATTTTTTAAGTGTATTGCAAAATGATATATTTGAACTTGAGAAATACCATCTTCTCAACTCAAAGCTGTAATTTAGTGAATCGAATTAGCAAATTTCTTAATAGTGTTATTATTGCAGCAAAGAGACTCACAGTAATTATTATTTAAACAAAAAATATATCCAATTTATATAAAAAATTGTTATTTAAATACAATTTAGTTATAAAAAGATGTCCTCATCTACACTATAATCCTGACAATCACTTAATTATCTTAAAAAACAACTTTTCTGTTACTTCAGTTGAAAGAAAAAATTGGGTCAGAAACAGAGAAAAATCTAGGGCATTCGAAATCATGTTGGAAGTAACAGATTTAGTCTCATATATGAAAAAGAAGAATAAATCAGAGTGCTAGTTATACTCTGATTAGGGATCTTCAGATGAGTACATAACTTTTGAAGATCAAGATTCGTCCTCTCAAGATTAACTCATGTATTCTAATCACCACAGAGAAATAATTTAGAGTAAATTAAATTTTATATTAAAAAGGAATTCAAAATTTAAATATTTTTTTTGTAAAATATGAATAGAATTAAGAAAGATGTATAATAACTAAGAAATTACTGTTTCAGACTAAAATTCTAATAGCAATTCATAAAGTGAAAGTGAATAAAAGCCCTCAAAAAGAGATTCTTAAGATAAATTGAGCAAGACTAATTCTAACAAAATAATAGATAATAATGACGGAAAGATATCAAATGTTGAATAGAAATCAGAAAATCAGATAAAAGATGAATTGCTTTCTCCTCCTATTTACTTGAACAAACATTTCTTAAACGTAGAAAAGTAGCATTCGAAATAGTAAAGGCACTCTCTTTAGTTGAGTTAAAATCAAAATTCTCAACATAATAGATTGAAAAAATACCAAACTTCAAACTTAACATAGATTTATCATAATATTTATCCAAAAATTAATATTTAAGATGATGAAGATAATTTATAAGTTGAATCAGATAGCTCTAGCTAGCAAAATGATTCTAAATAAGATAAAAAAAATTAGAAATAAATTGAAAATTAATCATAAAGCTCTAATTAAATAAGCCTTCGTAATGGATAATAAAGCTATTCACCTAGTCTGAGAATAGAAAAAGCAGAGTAAAATCAAAATAAACCCTACAGAGAAAGCTTTTTCTAAAATTTCAAAGAAAATGAAAATAAATCTATATTTAATTGTAAAGATTCAGCTAATTTAATTTAATTACAGCCAAATCAGTTTGGATAGTAATAATTTAATGCAGGATTTTAATCAAACTTAGAAATACAACAATAATTATAGAATTCTGATATTGGATCATAGCAGACCAACAATTTAGAAAAATAGTTATTAAGTAATTAAGGAATCAATAGCTTAGAATAACAATAAATTTAAAATGCAAATCAGCTCAATATTTAAGAATAAAATTAAACAAATAATGTGCAAATTATAAATTTATAACATTAATAAATAAATAATTTAGAAAAATCATAGCAATCTAATTTATTATAAGAATAGCAACTCAACAAAGAAGATAATCAACAATAAAACGTATCTCATTAGCAACTCAGATCTGATAATGAACAATTTAATTTATTACAGCAGCATTAAAATAATGAAAATATATATAATAATTTGTAATAAAATCCTTTTGAGGATTAAAACATTCTTTATTAATAAGAATAAAAGCAATAAAATAATTCAGTGAATGGAAAAATATAAATTTAAAAGCAAACTTAGAAAGAGAATGAAGTATTTTAAGATTCAGAGATAGAAGAGCTAATAGAAGAAAATGATGTTAATATTGAATTAAAGCAACCTGATTCAATGGAGGAATTTTAGAGTAAGAATATTGGAAATCTTTAAGAGCGTTCCAAGACTGCTTGGATAGCTGAAAATTAAATTAAAAATAATTCTTAAATGCCTAAGAAAGATCTAAAATCATTTTAAAGAAGAAGTATTTAGAATCATATCGAAAGCCACAGAAAGTCTAAAATGCTTAGTCTTCAATAATCTTTAGAAGTTTATGTCTAATAATCTTTATTAGGAGGAGCTCATAAGAGAAATATGAGTTCTTAAAATTAAAGTTTACACTAGAGGGAGTTGAGTTAAAATAAAAGCAGTCTAATATAATTGACTAATAATAAAAAGAGAACTTTGAGATTCAGTAACGTAGAAACTTTTATATCTGTACCAGATGAAGTTCCATTCAGCACTCCTATAGATAATGTCAAAAATCCATTCAACCAGAAATAAGCTTAAATACATTATATAGGCTAACCTTCACCTTCGACTGTATGCTACATGCCTTCAAGCTTTTCTAGTTCTTAGCCTCTCAAATAGAAAATAGAAGCTAACTTATAGATTAATGATTAGATCATAGAAAATGAATAATAATAAGAATAATCAAAATATTAAGCTCTAAATAAGTTAAAATCAAAAGAGACTAACAAAATACAACACGAACCACCTTAGATTGAAGAAGAGCCTGTTTAATAAGAATTGCATAAAGAAGTAAAGAAATTAGCAAGAAAAGATAAGAGAACCAAAACTCACAATGAACAAAATGGAATGATGCACAAATTCCAAGCTAGAGAATAATAAAATGAGCATTCTGATGATAACAGAAAGAAAGCTGAGTCTTCGAAAAGAGATAAGTTTAAAAAGCGCACTGCTTTGATTCCGCTTTAAAACGGAAGATTGAACCCTCTAAGAACTCTTGGTCTATTTAGAGAATAAAAAAATAAAGCCCATAATATTATACCTTAGAGTCCTTATAGTATTGCTACTTCTTAAAGTCCTAATAGGTTGAATCCATCAAAACCTGAGCTTAATTCCATAAAAGATAAAAGTTTACAGGAAAGGGAAAATCTTTAAGGCAGTTAGATGAGATTGAGCACTTTTAAATTCAATTAAACTACAGATTAAAATTCAATTCAAAACTACCAGTAGCAGAAAGAAGGAGAAGACTAAATAAATAGAGATTCTATAAAGAAGCAAATTCAAATGCAAAGACAGTAAACTGTTCAATTGCAGCCAGATTTAATGGATGAAGTGAAAATTGTTTAAAATGATACTCTTATTTTTGATAAAATGAAAGAATATAAAAATTATTTCCCCTCCTTCAATTTTAAAACAATTTTAACAACTTACAATAAACTCAAAAACATTTAAAACAATAAGCTTCCTTCATATTTCAATGTCTATTCTTTCTACAATAGATTCGATTACAAAAAGATCTACAAACAAAAACCCGTAAACAACTCTGTTTTGAAAAGATCAGTAGCTAATGCTTAGTGAATACCAACAAACCTAAATTAAACTCTAAGAATTTATTATATTTATAAGTATTTATTTATTAAATTACATTGTTGCCTGATAAAATTATTATTAATTTTCCAATTAATTAATTTGCTTATTCAATAATTTATTCATTTTAAACCATTTGTGATATTTTTTCTAGTTTTTACTTAAATAATTCAAATAATGAAAAATATTTAAAAAATTCGTCAGCTGCAGGATTCGAACCTGCGCGGGTAAACCCAATGGATTTCAAGTCCACCTCCTTAACCACTCGGACAAACTGACTTTATACTTATGTACAAGTAAAACCTCTACTTTGATTTAGATTTTAACTCATGGAAAGATATGAAATTTGTTAAAAAATTTAGTTATCTCATTTCAATTTTTATTAATAATTTATTTTTATGTTGAAATCAAAATTTAGCAAAAGCAGTATTTAGAAAAATAAGAAAAGGAAAATTATTTTGTTTTAATTTGACTTTTTTGAGTGATTTTAAGTAAAATAATGTGAATAAATAATTAAAAACATTAAAATTATCGAATCATCTTTGTACATCAAAATAATTTATTTATTTATTTATTAATTTATAGAGACTTTTTATCATTAAATTTGAAAAATTAAAAATTATTTTTAATAAGTGAGTAAAAAATTCGTCAGCTGCAGGATTCGAACCTGCGCGGGTAAACCCAATGGATTTCAAGTCCACCTCCTTAACCACTCGGACAAACTGACTTCATGTTATTGTTAAAAATTTATATTAAAATAATTAAAATGAAATAAAGATATATATCTTTCTATCTATCTATCTATCTATCTATCTATCTATCTTTTGATCTCAAAAAATGAATGGCCAATTTTTTGCAAATCTTTCTCAATTACTTATTTAAATAAAATTCAACTTAAATTAAAAAAATTCGTCAGCTGCAGGATTCGAACCTGCGCGGGTAAACCCAATGGATTTCAAGTCCACCTCCTTAACCACTCGGACAAACTGACTTTATGATATTTAAAGATAATATTTTGTTAATTATTTAAATTGAAAAATTAATTTCTAAGCATAATTACCTTTAATATTAATTTATTTATAACTAAAATGCCTTCAAAAATAATTAATTCTAAAATTTTTGTTGATTTTAGCTTGAGACCTTCAATATATTTTTTTATTTATTTATTCATAATTTATTAATAAATTACTTAACATATTAATTTAGGCAAGAAACAAAAAAGCAGAAACGATATACATTAATATATACAGATCTTTTTAAGTAATTTAAAAATGAGCAGTTAATGTCTTGGAACACATTATTATGTTTAAGAAAGTAATACATGCGTGCTAAAAAAAGCATGGTTTAAACCATTTTTTCCTTGTATAACTGTAATTGCATGTGTTTTATTGATCGGTTATGCAGCATTTATAGTGACAGAATATTTGATGAAGAAAAAATTTGAAAAAGAAGAAAAAGAAAGATTAAAAAAAGATAGAATATAAAATGAAGTATTAAAAGATAAATACAAAAATATTTTAAATGCAAGAAATTCTTAATAGTCAGCCAATCAATAGTAAAATAGTTAACAGCGCTCGGTATCTTTGCAGTCATAAAATTAATTACAAAGAAACATGTAGAATGAGTAATAATAATAATAATTTAAAGATGATTCTCAACATATTTATTAAGTAATTCAAAATTTTTGATATGATTGATAAATTTAATAATATTAATAAAATAAATGATATGATTGGAGAAGTATTTTTATTATATATTTTCATAAGTTCTAAACAATAATCAAATAAAATTGTAATTTATTCTATCATAAAACCTATTTCTTTTTAATTAATCAATCAATCAATCTCTTTTTGTTATTTTAATTGCTATTTCTACATTTTAAAATAAATATTATTCAATTCATAATTTTTTAAGATTTTTTTATTTTTAAAAAGCTAATTAATAATATGCAATTTTTAAATTCATAAATATTTTGTTGAAATTGAAATAGTTTTTATAGAAAGAATCAAACCCATTTATTTACTTTCTTTCTTTCTTACTTTCTTATTTGTTGATTAATTGTTTGTTTATTTTATTAATTTATAAATAGATTTTTGATAAAGTATTTAAATTTAGCAAACCTACTCTATTTATTTAATCAATCAATCAATCAATCAATCTAAGTTGATTTGACAAAAAAAAAAAATTTAGATTCATATCCAAATTGATTAAACATTCTAAATTATTTATAATTAAAATTTTTACTTATACAGCTTATCAAATATATTAAAGCAAATGAGTGCTGTTAAGAAATAACCAAAGCAAATATCATTAGAAACGTTTCTTAATCTTGAAGATTAGGTTACATCGGAGGATTTATACAATATAGATTATTTCTTTTAGCATGCAAACTCCAAGTTGATAAAAGTTAATTCATAACAACATTTTTTTACAGTTGTTGTATCTTTTCGGTCGCTTTTTATTTTATGAATTAATTCTAAAATGTAGAAATGACTGAAAGAAAGATAGATAGCAAGCAAGTTAAATTTTAGATGAATTTGCAAAACTTTAAATTTAGAAAAAAAGCGGTTCAAGCACATATTAAAATATATAAAAATTATGAATAGGAAAGGTTTCAAGAAAAGGAATTTATAGATTGGAAAGAATTAAAGCAATCAATAATTTTCAACGAAGAGGCAAATCATAATAATATATTTGATGTCAATTCTAGAAAATTATCAAGCGAAAGCTTTTTCGACGATGAAGTTGATGAATTTGAATTAAAAATACATTGCAAAAAGAACCATTTAATTCTTCTATTGGATGTTTCTCCTTCAATGTTTAAATACGACTACATAACCAATTCTCTCAATATTTAGAACCTAGAAATTATTTGCAAATCTCTATTGGATGTAATATTCCTATTCATTTAGCATGCATACTTATTTAGTTTATAATTGAATGGAAGCAATAAATTCGATAATTTCTTATTACATTAATATGAATATAAAATATAGCATATACTAGAAGCAGCGCATAAGAGTAGTGAATAAGATCATAGAAAGCAGTCATTAGATGATTAAAATGGAAACCAATAGCAATAGCAAGAAAGCGAAGGATAAAATCAAAATAAATACTCCAGTTATTACAAATAGCGTACAAGAATAACAGTATATCTTTTCGGTATGACTAATAAGGAATTGGAGGTAAAATTAAATATTCAATCAAATATTTTAAATAGATAAAAATAGAGAATTTAATAAAAATATCTTCATTAATAAAATAAAATAAATTAATTAATTAATAAAAAGCTAGTTGTAAACTACGTTTTGTTGTCTAAGCATAATATAAATGATATATACAAGCAGATTCTGAAATCTATTTTAGACAACTGCAATAAAATGTCTAACAGGACATCAAATTCAAAATCCAGCAGATAAACAAGTCCTAAGTATTCTCCTGTTAATACATATACCAAATAAAATGGAAATTCAGTTACTAGACTATCAGGTGGAAGTGATTGTTTGTAATCCTATACATTGAGTAAACAGATAAATTATATAATTAATTACATTAAAGCTTGAAACAAATATATTTTAATTTAATTAAAGATGAAAAGAAATATAGCATAGACATGGTTGAAGCAATAAGTAGAATACAGTAAAGTCTTATCATTCATGGAGAAAGAATGTCTTTTAGTAAGTTAGTCGTTATTACAGATGGTATATGCTTCAATGTTGATGACGAAAAGTTTTACTAGCAAATCAGTCGTTCAGTTAAGCCAATTGGATTTTCTTGTCATATTCTCCTTACTGGTAAAAGTTAGCTCAACAGAGAAAATTAATTTGGTTACATTGTAGATGAAGACATGTAAGCTTTATTTTATTATAATTCAGTCTTTAAAAATTAACAAATAAGAAAATAAAATAATGTTTATTAATTAAATTGTTTTAATATTTTAATTAAAAAGGCTCAGATTTATGGCTCAGAAAATGAATGGAGAGTTTCATTTCTTAACAGTTCATGATTAAGTCACAAATAATAATAAAACTAAAAATTAATATGCATATTTTGCTTGTTGCAAGAGTCCTTAAAGTGACTTTTCAAAGAAAATATAACAAATGCTGATGACATGGACCTTAAGATACAACATTAAAGAATTTAAGTTTTCATTTAGCAGTCCTAAATCAAGAAATTCCTCAGCCAAACAATCAATACTCTCTTCTTGCTAATCAATTAAAGAAGAAAGCAGCTTTAGAGGAATATTTGAAGATAGAGATGAAGATTAGTGTACTATTATGTACATAGAAGAGTCAAAAGATGAATATAATTTGAAGTTCAGGAAAATTATTAAAATGGTTCATAAATATGATTTAAAACCTCATGTCTCCTAGCAAGTTGATTATGAAAGACTTTACTAAATTTGTAAGATAAGACACTTAGAAGGGTGGAAAATGATTCGTGTCCAAAAGAAAGACAATTTTATAAGTAAGTATTTTTTATTTGTTTAATTTTATTCAATAATTTAATAAAAATTATTTTCAGGACAATTTTAATTTTGAGTAATAGATTCAAATAATTTTAATAGATAGTAAATATTTCTTTGCTTTAAAAGAATAATAATTTTTTTCAATTGCAACTTCTTATTTTTAGTGAGATATTTGTTTATTTTTCAAAAAATATCATTTATTTTTTGAAAATATAATTCAAATCTTTTATAAAAAATATTTATAGGTGCTTATTTCATTTTTACAAACAATATTATTATTTTTAGCACTTACTATTTAAGCAAATATTTTTAATCAACTTTTTACATTTTTTAGTGAAAATTTTAAGCTAATTAAATTATTTCCTTAATTATATTTTGGTTTTTAATAATGTTTATGATTTAAAACATAAAATCAATTTTAAAAAGTTATCAAAATCTAATTTTTAATTTATTTATTTATTTGTTTTAGTGGGCTATGAGTATAGAGTAAATTTGTAAGCAAAACTTTACTACCTAGTTAAGTGTGTCAACTCGAAGATTAAAATATAAATTTTTTAGGATGTTCCTGCTATATCTTATCGTAACAAAAGAGAACAAGGATATAAAACACCAGAATATATTATTAATATATCTAAGAAGCTTGAATAGTATGACTAATTTGCTTTTAATGCTTTTAATCTGATGTAGTACAACTTTGAAAGCAGCAACAAAAAGTAGACTAAAATTCTTTGCAATAGCAAAGTTCATAAAGAAATAAATTCCAGAGAAGATAAAAAAGTTCCATTTAAAGATTAAGAGGAACTATGGGAAAAATATTACAAAGTAAAAATAAGATTTTATTAAAATAATTTATTAATTTATTAATATTTTATTTAGGTCAAAACACTAACTTTCTTGTAAATACCGAAAGACAAGGTGTGCAAAGATAACATTATGAACATTAGAAACAAATTTGCTTAGGAAGTTTATGAAAGAGTTAGCTATGTAGCTGACAAAAATATAACCAAAAATAAATTTTACTTGAAAATTAATAAGGACTTTGTGCATCTTCTTGAAGAAAATAAAGATAAGGTAGCTACTATGGTTCATCAGCAATCAGCACAATAAACACAAGGAGATAAAGCGGCTTTAAGCCTTTCTTAAAAGGTGTTTAGTGTCGATGAAAATTTGATGGATTATGGAAAATTACTCACCTTAGAATCTCAGGATTCTGATGGTGTTAAAAATGGTCTTATTGGCTTGCAACACCGCACTTCATAAGGCTATTCTTAGACCAACTAATAAATCTAAACAAACACTTCAAATTAATTTAATCCAATTAAAAGCTTGGCTTTTATTAAAGTCTCCATCAAAAATTTTTACATCACTGAAATTAAATTAGCATTCTAGAATTACCCCAAAGCACAATAAAAGCAACTAGTTAAGGAAATCAAAAAGACCATCCATAATTATAATTTCGAGTCATTTGATATCTCTGTTATTTCAAACTCCATCAATCAGCTTTTGTATATGGGATGTAAAAATTGTTTTTTCTATTTTTAAATTAATTTATTTTTATTTATTTTCAAATTTGTTTTTGTTATTTGTTGAAGATCAGAATGAAAATAAATAAAATAATTAAATTCTTAATTGAGTTTGATTAATATCAAATCATTAAAAGATTTTACTATAACATATTTTAATTTAATCCAAAATAGTGTTATTATTTGCTCTAGTTAAACAAAATAACTTTTAATAAAATAAAATTAATTTTATTTTAAAAATACTAATTAATAATTAAATAATTTAGAAAGCATAATTTATCCTTTTCAAGAGGCAAGTAACTTAACTAAATCTTGGTAGTGGACTTAAGAATGCATTCATGATCTAAAAAATTTTTATAGCATATTAGCTAGTCTTAGAAATAATGGTCAATTTAAATCAATTTAGTAGAATAGATCTTAATACAAAGAAACTATTTTTTTGACTGAAGTCCAGTTTTCAAGGACTGAAAATAAATCAAAGATAAAGAGGCTGTTAATAGCACACATCATTACATTTAAAAAGAACTATATTGAAGTAAATTTAATAATATTCATCTAATAAAAGTAACATGCATTCTATTTAGGTTAAAATAGTATGTGAGAATGCTCTTGATCTTGTCTAAATCCCAGGAAAAAGCTACTAAACTGCTTAAAAAGTGCTTTAGCAATACATTAATCATATATATTAGCAAGAAGAAAAAATACTTAAAAGACTCTACACTGTCCATACAGTTCATAGACATGCCATCGCTAAGAGAAAGGATTCCAATAATCAAGATGTATTTGTAGGAATAGTCTTAGATTCACTAAAAAGTCACATGCTTACTCATCTGAATATGGGAATATCTCTCCTCAGAGACGACACTGAAAGTATCAAAGACATAAGTAGTTATAAAAAGCATTTAGAAAATGTAAGTTTCATTCAAATATTTTTTAATTTAAAATTAATTATTTTTATAATATTAAAATATTTTTTAATTTGGATTTATTCATCTAATTTAGCATATTCAAATTTTTTAATTTTTATTTTAATCAGCTAATTTTAATAAATTAATTATGTATTAAATTAATATATTTATTTGATAGATAATTTTGTTGATTAAAGATAACAAAAATTATGCTTTTTTTGTACTTAAAAGTGAAATATCATCAATCATCACCTATATATCAACAATTCTTTCAATTTATATGAATGAACTCATCTAATATATAAATTAATAGAGCGAAAATATAAAGAATATAACTAAAAATTATCTCTTAAACATAGAATTTAAATATCTATTGGTTATTGATGTTATTTCTAATATTAATTTTTTTGATGAATAATTTAAAAAAAATTTTTAAATAGCTTTTAATTAAATCTGGTTGTATTTAAAACATGATTTTATTTTTATATAGATTATCAAAGAAGAATACCAAAAATTTGATGTTAATAAGGAGAATTTTATTGATTACAGCGCTCTCTTTTAGAACAGCTACTTGAAGAAAACATTTAGCTTTTCTTAAATTGAAGGAGCTACACAATAAGACTAGGAAAAATTAAAGCAATACAATTAGCTATTTTACCAAAGATGCTTAGAATATATTTAATAAAATAATGACCATTCAATTATGAACTCTAAGAAGAACTACTTAATTGATATCAAAGAAAATCAGAAAGGATACATCAATTCCAAGTTTTTAGATTATAAAATTATTCTAATTACCCTTCTTTGCAGTGATGATGAATCAAGCTAATCCAATTAACAAAATAACTAAAGTGATTATAACACCACTAAGACTTCAAGCAAAATTGGTTTATCAAATTAAGCAAATACCAGCAATTCATCTAGTAGTAATAGCACTTTTAATACTTATCCAAATTAAGGTTAAAATTCTTTCAACTATTCTCCTAAATTAAAACCTAATCAAAAAGATGCTACTTAGGCTGAAATCAACAATTTAAATAAAAGAGACTTAACTAAAGAAAGCAGTAACAAAAAAATAGAAACAGCTGCATAACCACAATAGAATTAGTAACAACCTCATGTATCCAGCTTCTCTATAGATTCTAATAAAAAGCAAACTTCTTCAAGATTTCAATTCAAAATAGATTTCTATTTAATGGATATTAAATCTTGTGAGAATAATACAAATCCTACCTCCAGAGATTTCGAAAAATACAACAAAGGAGTCGATTAATATATTGAGCAGCTCATGAAGTAGATCAGCCACTTTTACTCACAGACATGTTTTGAAGCAATTGCTGCTAAATAAGTTAGGTTGAACTCTTTAAGCATCGAGGAGGCTATACATAACTCTGGTATTCAATCATAAATTTAATAAATTCCCTTAAAAGATTTCATGACAGTATATTCTTGGTTTCACAGGGATTTTGCTACTCAAAAGAAGAAAAATAACAATCAAAATTAGGTTAGCATGAATTTAGGTTTGAACATAAATAACAACAACTCAATCATTAATTAGATGAATAACAGGAATAATTCACAATATCACTAGATGCATCACCATCATCACCAATAATAATAATAATAACAGTAAAACAATAATCTTTCAGCTATTAGCAATTAATAAAAAAGTTAAATTCCTCAAAGCAATTCTAATTCGATGATAAACGAAGATATGAATTATTTAGTAAATCAAAAATTCTTAGACGATGAAATTTTAATTATTGATTAAAAGAATTTAAATGGATAATAAAACGCTTCTTAAATAAAAAAGCAAGAAAATGAAATCAATCCATTTGAGCAATTTGACAACTTGGTTCTCACAAAAGCTCAAAAAATATTTGACATAGTTGTTAATAGCTTCTTTTCTAATATACCAGACACATCATACTACTTTACTGACCAAAAGAAGGCAGAGGAGCTTAGAAGAAATGATCCTTAAGATTATGAATTGGCTACAGAGTTTCTTCCTAACTTGAATCAAACCATCCCTAAAATATTTATGAAGATTAAGTACAACTTAGGTGGTTAATCAAGGTGTTTCTCCAGTTTTAAAGAAACATTCATGCAAATGATAACAGAGCAGCAAAAAGACAAGGAAAACAACTACATCTAATTTGAATTCTATTAAATTCAAAGTGACCTTTTCAAAGACAAATAACAGTAAATGTCTGCCTTAGGAAGTGACACATAACCTTAATCAAACACTGCCACAAAAAAGACTCACAACTTCTTTTTTGATTTTAAGCTCGCTTGTTCCAGTATCATCAAAGTTACAGTAAAAAACATAATCATATCAACAAATAGATTAATTTCAGCTTTCAAGAAACATTTTTAAAAAATTTTCCATTTATTGCTAGATAAAAATATAAAAATTAAGTAATATTTTTATCCAGAAAATAAATTAGGCTTTTAATTAAATTTAAAAAAATTAAAATAAAAAAGTTAAATAATGATTTTATCTAGAAAATCAATTAGGCTTTTAATTTAATTAAAAGATGGAACTAAAAAAATTAAATGATATTTTTATCTAGAAAATAAATTAATTAGGCTTTTAAATAAATTAAAAGATGAAACTAAAAAAGTTAACATTAGGTTTAAAATTTAAATAAAATATGAAACTACAAATTTTTAATGATATTTTTATCTAGAAAATCAATTAGGTTTTATATTTATTTAAAAAGATGAAACTTCAAGATTTAAATATTAATTTTATTTAGAAAATCAATTAATTAGGGTTTTAGTTTAATTAAAAGATGAAACTACAAATTTTTAATGATATTTTTATCTAGAAAATCAATTAGGTTTTATATTTATTTAAAAAGATGAAATTTCAAGATTTAAAATTTAATTTTATCTAGAAAATCAATTAAATAGGTTTTTAATTAAATTAAAAGATGAAACTACAAAATTTTAATGATATTTTTATATAGAAAATCAATTAGGTTTTTATTTAATTAACAAATATATTTTAAAAGAACTTAGAATATTTCATGATGAATACTCCTTTGTACAAAGATGATGTGGAAAAAATTATTAAACTCATTTAAGAAAGCAAATAAAATTATCAAAGAGTGTATGAAATAGAGAGAAAGAAGCTTATTAATTTAGATGACCATAAACTTCTTGATCATCCCAAGAACTAAGAAATTTTAATTAATGAAATCAGTGAGGCTTCTAACTAAGGATGTCTGCATTTAAAGAAGGTGTCAAACTCACTTATTTTTTATCAAATCTTTTAGAGTCCTCAAGACGAAGAATGCTAACTTCTAGAATATGACACAAGAGAATTACTCAAAAGTAATTAAATTTCTTTTTTGAGATCTTTTAATTTATATTGAATCAATAATAAAAAAGGATTGAACCAATACACAAACTTTATTGTTCCCTTTTGGTTTTTCTTAATTTTTAAGCCTGATAAAGTTGAGGTGCACTTCAACCCAATTAGCTTTTTGTCTTCAAGTTAGTCGCACTTTGTAAGGATTTAGCACGAAATAAACCAATTTATTTAGAGGGCTTACTAGAGAGCTAATACAGTCATATTAATCCTTGAAATGAAGAGAACTTAGTTCTGTCCTTAGAATCTGGAAATAAAAGGAGCAGCAATGCAGAAGCATGAAAACAAGCAAACAGGTGCACAAAACAAGATAAAAAACTAATAATTCTATCAACAATTTAATTAAAAGTTCAATCTATCTAAAGCAAGAGCAGAAAATAAAGAAAGTGCTTAAGACAAAATGGATAACAACAGTAAATATAAGGTTGATCTCCTAGACACTCTATTCTTCCCCATATAAGAAAAAGAGGAATTTACTACTTTTATTAATAATATGGTTTTTAACAACTTCAGAGTTCATAACACAAGTAACACCTACCTCTACTTTGAAAAAGAGGAAATTTATATTATTTGCTTCTAAGATATTACTCAACATTAGTTACAGTAATTATAGCACTCATAAGAACAGAATCACAATCTTCACACCATTTAATAATCATCTCAACAGTAAGGACAAAACTTATTTGTTACCTCAATTACTTCAATAAACCCACTGAGCAGCCAGTAAAATGATAGTTTTATCAGTTAAAATTAAAATGGGTCATAAGCAGCAGATGGCAGTTTCATCTAATAAGCTTTAGCTCCATTTCAGTAAAAAGGAAGTTTAGTCTCTAATTAATTTTAAAGCTTTAGCATGGTCTCTTAGACAACCGCCATTAAAGGCCCTCTTTCTAAATACTATAGTAACTAACTAACTAATTAGTTTTACTTCTTATTCAAAAAATAAGTGGAAAATTTTCTTATTTTTGAGTTTGTTTTTCGCTATAATTTATTTTTATAAAAAAATAAAATAAAAATTTAATAAATAAATAAATAGCAACTGACTAGTATAACAAAGGAAAGAAATTCATAAATATTGAAATATATGGAATGAACAGCAAGTATTTTAAAGACGCATAAGAAGCAATTTGTATTTAAGTAATACAAGCCTAAACTTTAGAAACAATAAAAAAAGTAAGCGGTAAGCTGTCAGAAATTATTAAAATACCTAAATCTGACTATGATTAAATACTTGAGAGTTCTTACAGAAAGGTAATTAATTCAATTTATTTTCATATTTAATTCTATTAATTAATTAAATAAATAAATAAATTTTTATAATAATAGAAATTTAGATACAAATTCCCTTCTTTTATTGTTGACCACGCCTCATTTATGTACTACTTTAAGTAAAACATTTAGAAAATCATGAATAAATTTACTGTGCTTTAGAATTCTAATAATCGTCCTTCAGGTATATATTAAAAAATAATATTTTTTTTATTAAAATTATTGAGTAAGAATTATTTTTATTTAACGTAATCTATAATTGTATTCATTTTTTAAGGAAACCACATTTATTTTAATTAAATAAACATATAGCTTTAGATCATACTAAAGAGAGCTTAGAAAGCCAAATTGATGTTTAAAATGTAAACCCTAACACGCCTAAAAAAGAGAATTAGCAATTTGATTAATTTTTGACTGACAATTACGGTGAAATGAAAGTTGTAAAAGTTTAGTATGAAAAGAATGATTTTAGATTCTTATTTAATGGTCAGTCCTCAAGGAAAATATTTGGTATTTGTATGTTCTTAATGAATGTAGTTTTACAGAGAAAAAAACAAACTAGAGAAATGGAGGAAGTTAATCATTTCTACCCAATAGTTCCTCTCAAGTAGCTCTAAGATAATCAAAAACTTGGCATCAATGCTATCGAAACAATTTCATTGGGTTGTGGTTACAGCTAAAACGATTGGGACGACTAAAGTTCTTTTGTATATAACTTTTTAGCTAATAACTAACAAATAGACTCGTTCAAGCCACCTGACATTTATAATTACATAGATAACAAATATATTAAAGAGACTAATTCTGACTTCAAAGTAAATTTAATCTTAAATGCCCAATTAATTTACTTCAATTTTTAGTTTGATTTAAAGAATCTTAATCTTTATATAAAATTTTTAGATCGAATTAGCATCAGAAATCATAACACAAGAAGAGTACTTCTTAGACTTAGAAATTAGAAATAAGGTAAAAAAATTTTATTTAAATCCTTTGCAATCAAATTATTTTTTATAAACTTTATTCAATAATAAAAATTCAACAAAATTCTTAAATGTCTATCTAAATATTTTATTAATTTTATCATAAAATATATTTTTAAAATTAAATCAATTAATTTTCTTTTAAATTTATATGATGAAAAAAATGTAATTTAAGCATTTTAAAAAATTACTATATATTGATTCAGGCTAATAAGTTAAATTAATTTGAATAATTAAAATCCTTGTTTAATTAACAAATTATGGATATATTCAATTTATTTTTTAATTTTTATTGTTTTAAAGTGAAATATATTTTAATAAAGATCTTTTGATATAATTTTGAATCATTAAAATATCTAAAAATATATTGAAATATTAAATAGGGTACTGTTGAGTAGGAAAAACTTATAAATTATTTAACAGTAACTTTGAATCAGATATGCCTTGATTACTTATTTGAGACAATTTTACAGAGAAGCATAGTTACAAATTTGGATGAAAAAAATTAAAATAAAAGAGTCTAGTAGGATTACTTCTATAAGTCATGCTTGAATGCTGAGAAATTGTTTACTAAGCTAAATCATAAAAGCTTCTTTATGTAATACTAGAAATACTAACATAAGTTCTACCATAATATTTGGCCTAGTTATTTGAAATATTGCAGCGCTTTACTAGAAAAGGAGATTTTAGAGAAATGCAAGATTAATGAACAAAATATTAACTTTCCTTCCATATACGTAATTGATGATGGATTAGGTTATGCTTAAATATTTGAACATTATAACGATATGGAAATTTATTTCTTAGGAAATTACAAAAATTCTATTCAAATTATAAAAAAACCTCCTTAAATCTCTTATATCATCTGTGGAAACCTCTTGAAATAAGGAGTAAAATTAAACTCAAATTTTTCAAACATTTTATTAAAATTTTAAAATAAATAAATAAAGATCAGAGATGGAAAATTTGATAAAAACATGATGAACATCTTTGAGAAGCTGAAAGAAGACAAAGCTGTACAACTTTCACCAGTTGAAAAATAGGACTTTGACATTTTTACTCAAAGAAACTTTTATGCAAGAATTTCAATTCAATAAAAAAGCTTAGAATTAAAGTTTTACAATTTGAACAGAAGTATTATAAAACAAATGAATGATTATATGGAAACTCTATTTAACTGGTCCAACTGCAGATATCACATCTAAAAGCATGTATTTTTACAGAAATTAGGTGTTTATACTTACTTCAGTTAATACACTGTACCTAAGCAAAAAACTTAAAACCAGTCCTTCATAGACGAAATTCACAAGGTAAATAAACAATTTAATAAACTAAATATATTTTAATTTCCATTTTTTCTGTTTTTGATAAACATCTCAAGATAGATACAAAAAAGTGAACAAAGTAAGTTTGTAAAATAAAAATATTAGTCAAATTCTTCAAAAAGAATCCAGTCAGAGTTTTTTATTTGCAATTAATTAATTTTAAATTAAGATAATTTGTAAAATAAAAATATTGCTCAAATTCTTCAAAAATAATTCAGTCAAAAACAAAAAATGACTTTTTTACTTTCAATTAATTAATTAATTTAGTTATTAATTGAAAGTAAATTCATATAATAATTTTAAATTAATCGTAAGCTAAATTTTTAAATTAAGCTAAAATAAATTAAGTTTAAATTAATCATAAAATTAAGTTTTAAATTAAACTAAAATAAAACTTTAAATTTAACAAAAAAAAAACAAAATTTTAAATTAAATATAAAACAAAGTGCTAAATTAAACATAAAATAAAACTTTAAATTAAACATAAAACAAAATTTTAAATTAAAAATAAAATAATTAGATATTAACTTAAGAAGAGAAGGCGGATTTTGGTGATCTTGGAGATGCTACTAATTATAAGAACTTTTTAAGGGTTAGAGAACAAGATTTAAATGAAAAGAGAGCTAAAGAAGGAAATACTTAGAAACTTACAGAGTATATTAGCACTCTAACATATAATGTTTTTCCTTAAAAGGGTAGAGAGAGCATGATTGATATGTTTTAGAAGCACTACAACAACTTTTTAACTGTATCTTTCAGAATTATAAAGCCTAAGTTTACTAAGAGTCACTACAACAAAAAACAAAATGATGATGGAAATATCGATTCCTTAATTATACACGGAGGACCATTCCTAAATTTTGTTCAAGACTATTACATAAATGACTACAATAAACAATTCTTTAAATTTATGAGAACTAATTGCTAATCTGGTAACTAAAAGCTAATTGATTTCTAGCTAATTAAGAAAGTAAAAAAAATAATTAATGCTAAATTAATATTTTTAATGATATTTCTTTATTTATTTATTTAGTTTTTGAATGGAGCTGATTTAGTGAGAAATGACATCTGTCCAATAATAGTTATCATAGCCGATAATAACTAATTCAATCACTGGAAGAGAAAAGAAGTTGACGAAAGTGATGTTGTTGGAGATCATTTAGAATTTTTGGAAAAAGAAGAAAATAAGAAACTTATTAATGCTTACTAATTATTCTAAGATATTTACATAGAATAAATTTAAAAATTAGTGGAAAAAGCTACATACACTGTTAAACAAAAACTAGATGTCTTGCTTTCAGTAAAATTTCATATTTTAATCTAATCAACCAATTTAAAGCTAAATTTAACTTATTGAAAATCATTTTTAAATAAATAAATAAATAATAATTTTTATTATTAAAATTATTTTTGAAGTAACTTTTAAAATAAATAAATTAATTTCTATTTGAATTGAGAAAGAAATTAATTAAAAATAAACTTGTAATTTTATTTAAAAATAGGACTATCAAAGCGATCCTAGTTAGTCGTTTGTGACTTTAAAAAAGAATTTCAGCTAACTTGAGAATGATAGGTTTTAAATTTAAAAGTATAAATAGGTATCGCTTGGATAATTTATGAGAGTGTCTTAGATAGAAGACCAATCATCAGTAAAAAAATATTTTTACATTTTATATGAAAGCTGAATAAATTTTTTAAAAAAAGGTTTAGCTGATTAATCAATCTAAAGAGAGTAACATGTTGAATTAAAAATAACTCACTAAGATGCAATCCTTTAATGACAATAAAAGTAATATAACGATCCTTATGAAAGCAGAGTCGAAAACACTTTTCTTGGTTGAGTTACAATTTAAGATATCAGAAATTACATAGAAAGTGTATTACTAATCCTAGGATAAGACAGACTAATTCGAGCTTATTCACAACCAGGAAATCAACCTTTTCCAAAGTGAATTTAACATAACCAAAGAAACATTTGATGCCCATTTAAATCTAATTAACTAAATCCTTCACAGTGATTAAAAAGACGAATACCCAGAAATTGACATAGTGCAAACTCTTAATTCTCTATATATTCATTACTCTGATCTAATTGATCTTTCAAAAAGTCAACATATTATTGAATCTAAAGTCATCAAAGCTAGTTTAGGATTTTTCAATTCTCAATTCAACTAAAAGGAATTAATTGAATTCCTAGATTTTAACATAAAAAGCAAAAAAATTAGCTAATTTTACAATTTAGGAAGTAATATTTGCATGCAAATTGATTCGTCGATTTTCAGTGGGCTTGTCACTTAAAAGAACAATTTCTATATATTTTTAAATTTCTTACCTGACGACAAAAGCTTTTTAAATAGCCAGAAGATGATTTAGCTTCAAATAGAAAATTCAGTACATATTTTTTTGACTATTTTTATAAATTTATTAATAAGTTTTTGTTAAAATAGCAAAATACAAATGAAATTTTGTACATTTCTTATCATGTGATTGTATTTGATGCAAAATTAACTGACACAGCTTCCAGAGAACCCATCATAAATAATATTCATGCAGAGATAGAAAAACAATTTAGACAGATTTTGCCCAAACAGAAGAAATCGTTTATAAGCTAAGATTACTACAATAAAATCCTAGCTGGAGATGATAAAATTTATAATGAATAAATCGATTTACTTCAAAATAATTGCTAAGTCATTCTCTTGCAAGTAAAATTTTTAGAAAAAATTTATATTTTATTTAACAAATTAATTAATTTATAGCAAAAAAATCCTGATTTCCTTAAAGATATTAAAGATTTATAATGCTTCGACCATTTTTTCCTTGAATAATTAAAATGGATGTTCAAAATGACTAAATTCACACATAGGGATAGATATAATTCTTACTCTATTTTAATCCCTATTCAAGAAGATTCTGTTAATTTCTAGGGAGCACTTTTAATTAGCATAAATGAGAAAAACCAAATAGATCCTGAGAAAATAAAGTGTATCAGTATAAACGAAGTAGACGAGTAGAATTTTATTTCAATTATGTATACATACTTAAATGAAATAATACTTAACTGGGTTTACTACCTCAACGAATAGCCTTACTAGATAGAAATTTGAGATGGATATTTTGAATATCTTTTAAATATCTTTTATTTAACTAAATTAAAATATTTTTAAGCAAAAGCTATACAAATTTATATTGTTCTTTATTTATTCACAAATTTTATTAAATTGGTAATTAATAATTTAAGTATCAAGTATTTCTGTTCTCTAAATAAATTAAGTATTAAAATTTTTACCATAAAAAAATTACTTTTTTTAGATTTTCTTCATAAACATTGTTAAAAATGTTCAATCGAAAGAAATTAAATAAAAAGATTCTAATAAATTATTAATAGGAAATGATAAAAATTAAAAATATGCTAGAGTTTTTTTAGAACAAAAACTACTAAAAAGCCTATTTGTAACAATTGTATAAAAAAAATGAAATATGTATTTGAAAAATAAAATATTTTTGAAGTTTTACTCTAAATTTTCTTCTTCCAACCTTAAAATTTTATTGGAAAATTTAACCTTAACATCAAATTTTATCATATTTAAAAAAATATTTTTGAATAAAATAAATGGATAAATACCTCAGGACAGACAATACATATAATATGAATCCCAATATTTATTAATTTATTTATATCTTTAGATTTATTTATTTATATATTCTTCTAAATTATTCATTTATATATATATAGATATAGATATATTTATCTATGATTTTCGTTTTTAATGCCTCAAATGATAAGACTAAATGCAATTAAGATTAAAGCTGATACCTTTAATACAACTGAGTTGCTTATCTTGTTGAGACAAGCGTTTGTTGAATTAATATAGTCATTAAGCATTTAATCTGTGGAAGTACATGCCATTGAACAAGTTTTGTAGTCAGATATAGATGTTTTAGAACCACATGCCATAGAACATTACATGTAGCTCATAATATCAGCAGAGCATTAGGACATGTTCATAGAAGAAGCACAAGGATTTGAAATGTTTTGCATGCAATTTTTGAGCATCATACTATCCTAAGAGCCCAAAAATGATGGGGGATTCATCATAGTTTACATAGCAGACATGAAAGTATTCATAGTGCACATGTTCATAGAAGTAATGTACATAGAAAGAGAAGAGTCAGTTGAGGTACATTACATAGTACAAGTCATGTAATCATTTAATGCAGTTTTAGAAGAACACATATTATAACAAGCTAAGTATGACATCATATCCGACATACACATAGCTTAGTTAGATGCACTTTAGCAAGGATTTGAAATTTTTTAATTGCATTAACTTAGCATACTTGACATAGAAGAGTTTAAAAACATAGGATATTAAGGCATTGTGAACATGTTAATGCACATATTGCTTGATTGAATGTACATCTAAAGACTTGAATTGCTTGAAGTACATGCCATAGTACAAGTCATATAATCATTGATGTTTATTTTTGAGGAACATTTATTGTAGCAAGCATTATAACTCATCATATCTGTCATACACATGGCGGAGTTAGATGAGCTTGTGCAAGGGTTAGCTATTTTTTGTTGGCACATCATCAACATCGATCCTTATTAGGAAGTAAAGAAAGAGGGCCAGAACATTGAATTCATAGCGAGGTTGTTAGAGCAAGTATTAGCTGCATTTACATAGGAAGTAAGAGAAGAGTCATTGTTATAGGTACATGCCATTGTGCACATCATATAATCAGCAAAATTCATTTTCGATGAACACATATTGTAGCAAGACATGTAATTCATCATGTCAGTCATACAAGCAGCTGAGTTAGAAGCTGTTGGACAAGGATTAGCATTAGCTGAGTTACAAGTCATAAACATAGAAGATTATGAACTGGATAAGAAGCTGGGATAAAACATATTTTTCATTCCAAGTTGGCTGATACAGGTATTCATTGAAGTCACATAAGTCATGAGAGAGGAATTGTTATTATAAGTGCAAGCCATGGTACAACTCATATAATCAGCGAAATTCATTTTTGATGAACACATATTGTAGCAAGTCATATAATTCATCATATCTGTCATACATGCAGCTGAGTTAGATGCTGTTGGGCAAGGATTAGTAATAGCTGAATTGCATGTCATTAACATAGATGATTATGAGCTAGACAAGAAGCTAGGATATGTCATATCTGCATTAGCTATGTTCAAAGATAAGACAAGGGCAAGTAAAGCAACAATATTTAGTTTCATTCGTTAGTATTTTCAGAGAATCTTTTAGTTATTTTTTATTTATTTATTTGTTTATTTTTTTATTGAAAGTAGGTAACTAGAGCCAATATATAAAGTCATTAAACAGACTCTATGAGTGAACACTACTGTAAAGAGTTGTCATCTTATGAAATAAAAATTGTTTATATTTATCTATCATAAAAGCAATTATCAGTCTGGTGTAAGCCTTAATTAATTATCTTATGATTCCAGAAATTTTCTAATAATTTGAAGTTCTGTGCAAATTTTTTTAATAATAATATAACAATAAATTTCTTATAAATTCTTTCAATTTTGTTTGATAGCGTTCGAATTTAATTAGATTTCACAGAATAAAGTAATGTAAAAAAGAAGTTTCTTAAAGTTTTAAATCTTTCTTAATTAAGAAAGCGTGCTTTAAGCTAAAGTTTTACAAAAATAGACAAAGAGATTTAAAGGAGTGTTATTTATATCTTAAAAAATATTTTTTAATATAAATTAAAACATTTAAAGTAGTATTATAATTGGTAATAATGTGAGTTTAAATAATATTAAATTAACAAAAATAAAAGTAAAAATTTTAAAATGTTATCAAATATTTATTAATCTCAATAAATAATATCAATTTTAAACATTTTTTAAATTTTATAGAAAAAATTATTGAAAAATGAAAAAATAATTATTGATATTAAATAATAAAAAGTTTTAAATATATTTAGTAAAATTTTAATAAAAAAAATAAAAAATAGTAGTTATAAATATGGATAGTTATTATGTATGTATAGAAGAATATGAATGAATGGTACGGCACGTTCAAACATTGAAATTTATTATTTTAAATAAAAAGTGTCCTTTAAAATAATATTGGCAAATTAAAAATATTAAGAAAAAATTAACTAAATAAATAAATAGTTGTCTAACTTTAAATTGGGTGAATTATGATGAAATTTATTTAATAAAATAAAATTGTCAATTGTTAATTAAAATACAAGCTTTTTACTAATATATTTAATTTTTCTAGAAATTTTCTAATTAAATGAACATCTGTGTATGATATCTAATAAATAAAATTTATCTTTTCAATTTACTGATTTAGTAAAAATTAAATGGCGTTGGATTAAATTTTACTTTATAGAGACAAAATAATGTTATTATTTTTTTTATATATTCAAAGTATTTCTTTAATTATTAAATTAAAATAATTATAAAATAATTAAAATAATATGCAAATAAAAGTTTTATCTAGTCATTATATACATAATATATATAAATAAATAAATAAATAGGTTTTATCTACTTATTAAATTTATTTTATATATTTATTACTTGAAAGCAAAAATGATAAATTAAAAATATTAATAAAATAATTAACTAACTTAAAATTTTGCGAATTTTGATCAAATTAATAAGTTTAAATAAAATTGTTGATCTTTTATAAAGATTCTAGGTTTTTTACAAAGGTATTTAATTTTTCTAGAAATTATATAAATAAATGATCATCTTAGTAATAAATTGATTGATTGATTAAATAAAAATGTTTCATTAAAATTTAATTATTTATTAAATAAGATATATATTACTCCAAATTAAAATTTAATAAACCTTTTTTTATTTAAAATTATAATTTTTCTAATCTTTAAAATAATTGTTTAGTTATTAAATGAAAAAGTTACTTAAAATTTCAAAAAAGATTCACTTTTTAAAAAAGTTTAACATTATCTTTAATTTTATTTTAGTACCTTGAGGGTTTTTAATAATATTATTATATTTTTGGTATTTTTTTGGATGTGCATACATACATACATACATACATACATACATACTTTCTTTGTTATTTTTTAAATGGAATTAATCCTAAATATAAATTTGTAAACGCTATTTTAATCTATCTATTTAATTCAATTGAATTCAATTATGCCTACAATGTACTATGGGTATGAAATATAAATGTTGAAACTCAAACTTTAGGTATTTGATTTTTATAATAATAATATAGTAATGAGATATTAGCATTTATTTTTATGAACTAAAGTGTTCTTTAATAGTTTTTAATTAATTGTGAGTACTCATTAATTTAGTGAATGAGCCATTGTTTAATAATGTGTCTATTTATTATATTGATTAAAAAATTTATTAAAACTTTAAAATAATTAAAATTCCTTACTGCTCTCTTTTAAAATATTTATGGTAGATAATTTGTTGGTAAATAAATAATATAAAATAATTTTAATAATACTTTAAGCAATTTAAAATTAAGACATAATGTAATTTAGTATAGAAGGATAAATTTAACATTAAAGTTAATTTTTCTTAATACAATAAATTTGTTGTATGCACTAGAGAATAGAAAAATTTGATAATTAAATTAATTATTTACCTGATCTGAAAAAGAATAAAATTAAATAATTTGAAAATTGAATTACTAACTTTTCTTTTGGTTAATTAAATTATATTTTTAAGTAAACTTTATTTTGTTTATTTTAGTTATAAAAATAATGCACTTTTATAAACAGGGTTCTAAAAAATATAATTTTTACACAGCTTTTTACTGAAAAAATCATTAAAAAAATTAATCGGCTCTGATTGATTGATTAAAAAAATGATTTTGAACCCTCTATTTATAAATTATGTAATTGAAGTTTTTAATCAATTTAAAAAAAACTCTAAAAAAGTACGAAAAAAAAATTTACATTTTAATTTAAAGAAATTTATCTTATAAAAATTTAGTAACTTTAATTTTGTTTGGTATATTTAATCATTTACAATCTATTAAAGGTTACTCGTAAGTTTTGTGTTTAAAACAATAGGCGAATTAGCTGCTAAATAATTAGTTTTAAATAAAATAAAATTAAAAGTAGTAAAAATAAAAGAAAAATGGCCTAAAAATAATTCTTATTAATATTGTTAATTGCTTTGATTTGCACATCAAATGTCTTTGCCTAATGTAGAGGTTTCGTTAAGGATGATTATGAAAACAAGAATTCTTTAAGCTTTATTGAAAGATTCATTGCTAACTTATGTGAATATACCAACATTTCAGATTCTAATGGAGATGCAGACTAAAATAATATCAATACTTAAATTGATTAAGAATGTGAAGAAAACTCAAATACTGGATAATGAATTATTCATATTGCTGATTTACAAATATTAATTAATAGATTTAAGAAAAATAAACAATTTGTTTTGTTTTCTATTTAAATATTTGTCAACTTTTTCTTTAATTTTTTAAATAAACTTTTTTCGTTAGAATAAAATTAAAAATTTAAAAAATGATAGCAATTTTTATATTAAATTTGAAAACATTTTTTATTAAATAAGCTGAATAATTAATTAATTAATTAAATTGTAAAAAATTGATATAAAATTGCTTCATTTATTTTTATTGATTTACTAAATTAAAAGAAAGATGGAAAATAATTAATTAAATAGAATAAATGAATGAATGCTTAGTGGTTATATAAATTTAAAATCAAATGAAATATATCAAAAATATCTTTTTTTAGTTTGAATAATTTATTTATGTTGTAAATAAAAATTAATTAATTTATTAATAAAAACACAGTATTTTAACATTAATCTTTTTTCAACTCAATTTATTTAAAAAGTTGTTTATTGCAAATCTCTTCAAATCACAAATAAAATAGGTGAAGATAATAAAAAAGTTAGATGAAGGGAAGATAACCATTTTATTTAAAAGAAATTCATTTCAAATTATTGGTAGTCATTATAGCAGTTATTTTAAGAGAATCTCAGCAACATGAGTATTAGCTAAATTTATATGAGAATGAAATAATTGCTAATGAGTGGTATCAAACTATCATTGGAAGCATAAAATATGCCAAAATAAGCTTCCAGAATGATATTATCATTTAAAATTTTAGGAATTAAATTATGAAATACGATTTTTAGGGGAATCAGAAATGGAGCACAAAAGTTAGTAAGGGAGAGCTCATTAAAGTTTAAAAAGATTGGGCAATAGTTTTTAAATAATCTTCCAAAAGTTTAGTCTATGTCGATTTAGAAATAGGAAAGCCTTTGTACGAAGTTAGTTATGGCACATTCAAGGATGAGCACCTACCAAGGATGAAGAGTTCATAGAAATTTTTTATAATGCATGACTAACAAAACATCTTTTGGATTTAATCCAACCCAAAAGAGAACGAACAAAATAATTAATCTCATTCATAATAATAATTTTTTGCAGAATAAAAAACTAAAGAACCGCTTAGCACAGGAAGTTACTCAACTGGCAGCAACTATGAAATTTTAAACATTTAAATAGATAACAAGGAAAACATTCACGTTCTCCTCTAATACAAGAAGAGTCAAATATGTCTTGGAATTGTTGAAATCAACTAACAAGATGAAACAAACATTAAGCTTAGGAGATGTAGATAAATGAGTTACAATTAAAAAATCATTTCATATGGCTCAGTTAATGGTTTTTTGATTTAGAATATTAAAGATGCTGACACTAAAGCTTTAAGAATAGTTTATTTTGACAGTTCTACAGCAGATTTTGAAGAAAATAATTTTTCTATTTTCTCTTCTGAAGAAGATATTTATAGTGCTAGAGAAACTATTCATTAAATTCACACGTTTGACTAGAATGAAATAGTTATTTTTAGATACGCAAATTATTTTGAAATTTGTAGATTGACTGCTTTGGACTTAATTTGCCCAGATATTTTTATAAAAAAGAGAATGTATTCCATAATTCCAACATATAATTATCAAAGCGTATTGTTTCTCTCTTCATATATTGTAAATTAATAGGAAGACGTAAATTCTACTAACTCTTTCAGCGAGAACGAGCTCAAAAAAGAGCTTAATGCTTAACTCTTTGATTTGGAATAATATTAAGTTTTTAACTTTAATAGATTAGTTTTAGAAGAAAGCATCCAATCTGTCTTCACTAAAGTTAACATGAAAAATCCATCTTCCCCTTCAGTGAATTTAGTCATATAAACTAATAGATAGCAAGTAGTATTCAGCCAACTATTCTAAAAGCAGCATTTTATTTATTCTATTTAAGAAGGCAGTCTGTAGAATGATTTGTCTCCACTTTTTTATCGTTTTTATAAAACTGTTAAGAATCCATATCCATAAACAAAATTACCTGAATAGGCAAATGATTATTTAAACCCTTTAAACATCTTAATTGGGGAATCTTGTACAAAGACGGCAAATGCAATTATTAATAACATTAAACATAGATGGGAGAGAGATATAATTAATATAAAAAGCTACTTATTTAAGCTAAAAAATGAATTTTAAAATTAACAAAATCAAATTGAAGATTCAACTGAAAATGATAGAATGTACGGATTCGAATAAATGATTTTAATTCCTACAAGGAATTTCCTTCTCTTTGCCTACAACTCAGGTTCAGGAAAGCTGATCTATAAATAGAATATTAATGGGTAAAGCGACTCAAATGAAGTTATTGGCTTGGTGAGATTATCCTTGGATAGAAAGCAAAATTAAGGATTTTATGTAGAAGAATGCTAAGATTAATTTATAATTATCATAAATAATTCCGATTACATAACCTTGCAGTTTATAGAACCTCTAACGGGAGAATTGCTGCGAACTGAAAACATAGACATGCCTGAAAAGTAAAAATACAGCTCTTTTATGAAGGCAAAACTCTCTTCAGATTCTAAAAAGGAGCACTTACTGTTCTTCACTAATAAAAATAGTTTAGTTTTTTATCCTAGTCTCGATTTGGTTGAAGACAATGAAGTAAACAACAGATTGAAAAATAGTCAAATTTTTGTAGTGAAGCAAGAATTCTCTGAAATTAATTTTTACCAATTAAGCGATTTGTCATCTGGTTTGCAACAAAAATCCTCAATGCCAATAAAAGCAAATCAAAAATTAATAAAAATAACACAGAATCTTTCAAAACTTGATTTAACTTAATATCATGAAAGGATGATAGCCATAGAAACAGAAACGAAAGATGCATACAGATGGCTAGATTTTGAAAAGAGGATGTTTGCACTTTTAATACTAAATGAACACGAAAAGAAATTAACAATTAGCGTAGTAGATACTGTAACAAATAAAATTCTTATCTAAAGATACATGGCTAATGTAAAGGTGAATTATCCAATAGACATGTTTCTTCATGAAAACAAATTATTTGTATCCTTCTATAGCGATTATTATGATAAGTAAATCTTGTATGAAATGAAACTTTATTTTAGACACTTCTTAACAATATTCAGTCTTCCTAATCCAGAATTACCAGTAGACTCTATTGCTTGCGATGCAAAAACGCTATTTTCAGAGTAAACAATAGGCAAAATGCACTCAGTAGTTTTAGATAATTTGATTTTCACTAATTACAACAATGATATCTTATACATTAATATATAAAAATTAAATGAAACTGAAACAACCTTATACAATTCAGGATTTACTCAGATCAATACAGTTCCCCTTTCATCTATCTAACATATTTACATCTAAAAGACCTCTTTAACTAGTAGATACCTTTTAATCGCTAATGGTGCTCAAATATATAGTGTTAATTTCACTCCATAAGGCAGATTTGATACTCTCCCTTTAGATTTCAATTACAATGCAGTAATAAACTCTATAGCAATAGGCTTTACCTTAGTTCTAATCTCTAAATGCTTTAATTTCATTATTTAATCAAAGAAAAAGCAAAAAGACTTTTGAAAAAATTGTATTAAGTAAATTTAATATGTAAGTAAGTAAGTAAGTAAATAAATAAATTAGCCATCTCATAACTTTATTTAAACAGAAACAATATCAATAAAATAATTTAAACAAATAAAATAATCAATTAATTTTGAGATAAATTAAGATGATAAAATAAAATAAACTTAAATTAAGATTAAATGTTAGAAAGTAAACAAACTGCAAATAATTATTAATTTATCTTCAACCCACTGTTTTAATAATATGAATTAATTATTTTGAAAACAATTAAATTTTACATATTAACAATAATTAATATTTTGATTTTGATTAAAATATAAATTTTATATTTATTTATTTCTTTCTTTCTTTCTTATTTTTTAATTAGATAAAGATATTTTGTAATAATATTTATTATAATATGAAAAAGGATAGTTATTCGATAATATAATTAATTTTGTCAATTTTTATTCATTCATGTAATTAAGTAAGTGAGTGAGTGTGGTTAAACTAAAGACCATCTATTTGATAATTTAAAATTAAGTTGTTTGGGTTCAATTGTTTTTTAGGATTTGTTATAGATTTTTTTTAGAAACCAAAGAATAAAAATGATAAATAGAATGATCGATTGATAAATAGATAATAATCACTTCTTTTAATTGACAAAAACTGCCCTGAAATACAATGAATTGAATTAAATTGTACAAAATCTTCAATGAGAAATCACTATTTTAAAATATATTTCTGAAGTTTTTTTGAAATCGACTTATAAAATAAGTAAAGAAATTTAACAAATTAAATAACAAACAAAAAATTTATTTTTCCAAGTAAAAATGATCGGTAATAGATTCTTAACGATTTTATTCGTAGTCATTTTATTTCATTAGGCAAATGCTTAGTGTGGAACTAACGCATCTAAAGTAGGCAGCACCTGTTATTGTAATCCAGGTTATTATGGCCCAAATGATAGTAATTGCTAATAATGTCAGAGCAACACTTATTCACTACAAGGTGTAAGCAACACAGGTCCAAGTGTTACTTAATTTTCAGCTTGTAGCTATTGTTAAATTGGCTACTATGTAACAACTCCAGGTACTGCCACTGCTTTACCAGGTTGTCTTTAATGTCCAGCTGGTTCAACAACTCTAAATCCCCTAAGTTAACCAGGTTCAATATCTAGTTGTATATGTTTTGATCCAAATGGAACAGCATTGTCTTCCTTGAGTTAAGCATGTTAGTGCAATATAGGATTTTATGGATCCCCTTAGACAACATAAGCTGGTCCTAGTGGATGTACTCCTTGCCCAGCTAATTTTACATCACCAATAGGAACAGCTGATTAAACTGGGTGTACAAAATAATTAGATTCGTCTATTTTAAAAGCATTCTAATAGTTAATAATGATTTTGATTCTTTTTTGAAAATAGGTCTCATATAGATTTGTAAGTTTAATAAGCTTAATATGCTCATCAAGAAGGAAGTAGTTGTCTAATTTATTTTATCATGGTATTTTTTTACTTATCAATATACCTACATAATTATTGTTTAAATAATATTTGCTTTTGTGATAATAAGTGAATAAAAACATTAAAAGTAGAAGTTAAAATTTAAATAAAATAAATCATATCTTTTATTAAGATCAATTATTCTTTAACTGAGAAGTTAAATTTTAAATAATATATTAACAATTATATTGAGCAATAAATATTAATTCTTCCTTCTAACTTTATAAAATCTTTTTAAAAAAAATTTAATTTTCTTTTTTATTTGTTAGTTTATGTTTGTTTGTTTGTTTGTTTATTTATTTCTAACTTAGTTTAAAACAAACATATCAAATTGATTAAAAATACTAAAATAAATAACTTATTCATATGATATTTATTTAGCTTAATAAATCTAAGAATCAAACTATTCTTAAAATTAAAATGAATAAAACATTATTTTATTTTATTTCTTTATTTATTTATTTTTCTGAAATAAGTATGTTTAATTTGATGCTTAATTATCTCTTTTCATTATTTTTTTTTGATAATCATAATATATTTTAATTCTTCAATAATAAATCCAACCAAAATCAGAGATATAGATTTTTAACAAAAAAATTATTTTGATGATATAATAATACTTTATTTGTAAGTTTAAAAGATTAATTAACTAAAATTTAGGTATATAAATTTTTGAATAATCTTATGGTAAATAGTTAAATTATTTATTTGATTTTTTAATTTTTGAAAATAAAGTATTTTTAAAGAAGCTTAGTTAGTAATAAAATAGAAATCTATCTAATTTATTGATGTTTTAACTATTTTTTATATATTTTATTAATTTTAATAGTAATCCTGGTAATATTTTAGTTTTTTTATACTTCGTTTACTAAATTTACAATAATAGATAGAATTTCAAAGCTGATTTTTTTCAATTTATGTTTGAAAAAATGTTTTAAAATGCAATTTATTTAAATTGATTTGAAAATAAATAAAGAGAAGAATTAGAATAAAAAATTACAATAATAATATAAAATATATTTAAAGGATATAAGTTTATCTCCTTCTTAGGATATCAAATAAATACTGGTTTTTAGGTGCTTGTAAAATAAATAGATTGGTAAAACTATTTATTTACTTATTAGCATTTAGTAAATTGACAAGCAGGCAAGCAGATAAAACATTTGTTGTTTGATTTAAAAATAAAATGAATTAAAATAAAATGCAAGGTATATATATATATATAAAGAAAATTTGTTTGTTAATGGTGAGGATTTAAATAGTTTTTATATTGAATTAGTTGCAATGTGACATATAGTATATGGTAGAATACATTCGCTTATATCAATTATATCATTAAATTATTTTAGTAGTAATTGTTTTTCATCCATTGATTATAATTATATATAGAATTCTAATGGCTAACTATTTAAATAAATCAAATTCCTTTCCTAATTTTCATTAATCAAATTCAGTTGGTAGCGGCCTTGACCTTGGGTGCAGCTTAAGTACCAGATCTGAAACCATTTTTAGCTCTTCTGGCGATGGTCTTCATGTATCTCATTCTACCAGTACCTTGACCCTTTCTATCTCTAACCTTTTGACCCCAACCGTCGTCTAAAATAAAAAAAAATTCATTAACATACTTGATAAAAGGTGCAAATAACAATTTAAAAGGAATTAGGCATTTATTAATTACATCTTCTCATCTTGGCATCGGGATAACCGCAAGCAGCACATCTAAGTTTTTGCTTGTGATAAGTGGCCTTACCACATCTTCTGCACAAAGTGTGAGTCTTTTGGTGTCTCTTACCGAAAGCGGGAGTACCTCTAGTCTATAAAAATGAGAATATTTAAATAAATATTCAATGACTTTGTAAATAAAGCTAAATTTGATTTAGAAACAATGAATATTTGATAATTACCATTTTTACTTGATTATTTTTATCTCTTCTTTTTTGTTTTGAATATAATTTCTTTATATCTTTTTTTGATAATTTCACAAAGACTTTGTTTTTCTTTTTCAAAGCAAAGTCAAGTCTGTCTTTAGTTAGTTTCTCTTCTTCTTTTGCTTTATCGCCTATCTTAAACTTAATTTTAGTTTCTTCATTTATTTGCCTATAAATATTTGCAAATATTATCTTAATTCTATCATAAAATCACTTATTCTCCAAACTGATATCCTAGCATGTCCAATATAGCATTAACATTGTTAAAAAATTAATTTGATTAAATATTTTATTGTTGCATATTAATTAAATTCCCTTCAATCGATAAATAATAGATAGATGCTTTTTATTTCTCAATATGTTTTAATATTACTTAATTTTTTTATTTACAAAATACTTTCTACCTAAATAAATAAATAAATGTTAAAAAATTAACCCAATTTTTATTAACAATTAAATTCTTTAAATTTCTACTTCTACTTTTTTCTATTCATTTGTTAATTCATTTTCGTAATCTAAATCAATTAAAATTTAACTGTTATTTCATTACAAAATTAATCAATGAAGATTTATGATATTCTAAAATTATTTTTCTATTTTTCAATGAAAAATATTTATTTTTATTATTTTCTAAATTTTATTCTTCCCTCTAAAAAATTGATTCAAACAGTTAAAGAAAGATTTATTGGCTAATAATGATAAATCACATCATCAGAGTCAATAAATAATAAAAAAATAAGATAAATTAATTTTATTTTTTATTCAGAAATCCAAAAATTTCTATTTCTGAAAAATAAACTGAAATTTTTTACAAATTTAAATAAAAAATTTGATTTGTGAAATTATCAAAATCTTTAAAATTTATTTGAATTGATTTGATTGAAAATAAAACTTTGGATTTTTCAAAATATATCTTGTTTGGTCAGTCAGTGAATCTTGCTTTTTATTACTTAACTTAATTGAGAGTGAAAAGAAAATTTAAATAAAAGTAGAAATATAAAATTTTGTGAAATTCTATTGTAGCTGTTTTAAATGAAACTTTTGTTAGCATAGAGAAAAAATGAACAATTGTGATTATGATAGAGTTGCAATTAAAACATGTATGATCAGATTTTGATAAATATTATAATAGATGAGGATAAAACTGGAGTTTATAATCAAATTTAAAGGTCAAAAGCAAATTCATTCATTATGATTGCAAAAGAGATTAAATGATAGCTAGTTTTTTATTATAAAATTGATATTATTTTAGCAGGAATTGAGAATTTGTTCATATATTAATAAAGGAATAGTAAAAGACAAATTGAATAAATACATACATACGTATACATACGATCACAAAAATTATAATAAAGAAAAAGAAGGTAAATATTTAATTATCTTATGCAGTAGAGTCTTTGATTAGTTTTTTAGTTTTGATTATAAACATAAATTAAAAAAAGAAATTTAGTTGATTATTAAATTAATACTAAGTAAAATACTCTTTTTTTTTCTGCACCGCTGCTATGTAAGAAGATATTCATCTTTAAGATTCATCTTTTTCTTTTGAAAGCAGTTTTAGCGAATCCTCCACATGGACTCACAAGAAGGAGAATTTTCTCCCTAAATAGTACAAAGTTGCCTAAGAAGTTGAGGAAAAAATTTTAGAGCTTCACAGTAATTTACAAACAGAATTACATCCAAAATATATTAATTTATTTATTTATTAATTTGTTTGTTTGTTTCATTAATTATTTTTGGAATTGTAGACTTAGAAGTTGGAAGAGACGTTGAAATCAAAAACATAAAGATTAATTTAAATGGAGTAGATGATGATTGGATTCACACTTATATATCTATTGACAAGGGAAAAGACCGCTTTAAAAACAAAGAGCCTTTAGTTTTAATTCATGGATATGGCGGTGGAAGTATTTTATTCTAAAAAATGTTTAAAAAGTTGAGCAAGTAGTTTAAAGTTTATTGCATTGATATCATTGGATTGAATCTTTCATCACGTCCGAATGTGGATCACTTAAAAACTGCGCAGGAAATAATTGACTTTTTTGTACTGAGTATTTAATAGTGGGTTATCTAAGTAGGACTATAATATAAACCTTTCTATTTAGCTGGCCACTCTTTTGGTGGTTATATATCAAGTTTTTTTGCAAAGTAAAACTAAGATTAAGTTAAAAAACTCATTTTAATGAGTCCAGCTGGAGTGAGTAAAATCAGTTAGTAGGAAAATCAAGATTATTTAAATAACAGATATCCAAATATGAATTTTAAAGAAAAACTGGTCAATTGGTTTAGAAAAACAGTATGGAAATATCAAATTACGTATGAATGGCTATATAAAAATTGTTTTCTACCCAAACAATATATAATGAAGCATATGATTACTACTCGTTTAAAAACAAAATCATAGAAAGAATTGAAGCTCTGGTAATAGTTTTATGACCAAGTTCTTAAACTTCCCGAAAGCACAAGCAGGTTTGTTTACTCTTTATTTTTCTATCCAAGAGTCATTGCTCATTATCCAGTAGAAGAAATATTCGAAACTGACATGAACATTCCTGTGCACTTTATGTATGGATAACACGACTGGATGAATTAAGAAGGAGCCTAAAGACTTATGAAAAAAAATAGTGACTTATTTAAAATAGATTTAATATCATCTTCAGGTCATCACATGAACGTTGATAACCCAGAAGAGCTCTCTGAGAAAATTATAAAAATACTACAAAAAAATGAAGACTCAAAAATATAATCTATTGATTGATTGAATTATCGATCTAATTACACTTACTAATATATAAAACTGATTCTATAATACTTATTAATAACTACTATCATAACACAATATATAATAAAATTAAAGCTACTAATTAAACACTTAAATATAAATTAATAATTAATTAAGCTATTTATTTTCACTCTGTATTGCAAACATTATGTTCTTATTCATCATCAAAATTAATTTAAATCAAAAAAAATTATCACTAATCAATAATGCTACTTTAAACATATCTGATATAATATAATAATTAATATAGATTGCCTAAAATAAATTCTAAATGTATCTTCATTCTATAAAAACTCCTTTATCAATAATTTATTTTTTGTATTTACAGTAAGTATTGACTAAAATTCCCTATTTTTCTTTTAAATTTTTATAAATTTACAAATGAATTATTTTATTATCTGAAATTAAACTTTCAAATTATTAATAGTATGGTTTTTAAATAACTATTAAACTGTCTGTATTATAATCTAATTTTTTAATTAGATATCAAATTATAAATTACTTGAGGCTAAAAAAGCTTTATTTTAAGAAAATTTAAATAGATTAAGTCTTCTGCTCAAATTTTAAATAAAAAATCAATTTAATTAATATATTTTACTAAAATTATGTATAATTTATTATTTATTATTGGAAAAATGCAATATTAAATATTTGAAAAAATTAAAATAGCATGATTTGATAAACAACTACTGAATATTTAACACAAACAAATAAAATATTGTTATTGATAACTAATTTTTTTTAATTGCTCAATAAATGTCTAAAAATTTATTTATTTATTTAATTATTAATATGATAAATTTATTTAGAGTTTTTTAAATATTAAATTGAGAAAACAAACAAATTTAAAGTTTAATTTATTGATGAAGTTCTTTTAATATTTTTAATGAATAAATAAAGTTAAATATTAGTAATTTATAATGCAGTTGTTTAATTTTTTACTGAATTTTAACTGTTTTAATAATTTGTTAAAGTAACTTAAAATGTAATTTTATTTTATATTTCTTTAAATTATTAATTTGAAGTTAAAAAATAAATTATTTTTAACCAAAAAGTATGAATTTCAAAATCTTTGTAGACATATTAAATTTTAATTTAGTTGATAAGATTTGAAATAAAAACTAATTAACCAATCATAAAAAAGAAGGAAGTAGAATTTCATAAAAAATCAATAAAAAAATAAAAATATTTTTTTAATTAAAATTAAAAATTTATTGCAATATGCTTTATTTTTACTTTTGTTTTTTATATAAAATGTATTTCATCTTTAAAGATTTACTCTTTTTGCTCATTTTGTTAACGAATAAATAAATTAATAAATTATGCTTCAAGAAATAAATTAAAATTTTAGAAAGTAATTTTTGTGTTTGTTTTGTTTTGTTTTTTTAACTGCAAGGAAAATGATTATCTATTCATTTATTTATTTATGAATTAATTTATTTGTTTTTTTTGTTTTTTTGTTTGTTTATTTGAGAGATTTGGTTGAAAAAATATTTTAGCTGAAAATAAAAATCAATTTGGGTTATTGATTGGGCTATAAAAGGGTTTATCAAACAATATCTTTTTATTTTGGTTGGATATAAAAATAAGCTTTGAATTTAATAAAATTTAGTCTTAGAATTCAAGTTATCAAATTTAACAAAAAGATAGTTAAAATAGGTGATTAAACCAAATTATAATAGAGTATTAGTTAGGATTGATCAACCAAAGACACGAAAATAAACAAAGAAAAAGAGTGCGTTTAATCGGAGTGTAATTTGGGTGATTGAGAGAAAGTTGAAAAAGTAGTATATGGTTTATGAATGAGTTAATTGCAAAACACAAATTGATTTAATGGTGTGAATATGGCGATTTAAATAGTATATTTGGTTTGATGGATGTATCGAATGATTTGATTAATTGATTGATATATACGAGAGGATTGGTGCAAAAAAGTTAAATTTAAATACACAATATATTGAATTATCAAGCGGATAATATAGACAGAGTGCAAAGTTAAATTGCATATATAGCTTTAGAGCATTAATAAATGCATGCGAATTTTCCTTAGCTATAAGTATATAAATATGTGGATTGATTTATTGATTAGTCAGTCGTAGTATTGAATATTCCGTTCTAATTTTGGTGAATATTGAAGATATTTATTGTATGATTATTAGTATTTATGCAATTTTCCCTATAATGCTTGCTATTTTATTATACACCTAATTTATTGATATAACGATTTCCTTCAAAATCAGTTGGAGGCGGCCTTGACCTTGGGGGCAGCTTAAGTACCAGATCTGAAACCATTTTTAGCTCTTCTGGCAATAGTCTTCATATATCTCATTCTACCAGTACCTTGACCCTTTCTATCTCTAACCTTTTGACCCCAACCGTCGTCTAAAATTAACAAAAAAGCAGGTTAAATAAATATATATTCATCGATTTAAATTTTCTTATAATTTGCAAAAATTAATTACATCTTCTCATCTTGGCATCAGGATAACCGCAAGCAGCACATCTGAGTTTTTGCTTGTGATAAGTGGCCTTACCGCATCTTCTGCACAAAGTGTGAGTCTTTTGGTGTCTCTTACCAAAAGCAGGAGTACCTCTAGTCTATTATTTTATAATGCAAATTGTTAGTTTAGTAAGGGTTTGTTTGCCATTTGTAATATAATCGATTTTTATATTTAAGTCAAAATAATTAATAATTTACCATTTTTGATTGATATTTTTATCTCTTTTTTTTTTTAATTAATTTTTGCTTTATATATTTTTTAATACTTTCTTTGTACCTTTGATTGAACTTCTTTTTCTTTTTCTCGCTTTATTTTATTTTTTCTTTCTTTGTCACCTTTCTCTCTGCAATTAATTTTAGTTTTTCTTTTTATCAATACCTACCAAGCTATTATCAAGCATATCTAAAATTTTCATTCATTTTACTTATCTTTTCTTTCATTTCTCTCTTCCGCCATACTGCTGCATTCCTCCTTCTCTACTCTCTCCTTTTTTTGCATCTAATTTCTAATGATATTTTTTATTCAAACAAACAAACACACATTCATTCTAATTTCTATTTAGCCTTTCAATCATGCAGCATCAAATAAATATCGATCGACATATTTATTTCCTACCTTTCACAGTTGTAGCAATATTTAAAATTTTAACAATAAAAATATTTCAAAATATTTAAATCTATTCTTTTAAAATTTATTATTTATTACAAATGATTTTATCTATTTAATTAAATATTTATTATTATTATGCATTTAAAGTGATGTAGATAGATAGATAATAATTTTTTAAAAAAAGATTATCAATTGATCGATTTGAATTTGAAAAGAAATTACTCAATGAGTTTTTAATTTAAAATACATTTTGTAGAAAATAAACTTATTCTAATTGATGATATTTGTAATTAAAATGATTTATGAATTAAAAATTATTTTACATCAACAAAAATTTAAAATATTTTTTTCTTTATAAAACTTTAAAAAAGTTAAAAATTTAAATAAATATTTATAATTGTTTTTTACTGAATATGAAATTTTGATTTAAAGAAATATGTAAAATTTTAAATGGCAGTTTTGAATGTTCTTTATAGATAGATATTTAGAGTAATTTATTGATTAGTCTTTAATATCAAACTTGGTGAAAGCACTAGCAAAAAAGATATATATTTATATAAATTAATATATATTTATTAACAAATCAAATTGTTTTTAAAAATAATTAATATTAAATGATAAAGATTATTGTCGAAGAAAGCATCAAAACTGATAAATAATATTTCAAAAAGCTAAACCATCCAAAAATTAATTAATTGATTATTTAATTAGTTATGTTTAATCATTTCATACTTATTAATTAATTTTTTAATTATTAAAAATTAATTTCTTTTCAATCTTTCAATCAATTTAAGGAATTTCATACAAATAGATTAAATGAAAAAATATGATACTTAGAGAACTGTGAGCGCTTCTAATTTAATTTTTAATTCTCAGCAAAACTAATAGAATAACCCAAGTGATTATAATAGTTAAAATAAAGCAGCTAACTTTTAGGGTTTTGAAAATAAGTATGAATCTGCTTCTTTTCAATCATATGGGATTGGAAATTTTATGAATCCTATTAATTATTCTGTTCGATAAACGCAATCAGTTAGCTAGCCTTCAAACGTTTTAAAAGTTCAGGTTAATAACATCCAGTAATCATAAGCAATAATCAGTTAGGCTTCATAGAATTAGTAAAATATCCAAGTAAAAAAATAAAATTTTATAGTTAAAAATGGAGTGAAAGTTAAGAGCTCTACTTTTTACAACGGATAGGCAAACCAAAACTAAAATGTTGCAAATACAAGTTTGCTAAATAACACAGAAAAAGTATAGTACAATTAAAGTAGCAACAATAATAAGTTAAATGTTAACATTGGGAATAGCAATAGATAAAGTATTACTAGTAGTAATGCAAATCACTTCAAAAATAACGATGATACCTTCAGCAGTGATGTTAGTGGAGGATTTTCATCTGAAGATGATACTGAAAATTAGAGAAATTAGGGTTCAAATAATAAAAACTTCATAAACTAATATTATGACTATTACCACCATAAAGAAGAATAAGAACCAAAGCGTCATTATTTAGAAGATTTACCTCCTTAGCCTATTATCGACAAGCCTTATTCACTTGAACCTGATATGCTTTTTGGGTACATTTTTTATTTCTTTTATTAATATTTAGAATGAGCTCAAATCAATACATTTTGATACTATAAAAACAAATCCATTAATTGACTTTTTAAACCTGCAGGAATTAACAAACTAACTAACTAACTAACTTACTTACTTTTCTTTTATAAAATAATCTATAAAAAATTTAAATATTTAATCAATAAAAAAAATAAATAGGTGGGTACCAAAAATACACTTTAATGGACCTATTCCCCTCAATTTTAAGAATTCAACTATCGATAAAATAATAAGAGAATTAGGGGCTAGTACTTCAATGTATTACAATTAATACAAGCTTTGTTACATAGGTTTTAGACCATACACTTCTCTTTAATTGCATCAATAGTATTCTGGAAACGATTCTTACACCTTTCGTTATGATCATTTGTTCACCAATGATTATCCTCACTTAGCTCCATTTTTCGATATGTTTACTAAAAAATTTAGAGAACCTGTGAAACCTCCATTTCAAGGAAACAACCCACTTTACACATAGAGAAAAGATATTTTAAAATTTGATTCTATTTTTGAAAGTGGAAATTTGGATATTGCAGTAAAAATTGAAAACACAGATGAATATGATCTTTTCATGAGAGTTGATTCTAACACAAAAGGGCATTTTTAATGGTATTACTTCAAAGTATAGGGAGCTTCTAAAGGATAAAAAGTTAAATTTAATATCTGCAACTTCTATAAAAAGAAATCTCTTTACACAAGAGTAAATTTTTCAAAATTAAATTGAATAAATTTTAATATTGTCCTATAAAGGGAATGAAACCTTATATTCTATCAGAAGTTGCTTTGAAGCATTTAAAAAAAGATTGGACCTAAGAAGGAAACAACGTCAGCTACACTAAATAAAATTACAGATACAATTTTTTGTATGATGAAGACGATAACGGGTAGTTTGTTTATTTGATATTTATTATTTAGTTAATTAGTTTACTTACAAAGGAATAATCAAATATTGTTAAAAATCAAAATCAAAATGACAAATGCTTTTATTTGGCAATCAGATTAATAAAACCAGCATGAATAAGAATATAATATAAAATGTTTATGAACATTTTTTAGAAAATTAATTATTAATAAAAGAGGTTTCAAAAAATCAATTTTAGTTTAAAAATATTCATGCTTGTAAAATAATTTAAATTTTCTCATTATAATTTAAAATAGAAAATAACCTTACCAACTATCCTTTGAATATGAATTTTTATATGAAAATGATACTGTGTGGTTTGCCTTTTGTGTTCCTTACACCTTCACTAAGCTAATTAAATTCCTTAAAGAAACTATGAAGTAGCATCATAGCTAGAACAAGGATTTTATCACTGAAGAAAAGCTGTGTCAAACAATGAGTGGGATAGATGTACCTCTTTTAACAGTGACAGGTAATTAATTATTATCTAATTAAATGTATAATGTATATAATTTATTTCTTAGATAATGTTGATATGACTATTCCTTATAAAGACAGAAAAGTAGCTCTTATTTCTGCCAGAATTCATCCTGGTGAGTCTAATGGCTCTTGGTTGATGCATGGTTTCCTTTAGTTTTTGTTTGGAGATTCAGAAGAAGCAAAAAAAATTAGAAAAAAGTAAATTTTCTAAAATTTTTATTTGAAATAATTTCATTTTTAGTAAATTTGTTAACTTTTGTTTAAATTAATAGCACGATTTTTAAAATTATTCCAATGCTAAATCCAGATGGTGTTATTGCTGGGAATTACAGAACGGGATTTGCTGGGAGGGATTTAAATAGAGTATTTCACTCTTCAGATAAGATTTTATATCCAACTATTGTGAGTATGAAAGATTTAACGCTTGAATTGAAGAGAACTTATGGAAAGAATTTTAATATCTTTATTGATTTACATGGACATTCAGTTAAGAAGAATGTATTTGTATATGGACCTGAATTTCCTATATATGATTTAAATTATTACAAGTGTCGTATTTTTCCTAAGTTGATGGGAGAGCAAACTGACATGTTCAGATATTATTCAAGCATTTTTAAGATATCTCCTGGCAAGAAAAACACTGGTCGTGCTATATTATTTAGTTAATTTGATATCTAACTAAGTTATACAATCGAGGCTTCGAATGGAAGCTTTTACAGAAACGGATTTTCAAAATTTTTTAATAGTGAATTCTTGCTTGAAATGGGTGTCGTTATTGGCAAATCATTATAAAAATATATTACTTCGATTATTGATTATGAATCTATGGTATCAATTTTTTTTATAACTTTTTTTACTAAATATTAATTTTACTTTATTATTTAGGTTGAAAGAAAGAGACAATAGTAGTAAAGGTCAAATGAAGCATTAAATTAAAATTAAATGGGTGTTATTCACAGTGACGATGAGAATAATATTATGTACAGAGCATTTTTAATCTTAGAAATAAAAACATTTAATTTATTACAATTAAATTTAAAGGAAAAAACTACAACTTCAACAGCAACACCATGAATTTTTAGTTGATGATAAAGTTGCTGAAGATTAAAAGGAAGAAATTAAGGAAAATATAAGAAAGATGAAAAAGAAAGAAAAGAAAATTGATAAGAAGAAGAAAAGAAATAAAAAATAAGAAGAATAAAATGCATTCAATAACGAATAACTCAAAGGACTCCCATTTTCGAATCTATTTAATTTAGATAATATTGAATAAGACTCGAAACCTGCCAGATAAGATGAGTCAGATAATTATTCAGAAGGAGGTTCAGACTCTGAATCTTCAGATGAAGATTATGATGTACATAAATACCTACTTTTTAGATTTTTATAAAATATAATGAATATTTTATTTAATAATAAAAGAAAAATCATATTAAAATGCTACAAAAAAATATCAGTGTTAATAGAGAAATGTTTAAGTCTATTTTCAAAAATGTAAACAATAAAAAATCATCTAATTAAACAACCACAAGCAATTAGGGAAAAAGAAATTCTAGGAAAGGAAGATCTTTGTTAAGTACATCAAAAGATCCTAATAAGAATAATTTGTCAGATTCTAATTAAAAAATAAGGAATAACAGTACTTCTACAGAAAATAGAGAATAAAAAGTTCCAGAGAAGAAGGGAATTTATGTCTCAAAAACAATACATATGAGACCACTAACTGCTTACTTAACAAAGAAGAACTCTAATGTTGAGAAAATAGAGGAAGAATAAGCAAATGAGTTAAAATTAAAAGAATATAACTCCAACAGACCTTCAACTGTTGGACAGAAAAAGAACAATAAAAATGATATTAAAAGCAACAATCAAAACAGCAAAAAGAATTTACTTCCATAATAGAATGTTTAAGCAAAAGAACAATTAAATGTAATTAATTTTTAGTAAACAGTTAACAAAAATGCATAGAAACCTCCTATTAATGGTAAATAAAATGCTAGCAAAACTTGGTTGCTCATGATGAAAAGTGTAAGTGAGTACGAGCAAGAAAAGAAGCAAAAGCTTGAATAAGTATCTCAACAAATCTAGCCTCCATTTTCATAATCAAGAGAGGACTTTTTTGAAGAAATAAAGGAAAGAGGTACTTTTAGCAATTATTAGGGTGAAATAAATAAAAATAGTGCAACAAATAAACTTTAAAAGCAAGCAGAATAACAACTTTCTTCAACATTTACAAGATTTAAAGGAGTAGAAAAACAGCTAATTTAACAAGAAGAATTAGAGTTAAAAAATATAAATCAAATCTTAATTAACACTCCTAATTCAATTGTAGATCCAGTTTAAGAGTAATACTTTAGAAAATCGAAGTAAGAAGGATTCAAACCTAAAGGAAATTGTCCATCTGCTTTTTATGCTATGAAGAAGCATTTTAATTTAAAAAAAAGAGTAAATTTTTATTCTTTAATTCATTTATTATTTATTTAATTGTTTAACCAAATTTAATCTTTTATTCGAATTTATTTATAGGAAGAAGACAGGCCCTAATAAGATAAAAATTTTTAAAGAATACCCCTATTAGGAAACAATAAACTGTATTAAAGCTACTAAGCTAAAGTGTATGGCTAAATACCCTATAGAGATGGTTCCCTTAACAACAATATAACAATATAAAATAATATTCAAAATATTAATTAAAAGTGAGAGTATCAAAAAATAATTAACCAATTAATTAATTAAAATATAATTAAATAAATAAATAAAAAATGTATAACAATTAAAATATCCATCCATCCATTCATCCATCCATCCATCTAAATATCAATTTTCTTAATTTTAATTTATGGTAATAAATTTAGTTTATTATAATAATAACAAATCCATTCAATTACTTACTATCTTATAAAACTATAAATAAATAAATATATATATATTTATAACATCAAGTCTTTATTTTATGTTGAATCTATAGTTTATCTTTTCTAAATTCAATCTAAATATTTTTTAAGATTCTTTCTCTAATTTATTTATGAAGCTTCAATTTTAAAAATAGAAAGTAAATATGCTTTCATAATTTTTGACTAATATAATTTAAATTAATTTAAAAGATTTTTTAATTTAATCTTTCTGAATTATAAATAAATTTAGTTTAAATGATTGAAATATAAGAATATTAAATAACAGACTGTTTTAAATTTTTTATTTAATTATAATTGTATTGTTTATTTTATGAAATTTATTACTAATAAATTTTTTTTAGTTTTGATGATTAACTATCATTTAATAATAAATACATATTATATCATAATTTATTATTAACAAAAATTATTTCTTTGTTTAATTTTTAAGATTATATTTATGTAAAAAATTGCATAGTATAAAAAAATATAGTTTATTGAACTTTGGTTTGTGATCAAATTTAAAATATTCTATTAATTTAGCTTAGATTCATGACAATAAATTAATAAAAAAATAATTTATTAAATTTATTTTAATATCTTTTTAAGAAAAGCTTATTTTTTTAAAGGAATTTTTTTTAATTTGACTATTTTATTATATTGAAGATACAATTTTTTATTGACTAAATAGATATTTTATGTTTTACAGTAAACTATTGCTCAATTATTAGTGGAGAAATAAAATTTTGATAAACTTCACCGAATAATTGAATTTAATTTAAAATATCTTATCCAAATTTTAATTTTATTATTATATATTGAAGAAATTTGTTTTGTGTAAGAATAATCACAAAATTACGTTTTGCATCATTTATTTTTACTTACAGTATGTATTCTTTTTGTAATTAATATAATTAAACTAATAAAAAAATTTGATAAATTAGATTAACTTGAAGCAAACATGCTTGAGAGATTAATAACACCGTATTTTTTGAATATTATTCTATTTGTTTATTTATTTAATTAATTGGGAAAAAAGAATTATCAAATTTTGATAAAATAAACTTAAATTACAAAGTTATTATTTGTGAACTTATTTATTTGTTTTTTGTATTCTAAGTTAATAATTGGATTACAAATAATTAAAAGGGTATTTTGTTAAGAAATCAATTAATTTGAGAAGAATATTTTAAGAAAATACTAAATTAATTATAATTAAACTAATAAAAGCATTATTTATGAAATTCTCATTTCTAATTTTATAAAGAAAAATGTCTAAATTAATGATTATGTAAGAAAAAAATGAATAAATGAATGAATTAGGTTGTATTTGAATTTATTTTAGATTTCATAAATGAAAAATGAATGATATACATAAAATTTATTAATCTATATATCTACTATAAAAATTTATTTTATTTTAGAATTTGTTATTCAATTTTCAAAGAAGCAGTGTTCAACATTGAGTTCACAGTATTGACTGGAGACAGCACCGGTAGGGATACCAGCTAGTCTGATTGAGTCCTTGATAGCAACTAAATGCTTAACTAATTCAATATCAGCAAGCTTAGCTTCAGGGTTCCAAAGGTTAAGACTGAGAGCAATGACACGAGGGAAGAGCTTTTGAACAAAATCATCAGTTGTAGAGGTTTCAGTCCAAATAGCAGCTTCAGATCCAAGATTTCTTTCTCTGCTAATCAAATTACCTGCAGTAACATCGAAAGAGTAGATTCTCTTCCAAGTCTTGTAAGGATCACACCAAGAGTTATCACCAAAGGTATTTCCCAAACCACAGTCGAGATAAAGGTAAGTGTAGGTAGAGAGAATAACGGGATTGTTAACCTTAAGCATGTAAGAGTATTCATCAAGATCACCCCAGAATTACATGATGGCTTAATCGTCAGTTTAGACATCAACATTGTTGCTTGCGAGCCAGAAGATTCTCTTCTTGTTTAAGTTATTTTATTCAATTACTTCTTTTTGGAAATCTCTGTAGAAGGTTTAGAGTTCATTGTAGTTAGAGATATTGTTAGCTTTCATGTATTCAGCAATGGAAGCCTTAGTTTCCCAGCAGTGCTTGTTAGGTTCATCACCACCCAAGTGCAAGAATTCACTGGAGAAAATTCTAGCAGTTTCAACCATGATATCAGCTGCAACTGTACGGGCTTTTTCTAAAGTAACGTCTAATTGACCACAAGGAGGTTCATTACAGAATCTAATTTTAAAAATATTAAAATTAATTTATTTTCAATATTAAATTTGTATTTTTAAGAATTTTGGATAAATCTAATTTTAAAAATAGAAAAATTAGAATTGCTTTCAAAATGTAAAAGTGGATAGTTATTGTATTGTGTTAGTCATTTAATTAATTATTTATTTATTTAGCTAACTAAATAGCTAGCTAGATACTAACTAAATAACTAACTAACAAAAAAACTAATTGAGAAATCAAAAGTGTTATTTTATTTATTTATTTGTTCATCGTAGTTAGCCTGTTTTTTGATGATAAATGCATTTTTTAGAAATTAAAAAATAAATGTCCTTATGAATTTTATTTGGTAAATGATTAATAAAAGAATTTTAGGTTTGTGTTTTTTATGAATTCTAGCTAATTGATAGCTTGATTAATGAAGACTTTTCTATATTTAGTCATTCAAGATATTCATGAAATAGTAGTAAAGCTTAATTTAATTAGATGTTTCTATTTAATAGTGTAAATGTTTCATTCATTAAGTATAATTGATCATTTAGCTTTTCCGAGAACTATTAATTATGACACTTTTGACGCGATTTAATTTTTTTAGGATACTTGAAGTTGTTAATAAAAACCAAATAAAATAGCAAAAACTTCACTGTTTTATAAAATTTTAACAGTAAGCTTATTTATTTTTTAAAAAATATTTATTCATAAACTTATTTTTACAATCCCCATTATTCTTTAGGATAGTCTCTGCAGGCATCAATATCTTAGAGATTGGGAGGGTTAGACCAGGAACGAGTATGGGCAGGAGAGTCAATTTCAGGAATGAGAATGACACCATAGGTTTGAGAATAAGCATCGAGTTCTCTAAGTTCTTCTTGAGTGTAAATTTCTTCAGGACTGTAGGCACCAAAGGCAGTGATTTCAGGATATGAAAACAATTCGAAGGGGAAACTTTCAGAATCAGTCAAGTGCAAGTGAAGAACGTTGAATTTTGAGATTGAAAGACCACGAATTGTTTATTTAATTGCTTCTAAACTAAGGAAGTGTCTTGAAGTATCAATCATAACACCTCTATGTCCAAAAGCAGGGGCATCATTAATGCTCAAAGGCAAGAAATCGAAAGCGAAGTGAGTTTTTTGATGAGATTGGATCAAAATTTAGATGAAAGTTTCGATGGCTCTCAAGAAAGAAACGTATCCATGACACTTGAATTCAATATTGGTCAAATTTTGATTGATTGAGATTTCGTAGGCTTCATCAATTTTGAAGTTATCGTAGCTGGTGTACTAAGTGTCAGTGTTATTCAAGAATACCTTGACAACTAAGTTAGCACCCTTTAAACCATTCTTAGCTTAGGCAACTTTCAATTTAGAGAGTCTTTCGTCTAATTTTTCATGAGCGATGCTTTTGAATTTTCTGAGATTTTATTCATTTTGAGATTCTAAGATTCTCTATTGGACAGATGAGAGTTCATTTAATCTACCAGAGGTTTTGAACTAGAATTCAACGGAATCAATGGAGGCTACTTCAAAGGTGAAGTTTCCCTTTTAAAGATTTTGAGGAACAGGTACTATACGCAAAGCGCTGGCTAAGCCGACGAGCAAAATAGCAGCAATAATAATTGACTTTTGCATCTCTATAGTTAGATAGATAGATACTTCTTTGAATTATATTTAATTTTTGATTAATTATTAATTAATGAACAATCAACTTCAAAACTAGTATTTATATTAATTAACATTGAAGTAGCTATCTTATACTAAAAATTAATTAATGTTTTTTATGGATTAATTGTGAAAATAGATGGATGAATCAAATTAACAAAGTAACAAGCAAAAATCCTTGATTTTATGTTTTGACTTTCAAAGAAATTATTAAATCATCATTTATTTAATTCCATTAGTGATGAATAATATGGACTTTCATCTTCTTTTTACGAGCAGTAAAATTTTGATACTTACTTACAAAAAATTAACAATACATTCCATTAAATAGATGAAATTAATTTGATTAATTAAATCCATTCAAATAAACAACTTTACAAATCATTTCGAATATCTAAATTTACCTAAATCTAATCTTAAATAGTTTCAAAAAAAATTGTTTAATTATTAAACGAATTCTAATTCATAAAATAAATTCTTTTTTTATGGAAAAAAAATAAATAAATAGAATGATCTCATATTTATTCGCTTAAACTTTAAATACTTTTAAATATAGTATTTATATCAAATCTTTGTTAATTAATATGACAAATAAATTTTATAAATATTTATTTCATAATTGATTCTGATAAAAGCTGTAAAATTAACTTTAGTGAGCAATTAATTAATACTTAATGATAAATTGAAAATGTAAATATATGATGCATAGCTGATATTTATTAAAAATTTAAAAAATTAAATATTTATTATTTTTTACTTGTATATATTGTGACACTCTTTGATTTGTAATCTAATTTTTTAAGGTTTATTTTTAAGAATTATTTATTATACAAATTTCTAATAAAAAAAGCTAGATATATTATTCAATTTCAATATAATAAGCAACTACAGTATTTATTCTATTAGAAAATAATAACATTTTTATTTATATCATAACTTTAATATTAAAACATATTCTGTTACAGAATCACTGATCACACCTCTATGTATTTGCAAATGTAACTCTCAGAAATTTTATGGTGAAAGATATTTCTAGTTACTCAAAATGGCTGAACTTTGAAGAAGTAATAATTAATTAATAATTTATTTTAAAATTAATCCACCAATAAAGATAATTAATCACTCATATTTTAGTTTAAACATAGATTTTTATATAACTAGTTACAGTCATTTATCTAATTATTTCTTTTTATTTACACTTAATATCCTGTTTTTAATTTTCAAAAAAAAAAAAATATCTTCTTTCATTTTTAATTAACTAAAAAAATAATAAATCTTCTAAAATCAAATTAAAATATTAAAATTAATAAAGTATTTTATTAAACAATATCTTTTAGACTAAAATATTTAACATTAAAATCACGTTTCTTATTCATTTATAATAACATTATTTGCTTTATTTTAAGTTTTACTCTTTTAAATAAGAAATTAAATTTAAAATAAAAACATTAGAATTATTTATGAACGATATATGTAAATAAATATATATCTTTCTTTATCGATTTAAAGCTATTTTTAATAAAAATAAAATTTATTTTTTTACATTTCGTTTTTTATAAAATAATTTAGTTAATTTTTTATTATGATTTCAAATAAATATTAAAAATTATATTTTTTTTTTGTACAACCAATAAGTAAACCCTTTATTTAATTAATTTTAATACTCTGATTGAATATTATTTAGATTGTATCCAAATAATCAGAATTTTTAAGAGAAATTAAAAAAGATAAAATTAAACTTTGAAATGGGTAATATTTGTTTTAAAGATAAAAATTTAAAAGCTTTACCAGACTTTAGTGAAAGCAAAAAGCCACTTGATGAAGGGAAAAAGTAGAATTCAAGTAAAGAATTTAGATAAAAATAATTAAGTTTAAATTATAATACTAATTTTTTCTATAAATTTTACTTTAAAAAAGATTAAAATGTAAACAACTCCAGTTCCAGTGAAAGCTAAATCGTGGAGAAAATAGTTTTTAATTCAAAGATTTAAAGCCTTATACATATAAACTAGAATATATAAAGTTTAAATCATAATTCTAGATCATCCAGTTACTTATCTGTGCTTGATAATGATGCAGATTTATCTATTTAGGAAATAAATTATTAGTCTTAAAATAAGCTAACACAGAAACAAAAATCTAAATAAGGCAACTTAAATTAGTGTTTGAAAACTGCTTTAAACCCTTAAATTTACATTCCTTGCTTAGTAAATTCTTTTAATTAATGATTGGGCTGAATATTTTTTATATATAATAGATTATTCCTGATAGTTAAATAAGGGAATCAGTAGAAGTAAAAATTATATTTTTATCTTTAGTTTTTACTTTCAATATTTCATTAAAAAATAGGTCATCAATTAAATATCATAAACCGATTCTTATTTGATAAAAAGGCTCCAATAAAGTTTTGCTGATCATAGATTTAATTAGGGATCTTATGAGTATAACTTAATCATCCAAGATTTTTTATAGTATTACTAGGAAATTGTTTAAAGCAAGTTTTCTAAATTTAGAAACTATAATTATAAATTCAAATTTTGTTAAATTAAGCTTGAAGGTGATATTATAATTTACACCAGGTGTTTTTCTGTTGAGAATTTAATTTATTTTAATGTTTATCAAATTTCTGATGAGAGAGATTTCTAGAATTCGATCATATCAAGCAATAAATTAAACTCAACACAGCTAATAAAAGATGTTTTTTGCAGTACAATTTAATTTAACGATAAATATCAGCTCATTTTTGAAGAATCTTTTGATTTAAGTTTAGAATAAATTTTATAAAACAAATACTTTTACTTAGAAGTTAATAACTATAGAAGTATATTATTATAACTTATTGACATTTGTTTGCTTTTTGACGAATTAGGTGTTTACTATAACTCATTTGATTTTTCAACTATAGGATTTATCTTTAAAGATACTAAGTATATAGTTAAACTAAGAAAAATATTTGCATTAAAGTAATAGCAAGATAAATATATTTTCAAATTGAAAACCAAAAATAAATTTATCAATATTTTTGATAGAGAGCACATTCTATTTTATGAAATTTGTACGATACTTGATATTTTCAAGTAAATATACACAGATGTTAGCTTTTAATAAGGTTACAATGATATTATTAATTAATTTATTGACAATGATGATTTTTAAAAATTTGGAGTTTCTTAAAAATAAGTTGTGACATTCTTTGAGAGATTTTTTGGAATAGAAATTCTCTAGCATTTTCCAGCTATTAATGGATCATATTTTTGTATATTAATTGAAGATTTAAAATATATTTAGACTAAAAAATTTATTGACAAAGAACCTGAAAATGAAAAAATATAACTGTATCAAAATTTCGTTTTTGATTTAAAGAGACATGGCTTATATTTAATGAATTATGACATAAATCTATTTATAATTTGGTTACTCAATATTAATACTGATAAAATTCAGTAAGTAAATGAATTTTTTCTTACAAAAAAACTGAATGATGATTTATTTATTGTGATTAATTTACTTCTGCTTAAAGACTATAAGCCAGATATGATAGAGCTACTTTTAAAAAATATCCTCAATTTTTTTTTAGAATATGAGAAAATAGAAAAAATAGGACAGGTACTTGACTGTCTCTCTTATTTCTATCTTAAAAGAAATTAATATAAAGAAATTTTAGAAACTTTAGATATTATTGCTAGTGATATTAAGTTAAATCCTTCTAAATACTCATATTATGTTAAAAAGCAAGTTATTTTGATAAGATTTTTAGTATATTTGCTTTAGAAATAGGAATTTCAAGTTATCAGAAACCAGTGCTCTAAATATGAAACTTTCATAAAGAGAGAAGGAAATAATCCACCTCCTAATTTTACCTATCTGTTCTTAATCCCTCCATAAAGCATAGAAGTTCTTATTTTCTTAATCAAGAAAGACTACTAGAATTGTTAAAAATTGTATGCATTTTTTCCAAAGTTTACAAATATTTTAAATCGAATTTTAATTATTTTTAAAAGAAAATCTACTATTTACCCCCTTATTTCATTATTTATTCCCATTTTTCAATAAGTTTTGATTGTAAGATTCTAGATTATTAGGGGTTTTATAATATTATTTAATTATAAAAATATTCATTTTTTTTATAATTTAAAAATTTAGAATAGATTAAATAAATGAAGTTCTTAACAAAATAGATCATGAGAGAGTTATGTTAGCTAATTATAGTTAAAATTGCTTATTGTTGTTTGCTTAATAAATTTGTTAATTTTATAATATTTCTTCGAATAATTAGCCATATTTTGAAAAAGCTATATAAAATCAAATAAATAATTATGCTGATAGAAAGAGGTTATTGATTTTTCATTAATTAATATTGATAGATAAATCAGTTAAGAACAATTTATTTAACGAAGAAGTGGATTTTGAAATTTTTAATTCTATTATCTAATTCAATTTATTTATTGAAGAAGAAGATTGCTACTAAAAATTACTATTCCCAGATTACTATTCATTAATTAATCAGGTTAATTGCAAATATAAGGAAAAAAATTTAGGTGTTTTTAATATAAGATAAAGACCTACTGAGAATTTTTAATAATTAAATGGAATTATTAGCATTAAATGCAATCAAAAAAAAGAATAGTTTAAAAATGCTGTGCAGAATTTATCTAAAATACTTTACATAGATATTGTCCCATTCATTCTTGAGGTTCCAAATATTTTAGTTTTAAATTTTTATTTAAAAAATATTTTAATTAAATAAAGGATTATGGATTAACAAAATAGTTTTCGATTCAACCATTCAGCAATAAATTTAAAATCACTATGAATTACTAAAATCTTGATTAAAACCTTTTAAGAAAGAAAGACAAACTTTATTAAAGAAAATAAATAAATAAAGAATAACTAAATGATTTTAATGAAAGAATGGATTAGCTAAAAATGTTGGCAGAAACTTAGGAATATTTTAATTTTAAGCCCTCGCTGTAGAAATTTTATTTATCGTTAAAAGAAAAAATAGATATTAATGAAGAAACTTTATTGGATGAAGAGTCTATTAAAATAGTAAAGGAAATATTTTCAATGCATATTGAAGAATTAACATATATTGTTAATAATTATTATTAATTCAAGATAAGACTGAATAGTTTTTAGCATTTTTTGTATATTTACAAAATTTTAGATTGCAAATATGATAAAAATTACATCATGTTTTAATTTAAAAGTTCTTCATAATTTTATCAGCAACTTGATTTTATGAATTCAGTAAATAAGTGCAAAGACTTAGATAAATATGTAAATAATGTTTTGCATATTGACTATGATTACTTATCTGTTTGTACAGAAGATGCATAATTTACTCTTTAAGATTTAAATGAGCTTTATGATAAGAACTTAACTCAATTTCCAGAAAGGTTGATTAAATCGATATTAAATTAAATCTTTAAGATAGTCTTTGTGCTCTTGGAAAATAAATATTATCTTTGCAATGTAAATTTATTCAGCTTTAGCTTATTCTAATCGAGTGAATATAGTAACAGGTATTATATAAAATATAACAATATTCCTTCTATTACAAATAATCTAGCTTTAAGTATAAGTTAGCTCAATGCAAATGAATACGAATACTAAAATTAAAATAATTTTTCACAAGAAATAACAGAAAATTATTATCTGGTAAAAATTGGAATTTTAATATTTATTTAAATTTTGTTTTAGACTGACAATTAATAAAACACAAGTAATAAAATTCCAACAGATGAGTTTTTATTAAACTAAGATTTTAAAAATGTATTTTAAGATAATGATAAATTTATATCTAACTATATTCATGCAATCAAAAGCAAATATTCGGAAGAACTAATATAATTTTTTTAATTTTTATTAAGTTTTGAAGGCAAATAAGTTAAAGTTAATAAAAATGAATTTAAGTCAATGCTTTAAAATCTTATACCTGAATGGAAGCTCTCTGAAAAATAGCAGCTAATACAGCTGACATAAACTGAACAATAAATTCTGATAAATAGCGCTAGAGACCAATATTCACTAAGAAAGAATCTTAAAATTTTGTTATAAATTATTTCTTATCACCCTTTTTTTTCAAAAGAAAAACTAGTAAATATGATTGAATCACTCGAATATAGTAACAAATAAAAGTATAATTTAAAGGAATTCTTAGATTCCTATGTTAAGAAGTTATTTGGAATTCAAAAAATGTGTCTAATAGTTGAACAATTGTTTGTTGAAAATACTTAATTAGATGACATTTTACTTGATAAATTAATATTAAAAATAACTGATAAAAATAATTATTTTTTTTATGATAGTCCTTTTTTTACAAAATTAATAGAAAAAATGATTTTTAAGTGCTTGACTGAATATTTTTTAAGAAACAATAAAATAAACTAATTTATTTCATACAAAAAGCTATTTTATTAAAAATATAATTAATTTAATGATGAATCATAAAACACTTTCATTCCTTTATTTTCTGATTTATATACAAAAAGCCAACAAGATTCAAAAAATCTTCAAAAAAAGTTTAGAAAATTTTTAATTAAAGAAGCATAAAATTTAAAGAAAATGAATGAAGAAAACAAATATAACGAAAGATCTGTATATACAGAAGGTTTGAATTTTGAGAGTATCCTTATTAAGCTCTCTTTTTCAAGTGTAGCAAATTATAACTACAAAAGATTAGAAAATTAAGAAGAGCTTCAATGTAAAAATTAATTTTCATGTTCTACAAATAAGATAAAATAAGAATAAATTAATGATGATTTATTTAAGTTTTGTGCTTTTAGGTTAGTGAATGAAATATTTGAAGAATCTTATGACATTTAGATCATAAATATGAACAATTTTTTCTGTAGTCCTAACTATTTGTTTTATTAATAATTTTTTTTTAGATTAGCAATAGATTAAAATTTATGCATGATAATGATGCTTACTAATTAAAACGCAGAAGAAAAACTCAAAGTCCTTGAAAATATTTGCAAATATAAGATTACCTTTAAAGAAAAAGACAATAATTTTGTTAGTGAGCCATAAAAAAAGTTGAAAAAGTATGCTGAAAATGTTGCTGAGTATTATTTAAGTAGAAATCCTAAGCTGATAGAATATTACTCTACAATCGATCTAACTCCTGTAGTAACAAATAGTATTTATCATGAATCTGAATAATGTTTAAGAATGATTCAGGAATGTAATTTTGTGGAATTTTTCATTAATTCATTAATTATTTTTTAAAAATAGATAAATAAAAAGAAGAAAAATTAGTTTTGAAGAATAAATAATTTATAGAAGATAAAAGTTAGAAAGAACAAATCAATTATGAAATTGAATTCTACAAGTTTATAAATAAGCATTACAATTCATGCTTAAATACAAAGCAAAAATAAATAACATCACAAACAAAATTAAATTAAGAGCAATAAAATGAAATAGAGACATCAACTCAAATTTTTAACAATTAAACAAGCGATATAAATACATAAAAAGATTATAGTAAAGAGTTACAGAAAGAAAAATAATCATATGAATTTTTAACAGAAAAATATGAAAGTTAAAAAGGCTAAAATTTTATAGAAATTTCATAATAAGAGCAATAAGTAACAATAGAATGTTTTAATAGTAAACATTGCTAAAATAAATAATAATAAATATTAAATTAGCAGTATATTTAATGGAGTGACAAATAGACAATAAGCTATAAATAAATAAAGATATAGAATTAAATTAAAGATGATGAAACTATTCTTGCTAATAATAATTAGTAAAAATAAAATGATCTGGAAAAAGAAACTAATAATTATATTTTATACCCTCAACAACAAGAATAAACAAAAGAATTATTCAACACACAGGAAATGAAGAATGTTACTTAAGAGTAAACAAATTTAGAAGAATAAACTGATGATAATTCTTATACATACTCTGAAAATAATCAAAGAAATACTAATAGAAATCAATTAAGCTTGATAGAAAAGAGATTTGATTTAATGCACTTAAATTAATTAACTTAAAAATTAATCAATTCAAATGGTATGTTAAAAATAGGAATTTTAGGCTAAGGAGGTTAGGGAAATGTTGAACTTTATTATGACTTTAAAAATAAAAAAAGATATGCACTAAAATGTTTTTCTGATTCTCATTAATATTTAGCTGAAAAGAAAATACACATCAAATATTTATTAGAAGACAAAAACAGTATTTTAGCTTCTTACGTTTGCTAATTAGTTTCTTTTAAAGATTCTGATTGCTAACTACTTTTTGAAATAGGTTTGTGTAGTTTAAATGAAGCAAATCAGATTTTGTAAAAGAATAATTATTAAATTAGCACGAGTTATTTTGTAAATATTTTAATTAAAATTATATCTTTCAATATTTAAATGAATAAAATTAAATTATTCCATGGCGATATCAAACCATAGAATATCGTAATTTATTATGATTAAGATGAATAGGCTGTATAACAAGAACTTGGATTTTTATTGTATGATTTTAGAAATGTTCAAATTAAATTGATAGATTTTGGTAGTTGCTCTGATGATCTATGTGATTACTATGGCTATGTCACAAAAAAATATAAATATTTAGGATATTTTAATTAGGAATTAGATTTCTAAAAAATGCTATTTGCTGAAACATATAGTGCATGTAAATCCATTTACTTTTTGTTAGATGAACAACTGATTTAGAAAATGTAAAATTTTAAATGTGATTTGAAATAAATTACCTGTCAATAATCAGAAAATACATAAGAAAATAAATTACTCTTTTTTTTATTAATGTTTTTGGGATAAAATTAAGTTTAGTCTATCTTTTCAGAAAATGGAATATCGATTGATATTCTTATATATTTGACATAAAAATATTTGGGATAAGTAGATGAAACTAATTAACACTTTAAATTTGACTTTTTTGATGCCTTATAAAGAGGTCAATGGAATAAGATATAAGAAATAGAATATTCTACTCATAACTAATCTGTAGAATATAAGATTATTTGTGCATTTGCTTTCAGAAATAATTTAAAAGCAGCATTTAGTGAATAGTTTGTTTAGCAGGATAATTTGAATCAAAAAATATCTAAGATTCAAAGTCTAATATAAAGCTTTGAAATAGTTGCAACTTATGATAGCTTTTCAGAGGAAGAATTATACTTTATTGAATAAGATATTGCTTAAAAATATCATATTTTAACAGAAGAATCATATTTATAATTCCTTTAACTAGCCTGCATGTTATATTGTCATAGCTAAAAAAATAACTGCAATTCAATTATAAAAATTATTTTAGAAAAAAATGTTAATAGATAATCGAACTAAGTTTTGGATATAATATTAGATATTTTTAAGCATATTTTGAATGAAATTTATTTAAATATTTTTGATTTAATTGAAAAAATTTATTTTATTGAAATTTAAGAGCAAAATTATGAGTTATTTAATAGCATTTTTTATGAATTCATAATCACATTCATTTTAGAGCAATAAAGTGATTTTGATGAAGAAACATCTTTAATGTAAATTAAAAACTACTTAATACACTTTTTATTTTTATTTTGATTTTAAAATATTAGAATATTGGATATTTTAGAGAGAATTATAAGCAACTAGAATTTAAACATTTTTTAGAAGAAGTTTTTCACTCATATTTATCTTTATTTCTCTCACTGCACATAAAAAGACGATGATAAAAAATATTTTAAAATATTTTTAAATTATAAATAAATGTGTAAAGATTTAACAGCTGTATTGGAATACGACTCCATTTTATTTTACAACTACAGAATTAAGAAATCAAAATAGAAAGACTCTCTACCAATTAACATAAATGAAGCTACATAACAATCCAACACTTCTAAGAAAGCAGATCTTAAATTAAAAGCTATAGCTTTGAAGCTTAATAAGCAAAAAGATTACGAATTAGACTTGGCAAGATAATTTTAAAGATATTACGATTTAGCTATTGAAATATTTTGAAACTAATTTAAAAATAATATTAATTGTTTAATTTATTTTTTTACATTTATGTTTGTTTATTTGTTTTATAAATTATTTAAGTTTGATGTTTTGAAGCTCAGGGTTTTTAATAAATAGATTTACTTAAATTTAAAATATAATTACTCATAAAAGAAACTCAAATTTCAAAATTTTTTAAGTAAATATAAAAAAAATTTTAAAAATCTTTACAATACTCTAAATTAATTTCTATTGAAAATTTTTTAAACTAATTTAGGGTATATTTTAATTTAAAAATAATATTATGAAACAAACATATAACTTGAATTAATACATTTTTTTTAAATTTAATAAAGGTTTTTCAGAATAAATTCAAAGAGTTTTTATTTACATACCTTTACTCATTAAAATACAATGTATTGGTAATTTGTGTTTCGTCCGGGACATCAGATTTCATCAAGGTATTTATTATTACTTCTTTTAAATCACTATCTATATTATTATAGTTTACAAAAGAATTAGAATCTTCTTTCACGTAATCATTTTAAAATTTATTATTTTTTTTGTTAGGTTTATGATTTGATTAATTTAATTATAGGTTGTGTATATTCGTAGACAAAAGACCCATACTTTTTAATGTTTGATACATTTAATCATCTAAAAGTTGAATAAGTTAATGGTCTCTTTACGTCTTCTTTTTTTAATTCAAAATGTTAATTAAACTTTCGTATGCTTTATTTACTTTTTCTTCTTGACTGATATTGTAATTTTTAGAAAGTTAATTTTATTTTAAAGTTGATTTGCTAAAATTTCCGCTTTTTAAGACTGGACGAGGCAATAACTCAAATAATTTGATTTAATCATCGTTAAGTAGGATTGACTTAAGTTTTTCAATTTCTTACAGCTTTTAAAGGATATATTAAATATCTAAATTCTTTTACACCTATTCATAACCTTTCAAAACGAAAATTTTCTTTAGTTTGAGATAGTTCGAGCTTGCTAATGTCACAAAGTATTAAAAATACTCCAAACAGCCAAAATTTATTTTTTATTTATTTGGATTAAATATTCTTTTAAATCTATCTAAAATAGATAATTTAACTTCAGAGTCTTACAGATTCTAATTACCACTATTATTAATAGTCTATCTTTTACTTTATTCCATCGATATACTCTTTTTGCTCCTTTTATATTGACTTGATTTTCTTTTTGAAAAAAAACTTTAATCTTTTGAATTATTTCCATCTATTTCAGATTTATTTTTCGACTAAAAACTATATGCAGTGTTAATATTTTTATTCTCTTATTTTGGCTAAACTTTATTCTCACTAACTTGCACCTCATTTTTATTCATTTCAAATTATCTCTTGAATGAACTGATATTATGATCAGAGTCACTTTGAGATTTGTGATTGTAAATTGTACTTTTAAGATCTTCCTACTCTTATATATTTTTAATTAAAGGAAATTGAATGTTGCCTCCAATCATTTAACTTTTAACATTATTGGTTTTATCCATTTGAATTTACTTTAAATTTTAATTATTATTATTATTATTTTTACTTTCTACTTCCTTTAATGAAAAGTCGCAATCAAATATACTATTTATTATTTACTTCTTAAAATTAATCTTTGCAAACGGATACGCTATAATAAATCCTATTAATGTGGCCAACTTTAATATTCCGCCTAATTAGGCAACTAAATCAACTAATTTCATATACCTTCTCTCCATTATTATCTATTTTTATTTGTATGGCCTCATAGAAAATTAGATTATTAAGCCATCTTAACCATATACATTGCTAGAAGTTGATTAAGCATATAAAAAATCTCTAATTTGATTTACAGACTTCTAAAAAATTCCTATATCAGATTAGATGTAATAATTTTCAAAATAAGCTGTAAGCAGCTAGCTTTAAAATATAGATGTATAAGTCTCAATATTCATACCTTAATAATCAAATGGGTTATCAAAATTAGAAGGATCAACAATCTTATCCATCATATAAACAAGAAAATGCAATTTAGATGTTATTTTATTGATTTACTCTTAAGTTTTGCAGATAGAAGAATTTGGTTAAGTAGAATTTTAGCATTAAGAGAAGTAAACATCAACTCTTGTATAAATATCACTAAAAAATTCTCCTTGAAGATATACCTCTTAATTATCATCAAAGCAGAAGTATTGTGGAAGGGAAATTTAGTTAAAATATTATTTTACTTTATCAACTTTTATGTCTTATGTATTGCATGGCCTTAGCCTAAGTATATTCTTCTAAATATTATTTTCATATTATTGAGTTGTCTCATTAAAAACTCTCTTCATATTATAAATTGTTGCCTTTGCTTATATTACAGATGGGTCATAGACTGCCTAGCCATTAATATCATTAAAACCCATAACTATTACTTACTAAATTTTATCGATATCCATTCTTTGAGGGGTTTTAACATATTATTCACTTGTTACTACAATAGGGTTATTCCTTTAATATAATTCGCAGCTAAAAAAATAGCAAGAAAATCCAAATATTGTGAAAACTATCAAAGAAATCGTAGCTCCGAATCCTGTTTTGTAAATTTCTTTATTTTAGAAATTGACTCTGATCGGTACTCCATATATGTCTAAGTTTTTTAAAGGGGAAAATAAATTATTTAATTTCTTCATTTTTATGATCTACTGATTGTTTTTTTTGTTTTAAACCTATTTCTTAAAAAAATACTCTTAGCACTAGTTTTAAATATTTTCTTAATTTATTTACAATTGTGTGAAATTGATTTTATTAGCTTGCTAGATTCTTTCAAAAAATGCTTATAGGAAAGCTACTTTAATTATTATACTGTTATTTTGTTAGTTAGTTATCTTTCTGATTGTTAAAATTTCTATTTAACTTAAAATTACTTTTTGTTAGTTTTTTATTATTTTAATTAAAAAAACCAAACAAACATACAAATAAAATTATTAAAGCATTCAAATATATTTAGAAAATAATAATTGAAAATTACAGATCTTTTAATGTAATGAGAGTTCTAGCTATTTTTTCTGGGATTGATTCTTACTTATTCTTTAAGTTTTTCTTTTATTCGTACTTAATTTTTTTTAGTTGTCTTTTTCTTCTTATTGATTATTTTCCTTTTACTTACTTACTTTATTAGTATAACTTGAATATGTTAAATAAGTTTTCTATTTTAACAAATTCAACACCTTTATTATTCAACACAAACAATTTTAAAATAATTTCATAAATATAAAAAATATCAAATTCAACTCTTAAATTGCTCAACACAATTCATCATCGCTAGGGAGCACATATAGCACTTTGTTATTTAAAAAAATGGCTATTGCTGCTAAATAGCACATAGCCATTATGTTTTAAAAGTAAATATAAAATATCTTTTTTTATTTTTTTATATGTAATTATGTATCAAATTTAATTTATAAAATGATGGCACAATCGAATATTTTAAGATTTAAAAAATAAAATACATTTTGAAATGCTTTTTCGTTTTAATATTTATATATTTGAGACAAATTTTTATAGCACCCGTTAAATGTTTGAAAAAAATTAAATTATTTCAAACATATTTTTGAATTGTTATAATTAATTATGACTAATTAATAAATAACTCAATAAGTAAATAATTAATTAAAAAGATGAAATTATTTTATTTTAATTATTTAGTAAAATTATTCTATTTCAAAAATATATTGAAAGCTAATTTTGCTTTACATAATCATTGATTTAAAATTTTTTTTTCCTTATCAAAAGTATTAAATCAGTTACAAAAATTATTAAAATATGTAAATTTACAAGCTATATAATTAATAATTATCTTTCTCGTTTTTAAGAACACACATTTATTTTATTAAGGAAGTGATAAATTAAAATTATTTTAATTTAATCCTAAATTAACAAAATGTAAGACAAAGGATTTTTAAGTACAAAGTTCATTTAATATTTAAAATTTATTTGGGTAACTTAAATTTTATTAGTATGAATTTGATTGAAAGAAATTTAAAGCTAATTTTTTTACTTTTATAAAATAATATTTAAATTTAGACATATTTTGATAAATGTTGATTATATTTTTCAAAATAATATTTTTTATTTGTGTTATTAGATATAGTTTTAATATATATGTAATATAAATGAAAATAATAATATTTATTAACAAAATTTATTTCTTTATGCGATAAAAATTTTAACTAGATTCAAATTAGCTCTATTAGATTAGAATTAACTAAGTATGTGATTGCAGCTGATGAAAATAGTATAGGATTACCTTTTTCATCATAAATGTATTTATTGTAAATGTCTTTAAGTTTTCCATCAGATTCTTTTCTTACTTTAAGCTTTTTATCTTTTGTATTTTCAGTTTTATTATTATATAGTAATCCTAATTAATTATTTAAAATTTTAAAATAAAAAAAATTGAATTAATCTAATTAGTTTTAAAAAAATTACTTCTTTTGATCAGTTTTTCGTAAATTTGCTCATCTTCTATAGTCATTCTTTTAGGAGGAGTTGGCTAGCTATTGCTGTTATTATGGCTATTATTATTCTAGTAGCTTAATATTTATTATTAATTGTTAATTATCATTTCTCTTTAATTTATTCTTTATTTTTAGTTGTTGCTCCTATGCTGGCTTGCTGAAAAATTGATTGGACTAATTGGAGATGCTAACTTTTTAGAAGCAGCAGAAGTGTGATCTGGATAGAAGAAGAAATCTTCGTCAAAATTACTGTCATTATCGCTTTAGAAAAGATATTTTCTTTAGTTGTAAGATGGTTTTTGATTAGTGGGCGAGTACATCATAATTTCATCCTCATTAAAATCTTCCAAATCATTCATCTGAATTGCATTATTATGTGAAATAGGTGTTTGCATTTAGTAGTTTTAATATCTCATTGCTTGCGAGTCTAGATTGCGTTAATTGGATCCTATAGACTGATGAGATTGAGAAGGCTTAAAAGTAAATTAATCTGATTAGGATTCTTAATTCATAGGGGATGTCATATTCTTTCTATTATTTTAGATTTAATTCATGCTTTATGTAAATTGGGAATTTCTACTGCTTAGATTAGGGAATAACTCTTTTTTTGGCTGTTAGTTGAAAAGTGGAGGATTCATTGTTTTTTATTTCGTTTATTAATTTTGATTGCTTTCAAATTAATTTTTAGTTTAATTTTGGTTTTAGATTTGAATCGGGTTAGAAAAGAATTGAGCTGGTGGTAAGTTATTTCTATTGATAAATATTTTATTTCTTTTCTTCTTTGAAGATTATTATTAGCTGTCGTAATTACTTAATTGACCTGATTAATTGTCATTTTATTAATTTGAATTCTATTTTAATTTTTCATTGCTTTTCGAGTAGGGATTGATGGATAATTGTTGCAAATTATAAAGATGATCTTTCTATTCTTTTGATTATAAAGGGAATAAATTTTTAGGATCTAATGGACTAAAAAGAAATTTATTCTATTAATTATTTGGTGAAGTAGCATTTTCAAGGGTGGAGACAATTTCTTGAACTTCTAAATTACTATCATTATGGGACTTAGTAATTCTACTAATTGACTTATTGTTTGCATTATTAGATTAATTTAACTAATTTTTATTTTGGGACAAGTTATTATTTTAAGATTGTTAAAATTGTGGATTCAAACTGAAGTAATCATCAGGCATGTTGCCAGAATCTTCTGGTTGTTTGAATGTGTCTGCACTTGGAATATCAGTTGATTTTGTTCTTTAATTTCTACTTTGGCTTGATTTTGCTTCTAGTGTGTAGAATTGCTTTATTATTTCCTTTTATTGGTTGAGTAAATACTCTCTTTCTACTAATAATTTTTTGGTTTAATCTAGATCATCTTTATCGTTTGTAAGTTTGTTTGAATTGTATCTATCAGGTACATCAATAGTGTTAAAGTGTTACTAATTTTTAAACATAGGGCTATTTTAGTTTAGATTTTTGTCTTGTGCTGAAGAAAGCATTGTTGCTTAGGGATTTTAACCATTTATTTGAATATTAGATTAAGAGTAATTTTGTGTTTTAGGAGATAAAGAAGGTCTTTACATTAAAAACTAAGTATTTTCATTATCTTAAGGTTTTTGGTGGCTATTTTATTAAATTTCTTCTGGGCTTGCAATGTTGAGAGCTTATACAGTTCTTTCTGGGGTATTTTGTCGATTATATGTTTATTATGTATTTGATGGAATTGTTTGTCCTAAAATATTGTTGTTTTGTTACATTTATATTTAATTAATTGGAATATTCTATTGTGCTGCAGGTTCTATTACATTTTAAACCAAGACTTATTAAGGTTGAATTGGAAATAGTTAAGAATTCACTATAGAGTTTTGTTGAGTTGGAATTATCTAAGATTGTTAAGGAGGAAGAGCTTAAAAGATTTAAGGTTATATTTATTACTATGCATGAATATTTTAAATGATTTATGGCTACTGGAACTAGGATTATACAGGAATGATCTAAGTTTGCATTGCAGGCTATGTTGGTATAGCTTAAGAATTGCTTAAAGGATTAAAGGTAATAATAGAGGCATTATTATTTTGAGAAGAAACCATATAAGGCTAAGTTGGAAGGACTTGCTGGGTGTGGTTAGAATGAGATGAAGGAGATAACGAATTTCTTTTATTATCCTCAAACAGATTATGAGAGGGATTTTTCTTATCATCAAATAACTAAAATTAATGAGTTGGCTATTTCGAGTCAAAGAGCTAAAATTGATTTTTTCTCTTTTCTTGCTGCAAATCTTCAAGATATAATTCTCTTTAAATGACTTCTTCTTATAATTCAGGAATTTTTTCAATTTCAAATTTAATTTCTTAAGATCTAAATAGATTATTAACGTCATTTTTTTAGTTTGATTTTTCAGTTTCTTCTTTGTTTATTTTTTTGGGGTCATTAAAGAGTTTTTCATTGTTTCCTGTTGTATTTCTTAAGTATGGGCTCACTAAAGAAGGTTTATTATTTTATGATTCTTCGTTTTTAGAGTCATCATTAAATCTTCCTGTTTTTTAATTATTTTCTTAGTCTTTTTTGTTATTATTATCTCTTGATCCAAAAAGGGAAATAGGGTTTTCTTGGGAACCTAAAACCAAAGGAATTTTTTCTTTAGAGCTCTGTCTTAATTACAATGGATCACCGTTATTTACTGGAAAAAGTGGTAAACTAAGAATATTTTCTTAGGTTTAAAACTGCATTTCGACTTAGCTACTTTTCACAGAAGCAATTGGCGAAATTGCTAATTAATTTGAAAAAACTTAGCTGTTTCTCTTAAATTAATCATTTTCTTAACTCGGATTCCTACTGTGTTGCTAATTAATATATGATTAAATACTAGGTTTTCTATTTAAATTTTTTTATTTATTTTGTTCTTTTGGCAAATTCATTAGTTCTTCTTTCAGCTGGCTAGGCTTAAATTTTAATTTTTTTACTTGCTTTTTGGCATTTTAATTTTTTGTGTTTTGTTTAAGCTCATAATTTTCTTTTTACAGCTGGCTAATTGTGTTTTGCATTTCTTAAAAAACTTATTAACTTTTTTCAAATAAAATCTCATACTTATCCTTAACCAATTAAGAATTATCTAATAATTATAAACCCGAATATGTTTCTTGAATCCCTAAATTCCTACCAGATACTTTAAACATCCTTTAAACTTTGTTATCAGCCACTTTATATTATCTTTAAGTAGCAGCCAATTTCTCTTACAATTCTACAATTTTTTCTGATTATCGTTTTAATAAATTCATCTACTATTCATGTTAGTTTTTCAAATCTTTTTCAAATTTTTAAGTCAATTCTTTCATTTTATCATCAGAAAACTTAGCAAAATCATCTCTACCTGAAATTTTCTAAAATATTTCTTTTAACTCTTCAATTTATCTTTTTAAATTAAATAATTTTATTTAACAAAAAAGCTTGTTTGAATATTTAAAATGAATTTTTTATTTATTTCTTAAAATATTAGTTAATGAGAAAATAAATATAATTAGTTTTTTTTTACGAGTGGTATTTTTAGTAGGTTTAGTAGAAATATTCATCTAAAAGTCCTTTAAATTGATCGATTTCTACCTTTTAATTTAATTAGTTTTCAGAGCTAGTGATGTGAGTTTTTAGCTATTTCATTCCATCATCTATTTATTTTGAGAGATCATCCCTCAAACTTCTTAACTAACCCATATACTTAGAATCAAGATGTAAAGCCTTTTCTTCTACTTGCTATGTATAATCAGTAAGTTTTTCAACCATGGCCAAATAGTTTGAAGCAATTTACTTCTAAAATTCTTCAAATTGCTGCTTAAATCTTTCAGAAAATTGTTTATTATCTGCATCATCTAAAATGTATTTTTTGTGTGCCTCTTGCACATAAGCTAATTAGCCTTGCAATATTTGATCAAATTACTTTTTATATTTATTCATATCTTCAACAAACTGTTATGAGTTTCTAATGTGTTGCTGCATTTAATTTTCGATAGACTTTTAAACAATTTATTCAATTTAATTTTTTTTCATATCCCCTAAAGACTCAACAGTATTTTTTAAATATTGTTCCTATTAAAAAGAAAAAACAATTTTAATGAACTTAAAGCTCTCAATTCAATCAAATTACAAAATTCAAAAGTCTTTTCAATTCATTTTTAGAATTCTGCATATCCTATTCTATTTAATCGACTTACCTATTATGTTAATAAATTAATAGTTGTTTTAAAAAGTAGCTTTGTATTCAAATACTAATAATTTTATCACTTTATTTGGTATGTCGCCTTTTCTAACATGTTATTAATTTGCTAATCAGTTGCTTGATTAAACTCCTGGCGCAGCTGCTAAACTCTCTCTTCAATAATTCTTTAAATATTCTTCTCAATCGTATCATCTCCTTTCATCATAATTGAATTATTGTTGTTGTTATTATTATTATTGCTGTTGCTTCTGAAAAAATTCTATCTTTAATCTCTCGCCTCTATAGTTTTTTTGCTTGGTTCAGTAATAAGATCCTTAATGCTAGTTAATTTTATATTGTTCTAAGACATTGCTGCTGATTCAATTTATGTCTTGCTCTAGCGAGAAGGGTTGATTTACTTAATTGAAATATCAGGTGAATACAAGTCTTAATTTTGTGGTTTTGGAGTATTCTACTGCATAAACAGCTCCTTATTACTCATCTATTTTGTTTCTGGCATCTTGACTGTTTTCAAAGATGCCTTATCCTAAGAATTAAACTTACTGGAATTCAAGCTATTCTGCTAAGGAGATTGCTATCTCATATTTAACAAAATCAAAATATATTTTTATTATCAAGATTTTCTTAACTCTATGATTAAGAAATAGTTAAAAAATCTTTAATTTTTAAATTGTATTTAGTTATATTAATTGGATTTTCATTCATTTGCAACAAAACTAATTTATTTATTTATTTGATTGATTTATTGTTTGCTTGTTTGTTTGCTTTATAATTGTTAAAATCAAAGCATGCATTCATTCAATCAATCATTCACATATTTAATGAAGATAACGCACATATTTTGAATTAATAAAGATATATTTTGTTCTAATTAAATTTTGTGCTTAATATTTATTTTATTGTTAAGCATTTTAAATTGTTCAATAAATCTTTTTCAATTTTTCAAATAAAATTTAATATTTTTAATGTTATTGACAAATAAAAACAAAAATTATCTTTTTTTTAAATTATTTACTGGATTATTTGATTTATTAAAACAAAAATATTATTTTTATTTGAGATAATTAATGAAATTAATAATCATTAAAATATTATTTATTAAAATAAAAATATTATTTTGAGTAGAGATAATTAATGAAATTAATAATTATTAAAATATTATTTTATTAGTTTAATTTAGTTAATTAAATAATTAATATTTAATTTAGTTAATTTTTATTATTTAATTTTGATTAATGAAAATATTTATATATATTTTGATACATAAATTTGTTTGAAACATTCATATTTTATAATATAATTTTACAAGCCTTTTCATTTTCCTTAGCTTTGAAAGCAATTAAAATTTATTGTTTACTTTTTAATTATACCTAATTAAAAGCCAATTTAATATAAAAATTAACAAAAAGTAAATATTTTACACAATGATAAAATCAAATATTTTAATATTTTAATTATTCTTGAGTTTTGTTCCAAAATTATTTAGCCACTCTTCCTTCAAATCGTTTCGACTTTTTAAAATTATTTGAGAATTTAATTAATTTTAAATAAATCTTACCTTAAATCTAAGATAACGTTTTATAGATCTTAACATTAAGCCAACCCTTCAGCTAAATTGCAAATTTCTTGATTTTCAATTTTATTTGAGCTTTTTAAAATATTTAAAAAACTAAATTCATTTTGCTCTAAAAAACAAATAATTTTTACTCTAAGTTAAGAACTAATTTAGAAAGATTTTTGAATTATTTAAATGCTAAACCGAATTCAGAGTTAACATCTGTAAAAATCCAAGTAGAGCTTTAAGTAATTAAAAAAAGTAAATAAAACAAAAGATAGACCTAATCTGAAATATAAAAATTAATTTACCCTAAACTTAACTTTAATTGAGAAAGGTTGATGAGTTAAGATAGTCCCTATATCAAGTTTGAAGCTCCTTTGTTTCCAATGTTATTATATCTATTATGTAAGTGAATTAAAAGTCTGCTTAAATAAGAATTAAATACACAAAAGAGAGAACTAAATTATTCAGATTTTAACATTTAATAATTGACTCAACTAAATAATTAACTCCTTCACTTAATATAGCATTATCACTAAAGTTTGTTTAAATAAAAAGATTATAATTTTAAATATGTTTAAAATTTTAGTTCAAATATTTTATATATTTACTAAAGGTTTATAGAGAGTATTGAAATATTTTAACATAAGCTCAATCCACTTCCTAAGTATTTTAAACCATTTGAGCCAATGTAATTACACCTATTTTAGAAAAAATTCAAATTTAATAAAACGATGTTATTATTAAAACTGTAGTTTCTCAATAATTAAGACCAAATCTTAAAATAACTAACTCATACAATAAGAATTTAAATTTATATATAATTTTTTGTATTAAATTAGCCTTTATTTGCATTAAAAAGTAATAAATATAATATCTTGTCAAATACTTTTTTGATTTTGATTTTAAAAAAAAATATTTCATTGGAAAGAATGATTTTTTTATGTATAAATAAATTGATAGATCTTATCTTTAATTAGTTAATGAGAAACTACTCTATTAAGTTAAAATAATATTTTTAAATTAAATTAGAGTTGCTTTATAAATAAAATTTAAATATAATAAAAAAATTAAAATAAAGTCTTTTTAAATTTTTACTCCAAAGCTAAACTTAAATTCTAAAGTTTAGAGCAATGTTTAATACCATCAAATAGTTTTTATACTCCATTGGCACCAATATTGTTCGAACTAAATCATTTGCAGAATAAAAATTGTTATCATTTTATTTATAAAATAAATTAAAAATTATCTTCTTACTCTAAATCAAGATTTAAATTTATAATTTAAATGCATTTTGATAATCCTTTTCCTAAATGAGAGACTCCTTCAGCTTTTATCCAATTTTTACTAAAAATTAATACCATAAAAAAAAATAATCTAAACATCAATTTAGTATGAATATTATTTATTACCTTAGCTATATATCTAAACTATTAACATTATTGCACTATTCAATTGCTTATCTAAGTTAGTACGCTCCTTGCTATCCCATCATCTAAGAACTTAAATAATTTATCACTTATTACACATATCATAATAATTTTTGTTTGCTACCTTAAACAAAGTTGCAGATTAGAGTGGCTAGATAAGTTAGATTTTTAAAACTTTTTTTATGATAAAAAAGAAATTATAAAAGTTTGTTACATTAATCAAAATACTTACCTGCTCTAAAGACTAAAATTGCATAATTTTATGAGTTTTCTTTTTTTTCAAACAATATACAAAGTTAAATAATTTTTTTTTAATTAATTTAAACTAAATAGTTGTGCTAGATAGATAGACAGACTTTGGTATTCTTTTTAATTTTAATGCAACTCTTCTTTAGAAATTAGCTCAAAAGAATAAACTAAATATTTCATTAATATTTTAAACATTTTCTACACAAATCATAATATTTATTGATCTTTAGATTTTTATCAGATGTTTAAAACTATTTTTATGATAAAAATTAATTTAGCTACAAAGTTTGACTTGTAAATAAATCTAAACAACTCCCTCCCTACTCAAAAGATTAAAATTTCATATTTTTATTAATTTTCTTTTATTTAAATTCTTTCAAAGTGAAAATGTCTGTGCTTTTTAGATATATTTTAATTTTAATTTGATAACAATTCTCTATTTTTAAAATTATTTCATTAACTATCTTAAAATTGGTATCAAAATTAACTCAAAAACAAGAACTGTTTTTAAAATATTACCATTTACAATAGATAAAAAAGTATTTAAATAAAATTTGGTAAACTTTTTTTGGTGAGAAATGAAATTAAGTTATTGAAATTATTAAAAAAATAAAAAATATATTTAAATATTAAAGAAATAATACATTTAATTATTTCATTATAAGATAGATTATTTTGATTACACTTTAATCAAATGTTTAATAACTTTCTTAATTCTTTATAGTTTTCTTTAATTGCAGTGTAAATGACTGTTCTTGTGTTTAACAAGATAAATATATCAATGAGCTAAGTGACATAACAAAATGGAGAAATACTTAGATTTATGTTGTCTTAATGGATTTTATTTTATCCTCCATGGAAAAGATCAGATTCTTTAATCAATCTGTACAAGCCCCAAGTCCAAAAAGCTGTAAAAAACAAGGAAGAAACTGGACAAAAAAAATTCATGTTTCCAGTAGCAACAAAAGAGGCAAATCCCACACCTATATTAAGGAGATAGTTTGGAAGACCTATTTTAAGAATTGCCCATTTAAGTGATGTAAAATCATTATCTACAGCATCTTAATTTTTAAAGAAGCTTTTACTTAGTGAATAAGCACTATAAAAAAATAATCCTGATGATAGAACTAGCAAATATGATTAAAGGACATGAAAAATAGAAGTAAAAGCAGCTAAACTTAGAACTAGCTTTGCTAAAGTTTGCTTCTTTTTTTGTTAATCAAGCTTTTCGACTTCTCCGAATCTTTCTATGAGAACTTTCTCAAAGAAATCTATTACTTTTAAAGTAGCTGGACTACTTTTTGCATCATTCATTTATCTTAATTAGTAAAAAAACTCGAAAAAGCTATTACGCTCAAGCTTGTACAAGTATTTATAAGTATAATAGCCTCCAATAGGAAAGAGGATAATTGGTCCTAGAAATAAGGTTGAAATAGAAGTAAAATGTGTAGCAGTAACTGCAATTCCTGTAGTAATTAGACTGTTTCTAAATACACTCAGCCTATCTTAGGAATCTACTTATACTTATTAATTTTTTAAGTTGGCATCATCCTTCTACTTTTCAGCACTAAAATAAAATGAAGGATTTTATCTTCTTAAGAATGAAATTGGTTGAACTTATCCTTGCTTACATATTTTAGCAAAATTAGATGTAAATCTGAGCATTTATTTGAGACTTAATTAATAATTATTAGCTATATTGACTAAGTAATCAGTAAATAAGTATTTTATTTGCAATTAATTAATTATCCTAATTGTATTATCTAATTATTAAACTTTATTCATTCGTTCATAAATTATTGTAGACTGTAGACTGAATTCGTTTTTCTTTATCTATTTTTATTTTATTAAGCTTAACAATTTTTAATAAGTTGAATGGCCAATAGCCAAAAGATATTTAAGTAACTAAATTTATAGATTACAAATTAATAAAAACTCACAAGCCTATTTGGACATTTAAAAATAAATAAATAAATATTATTAATTCATCTTAAGATTTTTATCAGAATTTATACTTGCAGGTCTTAACTTTTATTTTTCTCAATATTTTTAAAACATAATAAAAGAAAATAAATAGTTAAATAATAAATTAAGCATAATCACATGTCATTTACATGTTAAAAAATGTCAAAACAATGACTTCTATTTTTTAGTAAATTTTAAAAAAAAGTAATCTAAATGTTTCAAATTTTAAAATCAATTATTATTATTGAATTCTGTTTTTAGAAGTTGATCTAATAAACAAATGTTACAGGGTTATGTTTTGTATTTAAGTAAATATATTAAAGCGTAATTAAAAATTAACAAAAAACAAAAATAGATGACTTAATTTATTTTGTTTCTTTCTATTTTATTAATTAATTTTGCATATCTAATAAATTATTGCAGGAGACGTTAATATATATTTCTTATTGAGTCTAATTATTATTTAGAATTTTCTTGAAAAATTGGAAAACTAAATTTAATTTTAGTTTTTAAAATAGTAAATCTCAATCTATTTTTATTTTTATTCTAAAATATAATCAGTAAATTCTGCAAATAATAAAATTCTAATAAATATTACAAAAAATAAACACATAAAATTATTATTAATATTAATATAAACTCAACTTAAAGTTATCAAATACCGTATTTTCTCATATATTAAGGACATATTCAGATAAAAACTTTTGATCAAATTTAGTCCTTAATGAAGTAAATTTTTGTATCTTTATTTGATTTTAACTTCAAAAAATAAATTGAAAGCATAGTATATTTAATTAATAAAACTATTGAAAAAAAATAAATTATTTAATTTAAAATTAAATATTTAGTTTTAAAAATACTAAAAAAAGGTATTTATGTATGTATAATGTTAAAAAATTATTATTTATTTCATAAATTTAATTTATAGCTTTTTATGAATTTAATTCTTTATATCTCAATTTTATAAGAATTTTATTTATAGAAGTGAAATATTTAAATTTAATGAAAAAATATACGAAACAAAATAAGTAAATTTTAATAAAAAACTAAATTAGAATTAATTGAAAAAATATTTATTAATTTATATTTAAAACATTAATTAATTTTACTTTATTTTTATTTTAAAAATATTTAATTACACTTTTAAAAACTGTTTATACTGTTTGTATATTGGGTATCTATCTGCATTTTTTGGCAATTATTCCTGACAACTAGTGCATAACAAACAAGCACAAATTTTACTTAAAAGAACTTTTTTTTATCAAGAATAATTTAATTAATTGTTTAATATGAATAATAAGATTGATTAATTATTATACTTTTTCCTAATAAATAATATTTATTTAGTTTTGATTATAATCTTTAATTTAACAAGGATAATTAGATTAAAAATTTTTTCATTTCAGATAAAAAAGTTGAATAAAGTCATAAAAAAACTTAGATGCTTCAAGAAAAAAAATATTTTGACAATTTAGAATAAGTAATTATTTTCTTTCAAAGTTAATTGTAAATTATTTTAAATGTATGTCAAAAGCTTTAAAATTCTTCTTTAGATTCTCATAATTTCTTAGAAATTGATTTAAGGTAAAGTTTGTTTATTTGTTAAATTAGTTTTCTTTCTCTTATCTGGATTAATATTTTGCTTTCAAAAAAAAAAAAATGAAATATTTAAAGGAAATATTCATTTATTTTCCAAGGATATATAAACTAATATTCGTATGCATTTTATTTTAGCATTTTGTTAAACTTCTTATAAATTATATTATAATAAATATTATAATTATATTTATTTTGTTTAAGATTTTAAAATTTAGACAAATTAACAAAAAACTTCGCTGGTGCTATAGCAAAGTGTACTAATTTATCAGCCTTGGTAATCATCCTTTCGTAAACAAAGCTAAAATGCTCAAATTTCTATTTTAATTAATTAAAATTATGATTTTTTTAAATACAAAAAATAAAATTTGTTTAAAAAGAAATTAATTAAATTTCATATAAAATACTTTATTAACCAAAGTCTGTCTGTCTGTCTGTCTTTATGTCTATTATTTATAAATTTCTTTAAATATATTTTATTTTCATTTTATTATTTTCAACTAAAATTACAAATAAATTAAAAGATCAAATCATATTGACGAAACAGGTGTATCAGATTTGGGTACTGCATTAGCAAACTGTAATAATCTAAAAGATTTAAAACTTTATTTAGGGTAAAAAAATAATTTATTTCTACAAATCTATTAATACATTATTTTCAATAAAATTTGCAAAATATTTAAAAAAATAAAAATAAATAAATAAATTTTTATTATTAAATACTCCTAAATAATCTATTATTTAAAAAGATATTGCTAAATTGGAGCTTAAGGTGTATAAAATTTAGGTTTTGCTCTTGAAAACTGTAAAATATTATAAAATTTGACTCTTTTCCTTTAGTAATTTAATTTATTATTAACTTTTTGCAAAAAATATTTTTAAATTGTATTTAAATATAATTTATTCAGAAAAATACAACATTTTTTTTTCTTATTTACTAAAATTTTGATTTCTATTTTAAGTAAAATCATACAACTTTTTTCTATTTTCAATATAAAAAAAACTAAAATACTAAATATAAATTTTTAAAGAAATAACTAAATTGGGTCTTAGGGCGCCTCAGACCTTTCCTCTTCTTTATCAAAATGCATTGAACTTTAACGCTTAAATATTGATCTCAGGTACTAAAAATTTTTATTTCAAATTTTTCAATGGTTTACTTATTTTATTTTTGTATTAATTATACAATAATTAATTATAATACAATAAATTTTAATTGGAGCTTTTATCCATCTTTATTTTTCATTTAATATTTTATTAAAATAAATTTTTATTTCATTATTATAAATTTAATAATTTTTAAAGCAGTAATTAAATTGAGTTAAAGGGGATCTCAGATTTAGGATCTGCTTTAGCGAAGTGTTCTAAGCTAACAACTTTGACTATCTATATCAGGTATAAATCTTTTTTGTATTTTATTCAGCTTTTAAATCTGTTTAAAATTAATTAACTTTTTTAAATTAGAGAATTAAAAAAATTATTTCATTAAATTTCTTTATTTTTATTAACAATTTTTAAATAAATTTACTAAATATTTGCTAATTAAATAAAAGGGATAATAAGATTAGTGACAAAGGAGCATCAAGTTTAGGTCGCGAATTGGCAAAAAGTTCTACTATTAAAAACTTGGCGTTATATTTGCAGTAAAAATAGTTTACTTTTTTTGGAAATAATTATTTCCTTTAAACAATTTTAAAATGTAACTCAATATTAAAATTTATATTTTGTCGAGTTTAAATATTTTAATATATTTATTATTTATTTTTATTAATGCTTTAGTTAGTAAATAGCTTTCGATCTTTTAAAATTAATACTTTTTTCTTTAATTTTTTGTTATCTTTCATATTTAATTTCTATTAAATTACTTATTTTTAAAAGGGAAAACTCAATAAGCAATCAAGGTGCATCCAATCTAAGTTTATAGTTAGCTAATTTTCAAAATCTTCAAATAGTAACTCTTGGTCTGAGGTATATCTATCTATCTAGCTAGTTTATTGCTTTTAATTAAAAAGTATTTTTAAATAAAATAAAATGAAATTTATTTAAGAAAGTAAAAAAATACTTTTTGCAATCTAGCTAGATTTAATTTTTATAAAAGCTTTTTAATATTTTCTCATTTAATTTATTGAGTATTTTTTTACAAATTACATTTATAGCCTAAATAAAATTGGTGATGATGGAGCTGTTTGCTTAGGTTAAAATTTAGCTAATATACCTTTCCTTACTACTTTAGCTCTACTTTTATAGTAAAATATTAGCTTAAATAAATTTATTTGATTAAATAAATAAATAATTTTTTAAAATTATTTTTATTTATCTGTTATAATCTTGCCTTTTAATAGCAAAAAATAATTAATTAAAATACATTATTTTTAAACTGATTGCTTGTTGATTAACAATATTTTTTATATAAAAGCATGAATAAAATTACTGACATATAATTAAAGAAATTAAGAAGAAAAATACTTAAACTTAAAAGACTAACAATTTATTTTGAAAAATTTAAGAGAGATTGAAATGAAAAATGAAAAATAAAAATTTCAAAAGACATGAAACTATTAATTATAAATATTAGTCATATTTTCCTATCTTATTTTGGTTCAATAGTCTTTTATAGTTTTCATATTATTTATCTTCTCAAAATCTAAGAAAATTTAATTTTACTTTATTTTTCTATTTTTTTATTACTTATTTTTATAAAAGTTTAAAATAAAAATAAATTTTTAATTTTTCTAATTTAATTTTATTTATTCATTCTTCTTCTTACTTTGTATATTTTCTTATGGGAGGTGTTTTGTATGAAGAATTTTAATTAGCTAAAATAATATTAAAAAGAAATACAGAAATAATTTTTAAAATTTACATAAAAATATTAAAAGGTAGGTTTGACTCTATATATCTGTATATTATATTTATTAATTTTCTTGTAAAATTTTAAATAATTTTAATTATTTTAATAAAAAAATTATGTTTTATTTATTTATATGTATTATAATAATGTAGTATTAACTAAGCAATAAAGATGAAATTTATATAAATAATACGAATTATTTTTACATTCAATAATTTTAATTTGTCAAATTTATATTTCGTAAACTTAAATATAGTTGTTAGCATCGTTTATAACAATAAATAACTTATTCTTGTTGTCAACGTATAAAATTTTACGGGGAGAAAACACAGTAAAGAGAGTCTGTTCTTTTTCGATTATTGGACTGGAGTTCGTTGCTTTTAAAATAGAGAGCTTATCGTTTTCTTGCTCACTTGTAAATATTAATCCTGTTAAATCTCTATTTTGTATTGAGTAGTAATCTTTATTTCCAAACAAACTTTCCTTCACTGAAAATACAGCAATATCTCTTGCTCTGTTATCTATGTTTTGTTCTATAATATTTTTATTTTCTAGTTTAAGCTGTTTGAGTGTTCCATTTTTGCAGACGGCTACGAATTGTTCTAGTTCAGGGTGATTTCTTAGATAAAGAACTCCTCCTCCAAAGTTAGAAACATTAAAAATAGATTATTTTTCAAATTTTTCATTTACATATACGTAAATTACTAAAACTTAGTCTTCACTGCTGAATGACATAAATTTATTAGGCTAATTAGATTAAGATGAGTAAGATGTATATTTGTTAGCAGCGTTAGAAGAGCTTGTCATCACCATTAGTTAACTTATAGCTGACACATGGCATTTTTCTAGACCATAACCAATTGTTTTTTCATAATCAAATATTGAAACTTCGCCATTCTCATCTCCTGCTGCAAGTAAAGGTGTGTTAGTTATAGGGTAGAGATCTACTATTCTAGAAACAGGAGCAGAAAATCCAATTATTGAGTTATTTTTTTATATAATTTCTCTTGTTTTAATTCTAAATTGATACAAGGTGATTACAGAATCAATATCACTTAATGCAAAATTTAAAGCTGTTGGATATTCAGTTTGGTACAGTCCTTCATTAGAAGATTGCAAACTTGCTAAAAATTTTATTTCTCTTCTAATAATTTGACTTCCTGTAATTATTGTATTGTTATTTGTATCTAAGATTCTGATTGGTGAGTCTAAACTAGCCATAGCAATAAAGCCATTAGCAAGATAGCAAATGAATTTAGGTATATTATTTAATTTAATTTAGAAGTCTTTTTTCAGCTTTAAATAATTGCTATTTAATATTGCACCTGTATTAAAAGCTTATGAGTTTTAAGTTAGATTTGTTGCACTTGCTGTGTGCTACAATCCTTAGTTACCATACGTGTTTTACCTTTAAAGAGGAACCTATTAAGGAATATTTACTGGTAAATTTTAAGCAAAAGAGGAAGCAGTATTATTGGTATTGCTATTCTGCATAAGATTTAAAGTTACTATGTTGTTTGCTGGTGAATTAACTCCTCCCCCTCTACTATTTTATTTGGTTTAAAAAATTTTAGGTTTTGTTCTGTTTTAGCTAATTGCCAAATTGTCAAAATTTTAACCAAAGAAATTTGGACTATTTGCTCCATTCTAGCTTTAATAATTTTGAATTGTGGTAATGTTAGCTGTAGTAGAGCTGCCATTTTATGCACTATGAGAGTGTTAATGATGCTAAGAATTTAAATGAGCAAGAGGAGGTGGCATTATTCTTGTTGTATTGGCATTGCTTCCTTGCATATTTTCAAGATATCCGTTTCCCTAAGAAGATTTGCCGAAGTTCATAAAGTTATATTTTTTGGGCGGCATTTAATTTTGGGGAATTGAAATCTTGTAGATTGGCTAGAAGAAGTTAACACATGCTTCTTTGAAGTGGCCTTCTAACTAAACCTTTAGTTGATCAAGAATTTTGATAGATGTCTATCCTTAAATTGAAGGAGCTACTTCAAAATCAGAAAGCTATTTATAATTTGGCAGCCTATTTGTTAATTAGTTGACATCTTTGAATATTTTTTCGATTTCTATAATGTTAAATCCAGAATTTTTAATAATATTCTCACTCTGCTAAATGGATTCTCTCAAATCTAAAATAAATTCCTCTAACAACTTTGCATCTAACGAATTCATTTTTGCACTAAGTGCATTACAATCTCCTAAATACTTATATTTCTGCTTTAAAATTTAGAAGAGATGGTCATGATATTGCTTGAAATCAGTAAATTGCATTCTGTAACTAACTAAAAAGTCATCTAGCTTTTTAAAAACCTGCTAACGCTAAGTATCCATAATTTCATAAACCTTATTGCTAATATGTACAATATCTTAAGAAATAAGCTATTTCTGGGCATGCACATAATTTTCAATGCTTTTGATATGAGGCTCAATATCAGCCTACCACTTGATTAAATTTAAGTTATCTGTGTTACCCAAAATTTGGTTGTAAACTGACTTGAAAGGCTATTATGTTACTTTAACTTTCTAGGAAATGTCAAAAATAAACTAATCTATATTTTTTAAAGACGCATAAAAATCATGCTAATCATGTTAGTGAGCAGAACAAGAACCACAGTAGAAAGGATGTTGGCAATCCTAAACTGTACATCCATGCGTGATTTCGCTATTTGGATGCAAAACGCAATAAATCTTTGGCTTTGGCTAAACTGCTCCTTCGTAAAATATAATATCTTGTTAGTTCATACCTATTACTACGTTTTCCTACTACAAATGTACTAATTTAATAAATAAATAAATCCTTATTTTTTTATTACAAATTTTTGTCAAAAAAATCAAAAAAACTTTAACAATATTTTTAAAAACAACAAGTCTATAGCTGAATGATTTTCTTTATACGTTCATGCATAATATATAAATCTTTATTCATTCATTTTATTCATTTATTTTCATTAAGCATTACTAAGACTATTTATTTGTTCAGTTCTTTTTTGATAGTAAAGTAATCAAAAAATCTTCATAGAAATTAATAAAAATCAAGCAAATTAATGAATAAATGAATGAATGAGCATATTTCTCTTTATTTATGAAATATTGTGCATTTTTATTAAAATTGATTAAAAAAATTCTTAATCAAAAGCAATGTGTTATTTATTTTTCATAACGAATTAACTTGAAAAATCAAACACATTTAAAATTGGCTTGTAATTAATTATAATGCGTATTCTATTATTTTTTAATCATACTATTTCTATGTAAAATTTTTAATTATTTCTTATTACTATTGATAGAAGATCAAAGTGATTTGAATAGATATTATCAATTAACTAATTTTTATATCTATCTATTATCATTACTTTTTTAAAGATATAATTGAATAGTCCAAACTAATTATTTGATGTTTTAAATTTACTAATTATTTATTAGCTAATTTTCATCTTTATTTCTAGATATAAACAAATTTATTAAATTCAAATAATCTAAAAAACATTAATTAAAATAAAAAAGTTAAATAATACTCAGATATTTGATATTTGTTTACGAATAATTCATATTATCAAAATTAAATTAATCTAAGAAGATAATAAATTGATTATAAATTATTTATTTTTTATAAAAATCTGTAAATTATGTAAAAAAATATTATTAAAAATGTTAATTTCATTTTCTTTATTTTTTAATAATTTTTCTCATTTTTTTTGTTAAAATTTTAATATTATTTAAATTTTAAAGTATGACTTAAAAAATTATTTCAATTAACTCTCTAGCCTTTACCAAGGATTTGAGTAAAAAACTCTCTATTTTTAACTTAAAATGTTTTAATGTTAGATAAAAAAAATCCTCACATAAAAGTATAAACAGATTTTATTAGTAATATAGATAATTTGCTTGCTAAATAAATATAAAGGAAAATTTGAGTAAAACTAAAAATTCAGGTATTCAATTAATTTTTTGTGATTTTGCCAACATGAATGTTAATTATTAATTTATCTTTTGTAAAATTTATAGATTCAAAATCAATTAACAAGAATACTTAATTAATGCGACTTTGTTTATAAATTTTTATATTATTTACATAAATTAGTAGCTTAACCTACTTCACATTATTACTTAAATGGATATTATTCAGTGACGAAGGAATAAACAATTTATTTGAATAGTGCCCCACCTTAAAAAGTGGTTTCTTATTTTAAAAATTTTATAATGGTGGGCGTGAAGTCATTAAATATATTTAATTAATATGAGTGATATTGGTGTTTTTCAAAATTTTGTTACAATCTGTGTTTAGAAAAAATATTACCAATAAAATTTTTTAAAATCAATAAAAAGCATAAGCGAAAAAAATCAAGAGAGAACAAAGCAAAGTAAGAAAGAAAAGTGAATTTCTAAATTTAGAAGAAAATTTTTGTTATCACTTACATCTGATAACTAGATTAATATAAAATTGACAAACAAGAAGTGATAATTAACTGAGTTGATTTATTTCGATTTTCCTTTTCAATCTTTGATTAATTAATTAATTATTTATTTTTGTTTATTGCTTCATTAGAACTATCAAAATCCTGTTGGATTCTCTGGCTTCTAAAAACTTAGTCTGACTAGAACTTATAAATATTTTTTTTATAATTTATTTGAAAAGAAAGAAATTTTGCTTTTAAAAATAAAATAAAAAAATGCCTTAATAAGAAGAAGAAGAAAATAATTCTTAATAAATAAAGTCTCCTTTGTAATACTAAGAAAACATTGAGAGAAAACTAACTAACTCCACTCTCATACATGTAAACAACTAGTATTAGACAGAAATTTATAGCAGTAAATAAGAAGTCGAATACTTTTCCAACGATGCCAGTGACTTTGAAGAACCTGCTGTTATTGAGTGCCCTAAATGTCTTAAAGTATGTTAAACTAAAATTTAAGTTAAATCAGGCAAAAATACTTACTTATGTTCTGGACTGCTATTTGTACTTTCAATTGGTATTTGTTGCGTTCTACCATTATTAAGCAGTGGATTTAAAGATAAAATTCACTTTTGCTCTGCATGTGGTAATTAAGTGGGAATCCATAAATTCAGAATTTGCTGATTATATATAAATAAATAAATAAAATAGTTACTAATTCTAATAAATTATTAGCAATAAAGATCTAATGCAAATATATAAAAATTATATAAAAAACTACTAATTAACTATCTAAAAAATAATAATAATAAATTTGATTTTAATTCTGTACTTGCTTCTTATTTATTCATTGTCCTTTCTACACTTTATAAATTTAATTAAAAATAAAATAAGGAATTTCACTTAAAATATCTATTAGTATTTGGATTCTAAAATTTTTTTAGTATAAGAATTTGTTAATTAAATTTAATTTTGTAAATCTTTTCAATAACCTAAAAGCAAACAAATTAATCAATTTGTAAACTTAAAACTTACTCAAATTAAATAAGCACTTTCTTGATCATTTCCAGTAAATATATTAATCAGTAAAAACATAAGATACATAAAAACATTTTAAATTAGAGGGAATATTTTAACTTGAATAAATATAAAATAATATAAAAATTAATTAATATTATCAATATTATTTCAATTTTTCTATATAAGCTCTACCAGAAAACCTAACAGAAAATTTTTAAGGCATTTTTGATCATATCTAATTGAATTTAATTTATATGATTTTTCATCGGAAAGGATTAAATGCTTAATAACATGATATTTTCTATATAAATTACTATTGATGATTAGAAAAAGATAAATCTAAAAGCTTTTGCTTATACCTTTTATTCTTTTATAGGGTAATTTAAAATTAGAAACATAAGCTTAGATATATATAATTGTTGCTAATGCTTAATAATTTTTTGCATACATAAAAATAATTTTTTTTATATTTTTATAAGCAGTAAAAAGGTATAATCCAAAGAGTATTAACGAAAATATATTTTTAATTATGAAGTTGTTCATTATTATTATCTATTAAAGTTTTTTGTTCAAATCTTATATTAAAGAAAATATTTAAAGATATTTTCCTTCATTTTTTATTTCAAAAAAGATTAAATCTATATAAATTTGATAATATACTAAATTATTTACAAAAAAGATTTGAAAATAAAAAGGAAATAATTTATTCTTTTATATTTAAAAAACAAAAAAGTTAAAATTATTATTATTATTATTATTAATTAATTTATACATTCTAACAGACATAGAAAAATAAATGAAAAAACAATTATTTTGAATTTAAATTTAAATAAATAAATATATATTAATAATAAGTATTTAGGAATACAAATTTATCCTAAATTTGTTCATTCATCCATTAAAATTATCTATGCTTTTTATTTTTTAATAGTTTTAAAATTTTAGTGGTTTTTTAAAATTATTTTTAATAAACAACTCAAATAAATTTAGATAGTTTCAATAAAAATAAAAAAAATTAAATTTTTTAATTTCTTTTGATGCCATAGCTTCTTCATTAAATTATTTTAAATAATTTATCAAAAATTTTATTTAAAATTTGCCAATTTTTAACCAGCAAAAGAAATAATTTAAACTCTGTTTATGATAATACTGAAAAGATAAATATAAAATAAAAATTATTTAAGATCACTTTTATTTAGGTTCTATAATTTAACATATTTTTTAGATTAATAATCATTTGATTATTATTTTTTGCTTGTAAAATTAAATTTCATAAATTTAATCTTTGTTTAAAGATTTAAAAATGCACTTAAAAAATGAATGCAAATTAATATTTTTTTCAAAGATTCCTTAATTTTCTTCTATTTTATTTTTTAAATTATTTTTTTTCTTTTAAGTAAAATATTTATCCGATTTTTTAATTAAATCCCTATTTAAATAATAAAATTTAATAAACCTCTTTTTTATTATTAATTATGAACCTTAAAAAATAAATTAAAAAAATTATTTAATGTTTGTTTGTAAATTATTCTTCGTTAAATAATAGATTTTGCTTATTCTGCTAAGTAAATTAAATAAAACTTAATTATTATAAATTAGTTCAGTTATAATTAAAAATAATCTTAATATAATCATAAATTTTACTATTTTTAGTTATTAAGTTATTATTATTTGAATTTAATTTAATAAATTTAATTTAAATTTTTTAAATTATATATATTGAAAATTCATTTCTTAAAATAGTAGAAAAGGTACGAGTATAACAATCAAAAAAGATTTAAATAATTATTTTTTGAATATATTTCTTTTATAGAATAAGTTAACCTAAACTTGAGAATAATAGCATATAATTATTATTATTTGATAAAATAAATTGTTGCGGCAAACTAAAAAAAAAATAAAGTTAAATGATTTAATTGAGTAAAGATAACTTCAATATATTAGAAGAAAAAGAAGAAATAGAAACAGATTTTGAAAGAAATAACTCTGATTGCTAAAATAAAAAAATAAGAAATTTGAAGAGCTTTCTATCAAAAACAATAGTTTTCCTTCTTCTCTTTTTTACCTAAATTTAGTTTTACATCCAAGTTGTTTTGATTATTTAAGTAATTCATTATTCAATACGATTTTTTGAAACATCCTTTTTTTATTTTACTTTATTTTTAAAATTTAAGAAAAATGTTTTTAATAAAATTATTTCTTAATAAAAAAATTTTTATGTTAAAAATAAGATTTAAATGATAATTTTTATGTTAAAAATAAGATTTAAATGATAATTTTTATGTTAAAAATAAGATTTAAATGATAATTTTTAACTAACTAACTAACTAACTAACTAACTAACTAACTAACTAACTAACTAACTAACTAACTAACTAACTAACTAACTTTAATAGGATTTGCAGTCGATTTACTTGTAAAAATATTTTTGGATATATCTTGCTATTGTGCTTATCTATTTAATTGTATGTTTAGATACAAAATAAAATAGTTTCATACTTAGTATCTTATTTAGTCTCCCAGGTGCAACTTCTCTGCAAGAATATTTAACTCATGATATAAAATTTGGCTTCTTTAAATAAATGTTTTATAGAGATATAATATTGACTATTTTGATCATTTATCAATATTTTTTTTTGGAATACACTATTTTGCTGCAAATTTCTTTTTCTTGGCTCTATGTTCAATTATATTTTAGATTCAGAGATCAATCTTCAAATTTAGATGATTAAACTCTTAAAGATTTGATACGATAAAATCTTAAATAAACGTCTGATATAATCTACCCTTTGGGTGATTCTATATTTCTTTCATTTTTCTTATAACAGGAAATAGGAATATGGTGCAGTTTAACAGGTTTATTTATGGGAAAGCACTTCTTTGCATCAGCAAATGTTAGCATAATTTACGATAAAAAGAAATAATGCCGCATAAAGTCATTTCATGGATAATAATGGTTTTTTGTAATTCCTATAATCTAATAAGCTTCAGATTAAAAGCTTAAAAACTCTTAAGAATTACTTGATGATGCAGTATACTTCAAGTATAAGTATCTCGTCTTATTTGTAGATAGATTGCTTTTATTGATTGCATTTTTATTGATTATAATTTTCGAAAATAGTAGACTTAATTATAACTTTAGCTTGATGTTTTAAATAATAATTAATATAGTTGGCTTGTTTATGAGTTTATGGTCTTTAAAATAACAAATATTGGATAAACAATCAGAATTTTACCATATATCTTTGTAGGATATTTCTCGACTGGAATAAATAGAGTGTTTAAATAAAGTAAAGAAAATTTTCATAACTTTTGATTCATTAAGCAAGCAGAAAGCCTTAGAGATACTTACAAGCTAATTTATGTAATCCGAAATATTTATTACAAATAATAGCTTTGAATGGAAAAGAACATTTAATTAGAATAACTCATATTAGACTTTAACTTTTTATGATAATAAAAATGACCAAAAAGATAAATTGAATTTTGAAATTTCAAATGTTATCAATGAGTAAATTAGTTAAATTGATGTCTATGCTCCGATTTTATCTTTACATCGATCAGAAGTACCTAAATAAGCATACTTAGATATGTTTCGTATTCTATCAAATAGTAAGTATTTAATCGAAATTAAAGTATTTGAAAGTAAGATGCCTTTAGGCTAATTTTTTAATTTTAAGTTAACATACTATGATTAGATGTTCGTTGCGTAAATTAAAAGAGCCTTTTTATAAATAATTTGTTTCGAAGAGTAGACAAAGATTTTCTCAATTAACCCTTAAATGGTATTTTACGATTTGTTTGAAGATTATATATGAAAATTAATTTTAATTAAGTATAAAAATTTGTATTTTATATTATTCATTCTATAATGTTGTTAATTCAATCTTTTTTTATTCATTTTTCAATTTTCTTATGAATTTTCATATAATTAAATTTTTTATTTAAATTGGTATTATTGTTATTCTAGAATAATTATTTCTATTGTAGGAAATAAATAAATATTTAATAGAACAATAAATAAATAAATATTTAGTAGAATAATAAATAAATAAATATTTAGTAGAATAATAAATAAATAAATATTATTTTAAAAATTAAATTATCAAAATTTATATTAAAAATAACAAAAGTGCAAAGGTAAAAAATAGAAAAATCAGTGTAGTGTTAGTGATAGCAATTATAACCTTATTTGATAAAATGAAGAAAATTTAAAAATTAATAAAAGATTAAAAATAACAAATTCATTGTTTTAAAGAAAGGAAGAGCGATTAAAAAATATTTATAAAAATTAATTTATTATTAGATTTAAGCTAAAAGCTTAAAAAAAATTAGATTAATTTCCTTAATAAGTAGATTTATTGTTTAAATTATTAAATATACATAAAATTAGTTCTCAATTTATTAATTAATGAGAATTTATTGAATATCTTTTTTAGCTATTTTAAGTAAAATATTCGAATTGTTAGTTAATTCATCCATATTTTAATTCATTTAATTTTACTTAACAAATTATAATAGAAAATAAATCTTTTTTTAGTTAAATTAAATATGTTCCTACCACTATTAACTTAATCTTTAATTTTTCTTCCATTTCAAAAATTTGAAAATAAAAAAATTAATTAATTTTAGCTTCTTAATAAATAATAATTAATAAAAATCAGAATTTAATATTCAAATACTTTGTAAGTCAGGAATAAGTGATGACTGATTTCTCAAAAATTTAAATTTATGTAAAAAATTATTAGATTTTATTTGTAATTTTAACGACAGACTCCTAATTAAAGAGTTAATTCATTGACTATTAACATCAGCCAAATATTTAATAAAAAATAACTAGTATTTCATAATAAATGCTAGAAGAATATTTTAGGTTTTAGTATATATCCTTTTTAGCTTTTTCTATATAGTAAAAGATTGGGATTAGTTAATTCATTCTTATTCATTTATTTTTATCTAACAAATTATAGTAGAAAATAAGTCCTTTATTAGCTAATGGATATTTTTCTATTTTGTAAATTTTAATATTTAATTTTTAGAACATTTTAACAAGTAATTAATATACAAATAATTCTGCTCAAAAATGCTTAGGCAGCAAATAATATATCTACTTATAATAATTTATTTTGGCTTCCTGACAACAAATAGGCTGCCGACCAGAAATTAATAAAATTTATGAATTTTTTATTTATTTTTTAATGTTTTAATGTTATCTTTTGAATTTCTGATCGCGAACAAAAATTTATATGTTAACTAAATATTTTAAGGTTAAATTAATAAATACAAAAACTGTTAAAGACAAGCAAGCCTTCATTACTTTAACTACTTTAAAATATAAATTTGATTAAAGCCTAAATATAAATTAGAAGATTAAAAATAAATAATTTATAGCTAATTTAAAAGACCAAATCATTATTAAAATATTATTTTAAGAAATGAGGAATAAATAATCTATAAACATGGCTAAATTACAAAAGACTAAATAATATTTAAACAAAGGTTTCTAATAACATCTTTGTTAATATTTTTAGACAAATTTAATAATTTAAATGATCAAGCTTATTCTTTATTTATTTTGGCTTCCTGAAAACAAGTTAAAATAGATTGCCGACCAGAAATGAATAAAATTAATAAAATTTATGAATTTTTTATTTATTTATTTTTGTTTTAATGTTAGCTTTTTAATTTCTGATCGCGAACAAAAACTTAACTAAATATTTTAAGGTTAAATTAATAAATACAAAAACTGTTAAAGACAAGCAAGCCTTCATTACTTTAACTACTCTAAAATATAAATTAGTAGATTTAAAATAAATAATTCATAGTAAATTTAAAAGACCAAATCATTATTAAAATATTATTTTAAGAAATGAAGAATAAATAATCTATAAACATGGCTAAATTACAATAGAATAAATAATATTTAAACAAAAGTTTCTAATAACACTTTTGTTAATATTTTTAGACAAATTTGATAATTTATCTGATCAAACTTATTTCTTTATTAAAGCTAAAAAGAAAAAGATTTTTCTGATAATACTCACTAATCTATTTTCTAATAGAAAATAATTACTAATTAATTATATGTTGCTTATATATTTTAAATACAGTTTAGCAAATTAATCATAAACACTTAAAAATTAAAATAAATCCAAATTATAAAATAATTTAAAGCAAAAGAAAAGTAATTTAAGAAAATATGAATAACAATAACTACTCATAAATTCCTCCTCCTCCTTAAAACTAAAATTAAGGATATTAACCCCCAATGATGGGAGCTCCTTAAACAGTTCAAGTAGGATTACCAAGAACTGCTAACTCATCGACAGCTCCTACTACTATACAATGCCCATAATGCAATTAAGTTGGTGTTACTACTGTAAAAAGCAAAATGGGTAAAGGTACTTGGTGCTGTGTTGCTTTACTTTGTTTTACAACTGCGATTCTTTGGGTTGTTCCTTTTTGCAGCGAAAACTGTCAAGATAAAATCCATACTTGCCCAACATGTTAAGCTGAAGTTGGTAGACATAGATATAAAGTTTGCTGATAATTAAACCTATATTATAAAATAAAATATACTAATTTAATCAATAATTTAATTTTAAATAATAAAATGATATTATAATTTTGGAATTGTAAATTTAAATTTATTTACCCTTGTAATTAATTATTTTTCTTACCTAAAAATATATATAAAAAACTAAATCAATTTTTTAGTTTTCTACAAAAAAATATACAAAAAAGTTAAAGAAATATTTTACTATTTAAGTTTTTCATAGACAAATTAAAAAAGTTAATACCAAATTTATTAAAGTGAAAGTATACAAACTAAATTTTTCATTAAAAGAAATCTAAAATGTCTTCCATGGATAGCTAATGAATTTAAACTCAATTAAATACAAAGTTAAAACAATTAAATTTTGTGTAAAAAAATATTGTTAGAACTGATAAAATTAATTACTAAATTAATTTGAATCATTAATCAAATTTATTTGATCTATTTTCTGATCATTTAATTTCCAATAAGATATTTTCTCTTTTAACAAATTTTTATATGGGTTAAAAAATTGCTTAATAGAGAAGTTATGAATAAAATATTAAATTCAACTAGAACTCAGCATTAATTAATTTTCTAAAAATAAAGAATGTTAAAATTAGTAAAGTAAAATATTAGATTTTGTAATATATCATAAGAATATACTGCCATAAATCTTAATTTCAATAAAATATTTTTTAACTAAATATTTTATCCAGTGCTTATTATTTTAAGAAATTTATAAAATTTATTTTTTACACTTTTTTTAAGGATATTAAAAGAACAAGGTTAATAAAATGTAATGAATATTTATTTTATATTTATAATAGGTAAAAGTAGTTAAGTATTATTGATGTTATTTATTAATAAGAAAGTGATTATCTAATGTTATTAGTAGGATGATTGTTTTTACTTTATTTAAAAATTTTTTGAAACTTGATGGAGAATCTGCAATTTATTAACAATTTTAGAAATAATTTGTAGTAGATGCTTAGACTAATTTTTTCTGTACATAGGATTTATTTGGTAACCTAAATATATATATTCATTTAAGTATTAAGTACATAAAAGTAATAAATATATAAAGATCTTTTAAATATAAATGATGGAGAAACATATCATCCTCTTTCTTTCTTTCATTTTTTACGGAATAAATATTTGCCACATTTATCTTGTAGCTAAGCTTCTATAATAAGGATTCATAGCATGCTTTTCGTGTTATGTTGTCCTGTTTAGCATAGATAAAATTATTACTATTTCCTTGATATGTAAAGTAAATGGATTTAAAACTTCTAGTATGCTTTTCATAGTTATGGACTTCTTTTAAGTAGGATTTATTTACTACTGTTTTTCAAAGCTTGATTTTTCTTTTAACGGAATCATCTCCACAAAACTTTTTGGCAGAGTTTATCCTTTACTGCTCTTTGATATGATCTTTTTTTTTGCAATGAGGATTTTTGAAGATTATCCTATTATATCATATGAGCTAATGAATCTTGCTTACACTAACTTTGTTATTCTTGTAGTATTTACAGGGATCTTGAATTACTATGCTTTAGATGATAATTTAAAAATATGGTAGATTTTCTATTCTATTCTCTATTAAGCTGCTCACACCTTCAGTATTTCTTCATTAATGCTCCTAAATGATTCTTTTGGAGTTAATTTAGGAATTTATTACTTAGTATTTATTCTGATTAATATTCTATATTTTCGGTTTTAAAATGTAGAAAATAGTACTTTTGGAGTCTTATTTGGTGGCTTTTTGCATTTATGTATGAACAACTATTACTTTCTAAACAGAGACATAATAATTTTAGGTATTTTAAGTGTAACCATACCATTGAGCTTTTTCAACTTTTTAGCTTAATTAGGTCTTATTATAGCTTACTTTATTATTGATAGTATAAAGTAGAACTAGAATACTATTTTTAATGTCAATATAATTTTTGCATTTAGTGCTATTATCTTAGTACTTACAATTTAATGGAATTAATTTCTTAAAACGTTATTTAGAGAGAAAGTTTTTTGGATTTATAATATAAGCTAAATGGAACAATGCATCCTATTTTTAAATAAAAGACAAAAATATATCAAATAGTACTTTATTGCTAATAAGCTAACATATTAGCACGAGGTGACTGAAAAAGAGGATAAAAAATGCTTATATTACGAACTTTAAAAAGCTATTTCATTTAGTTTAAAAAATGGTATTGCTGTAACATTTTTGATATAGCGTACTCATTAATGTACCTGTAAATTAAAATTGCTAGCTATTGAAGAGGAATACATTTAGGATTAAGCTTTATAATGGATTTCAACCTAAATAGTACCAAAGGATGGCATAAGTATATTTTTAAGTAGATATAGCAATGGATTTTTATTTTCTCACGCAACATCCTCATTACTCTACCGCATGAAAAATGCAAAAATTAATTAATACAAATCAGAAATGCTTTAAATAATCAGTTATAGTAAATATATTAAGTTTCACATAACTATAAATCCATAGGTAGTTCTATATGAACTGTATGCAGCTGATTGAATGAAAGTTTCTCTTACTTATTATCAACAATCAATTAAATTAGACAAGCAAATACTATCCTTAATAATTAATAGATATTTAAAAAACATATTTATGTCAATTATATATTTCTTATTAAGCTTTATCATAAAATCAAATAATCCATCAACCCATGTATTTATAAGAGAAGTTTAAAATTTTTTTTTCAAGAAAGAAAAAATAATTTTGGTAATTTAAAATTTTAGCAATTTAAAAATTATTTTTCTAATTAATATAATTAATTTTATCAATAAAAAAAATTAAAAACAAAAACATTCAAATAAAATAATAAAAATGAATTTTAGAGATTTTATTTTTACTTTTTTTGGTTGATATTTGTTTAATTCAATATTTATTTTACAAATTTTTTAGATTATTAATTTTATATAATGAAATCTAACTAAATTTCCAAAAATTATTAATTTCTCCAAACAATAAGTAATTATTTTTTAACTAAGCAAAGTTTTATTCACTTTAGATAAATAGATAATTTACCTTATCATAGTTTTTTGAAATTTAAGCAATTAAAAAATATGTTCATTTTTTCTGATAAATATCATTAATAATTAGATAAATCAATTTTTATTTACTTTTTATTATTTAAATTCAACATATCAAAATTATTTTCATAATTTATAAATCATAGCAAATATAGATTAAAATTAAAAAGAATAATATATATATGGAGTAAAATCAAAGAGTTAGTGAAATATTAAAACTTTTAAGTGATACAAATGCCAAACGATGTTAATCTTCTAAGCAGGTTGGTTGGTTAAAATGGTTTTAAAGAAAAATAGCTTGATCAATTTTTCTATCAAAGATATTATTAAAATACGTTTAGTTTAACTACTTTTCTCAGTAAATATAATTGTGCTTTATAAAGTTTTTTACATAATTTTTTGCTATTAATTTTGTCTCTTTTAATTTTTGTATTTAAAATTTTAGATACAATTTTCTCTATTTAAAATAACTGTATTGGGATCAGTAAGCATTAATATAACTTTTGTGTTGAGTAATACATGTAAATCATAAAAAATAAACATATGAATAAAACATAATTAAATTATTATTCTTTCCTTCCTTCCTTCCAATTTTTATCTATACTCAATTTATTTATGAATTTCTTTTATTAAATGTGAGTAATAATAAATAAGATTAAATTATCAATAAATTTGGCTGATTTTCAAACTGAAAACTGAAAAGATTTCGTAGAAGTAGAATTAGAGCTTGTATCATAAACTTTAAACAACAACACAAGGTATTAATAAATATTTTTAATAATAAAATATTTATTCTAATTTCCTAGATTAAACCTACTATTTATTTAAATTTAAAAAAAGGCTATTTTCTCTTATTAAAGTATGTAAAGTAAGTCATGATTCAGCACTCTTATTAACATTGACAATCTCCAAAATTTAATTAATATATCTCCTGATCAGCATATTTTAATATAGTTAATTGCCTAATTAATAATAAGATTATTTAGAAAAAAATTTGATAAAGCAAACAATATTAAAAAAATTAATTTTCATATCTGCACTAATAACTTAGTTTAGAAAGCATAGACAAAAGATTTAGATAGATATACATAGATACATAGATATTAAGATGAATAACAATAATAATTATTAGTAATTACCTCCTGATGTAGGCTAGCCTCCTTTAATGTACCCACCATAACCCCCATAAATGTATCCTCCACCCCCTGCCGAATAAAATAATCCTCCAAATTTTTAAAACTATCCTCCTCCATAAAGTTATCCTCCTCCTCCACCATAGAATTATCCTCCTCCTCCACAATAGAATTATCCTCCTCCCCCACCATAGAATTATCCTCCTCCACCATAGGATTATCCTCCACCACCACCTTAAAACTATTCTCAACCCCCCTAAATGATTTAGCCTTAATAATAAGGATATATTCCTCCTTCTACTACAGCTTTTAACTAATAGCAATAGCAAATGTAAGGAATTTATCCTAGATCAGCTAATAATTAAATTGGTCCTAGCATAATTTAATGTCCATAATGCAATTAAGTTACAACTACAGTTGTAAATAGTTAACCAGGTAGTGGTACTTATTGCTGCGCTTGCTTACTATTTTGTACCTTCACAATTTGCTGCTTTATTCCTTTTTGCAACGATGACTGTTAAGATAAAATACATCATTGCGCTCACTGTGGTGCATTAGTTGGAAGACATGAGTATAAACCATGCTGATTGATATCTCTACCTATCATATGATATATAAAATATTCAAAACTGTTTATAAAAATAGTCAATATAATTTATCAATAATAAAAAATATTTAGATTTTTGTATAGTAAATTAATTTTTTAAAATTTTGTAAAAAAAAGCCATATCTCTAATATTTTAATCTAAATTCAATGTTTTTCATCAAATTAAAACGAAGCCAAAATGATTTAATATCTTTATTTGATGATAATTTGTTTAATCAAAAGTAAAAATTAAGACTTTTGATATACTCTTATTTTTATTTAGTTATTGATTAGATTTTCAGCAGAAATTTTTTATAAGCAGGATATTTAATATGTAAATTTTTTTTTTCAAAGTCTTAAATTTAAAATCACTTAAAAAGGTATAATAGTTCTAAGATTTGATATTAAAAATCGATGAATTATTCTTTAGATTTAATTTTAGCAGATAAAATTAAATGATAAAAAAATACCATTAAATTAAAAGAAACAATTTAATTAATAGATTATTGATTAAGAGGACAAATTTATAAATTAACTAATGTTAAATTAATTTAGAAAAGTAAAAATATATTCTAACTTATTTTTTAAATGATAAAGGTTAAAATTTTTTTAATTGCTATTATAAATAAAATAAATTTATTAATTTTTTACTAGAAACTACTTTCCAACAATTAATAATAGTGAGGAATTTTAATAGAAAAAAAAGTAAAATGTTTTTATTTAAAATTTTATTAATAATTTCTTTTGTTTGTTAGTTGATTTGAAAAATATATATTATATCTAAAATTATTAAAAAAATTGTTAGCCTTGCAATTAGTAGGTACATAATAATTTTTATATCTTATAAATTCTAATAATTTTATTAGTTATGAAGATTATATTCAAATTAATGATACATAAATCTCTTCTCTCTCAATTTTGAAATTTTATTTAAGTCTAGATATTCCTATCTATTTATATACTTGTAGAATCTAAATTATTAGTTTATTTCTATTGATAAGTTGATATATTTCTTACTCTTTTCTAGATATGTATCTTCAAATTGACCTTAAGATGAACTTTTCTTTTCATAATTTATTTTTTAAAAACATCAATGAAGTTATTAAAAGATTTAAGTTGGTACAATCAGTGGTTTACATAAATTATTATTTTTGAAAAAAAAATATTAAAAAAAATTTTTTTAAAATATTGAATTCTAATAAAAAAACAATATAAAAGTTGACTGATTGATATATAAGTTACTTACATAATTAATTTTCAATTAAATTTGATGTATTACTTTATGTAAACTATCTTTATTTTATTATAATAAAATAGTTCAATCAACTTAGAAGAATGTACATCCTCTGCATGCATTTTAGTTTTGTGACAAAACAATTAGGGCGTTATCAGAAGTATCAGATATTGATGCTGTTGATTATACTGTCATGTAATAATTTGAACCCATCAATTTTAAATATTAGAATCCTTATCCTATTTCATCTATTTCAAATAAAGTCAAAGAATCTAATGCGCAATTCTTCAAGACTAAAGGTTAACCATCTTAAGCAACACTTACTCCTAAGCAGTAATTATAATTACTTGTCTAAATTTAGTAGATATTTTGGTTATTGGTAGGTCTAGTTACTGTATACATTTATTAGTTACTGGTTGTTGAATTATTAGTTAATTAGAAAACTTTTAAAGTGTTTTGATCAAATGAAACGAATTTTCCACTCTTTGTATTCATAATTTTGCTTTATCCTACATATGGATCAGAGGATTAATTCACATAACCTGAGCATGAATTTAAAGCAGTTGAGAATTGTAATCTATCATAGCAGTATTAACCAATGTAATTTTACATAGCATTGACAACATATGCCATAGTTGTGGAATTTAAAGGAATATCTGCGTTATTCTAATATTGAGAGATGAATGTGTAGATAGGAGTGAGTTCTGTTTTAATTGGCATAGGAGTGTCAAGTGTTTGAGTAGCCCATTAAGCAGCATCAAGATTAGCATTTGGAGTAGCACCCAGTGAATAAGAAGACCAACTCTTTAACGATTATTGGAAACTATTGAGTTATTGTTAAGCATAACTGGTAGATACTTTACCTTTAACTCCATAAAGTGAAGCTCCAACTGATGCATCAAAACCAAGTGAAGACTATTATTAGACAGATGAAGAACTCATTTTGAATTGATAGCCGAAGAGAGAACCAAGTCTGACAGATGTAGCTACGTGAGTTCCCCATGAATCAAAGAAATCATAATAGTATTCTTTCTCGTTAGTGTAATTTGAGTAAGAATATAATTATTGAATTTTATCTACTAGCTAAAGAGAGAGCAAAGGTAGAGAGTTGATATCATTGTAAAAACTGAGATCAAAAGCAGTACAAGTAGCGTGTGATTGAATACATTGAGTGTCCTTTTGGGAAAGAGTATCTTTCATCTATTTGAAGTCAGCGCTGGCCGAAAATGAGGCAGAAAATACACTTCCTTTTCCACTAACTTTTGCAGATAAGCTATTTTAGTAATCAGTTAGGGTAGAGACTTACTTTGAAGAAAAAGTAATCAAACAGCTCTTTTCAATATTTACTCTGACTCCATCTGGAATGAAGTAGGCTCTATCAGGACTAGCTGCATCCCAAAGGTTATCTTGATAAAGTAAATCAACTGCAGGGACATTTCTGAAACCAGGATCTATTCCGCTAGTACTTAAAGGGTTACCTTAGAAGATATTATATCCTTATCCTAGATAGGAAACATTAGGGATATATTTGATCTAACCTGGAGAGATACTTTGCTTCCAAGATATGGTTTAATCAGATTACTAGGCACAAATTATTTGAAGTACCAAAAGTAAACAAATTGTAAATTTTGTTTTGAAAATGTTCATTTTTTAATTAGTTTTAGATTTTTGATTTGTATTTTTATGTTTTTGTTTATTAAATTTTAGTTATTGTTTAAAACTTGCTTTTAATTAAAAGTAGAAGGCTAATTCATTTATGCTAATTAATACAAATAGATATAAGTCTGAAACTGAAATTTATGAGCTTATATTTTGTCGATCAAATCTTACATTATTAATTTAATTTCGTAAAGGGGTGAGGTATTTTTTTATTATTAATATTTTTTTAAATAATTAATAGAGTAGATTAATTTATAAATATAAAAAGTTATTTACAAAATATTTTTGAACAATTAAAAAAATTATTCAAATAAAAATTATTTTAATTCATTTTTAATTTTCGTTTGAAAATTTTATGTTTTTTAGACTTCTTGATAATGTTATAAAACATAATACTGCGAGATGTCTATTTTTATGCTTATATAAATTAATAAGAATATTAAGCATATAAAAAATATGTCGGATTGTAAAAATTGATTTTTGATTGAATGTAGAATGTATTTTAATTACTTTTAATATCGATTTTGATATTGAGTAGGTATGTATATTTTTACTTAGTGTCTAAATTAATTCGCACAAAAAACTGTTAATCATGTAAGAAAAATATGTTGGATTGTAAAATTTAATTTCTTCTTGAATGCTTTTTTTGGAATTAATTTTAATTACTTTCGATATTGAAAAATGTCTATTTTTGCTTATCATCAAAATTAATTAGTATAAAAAGTTAGCTATGTAAGAAATATGTGTTGAAATGTAAAATTTAATTTTCATTTGAATGCTAAAATTTGGACCAATTATTAAATCAAACTCCTCAAAGTTATAAATTTTGATAATGTGATTTGTCTATTTTACTTAATATCAAAATTAATTAGCTTGAACAGTGAATCATGTAAGAAAAATATGTTAAATTGTAAATTAAAGATATTTTGTCTATTTTTTCTTAGTTAAATATCAACTTTTTAACTTTGTAAGATTTTATAAAATTTTAATCAAAACAAAAAACTCAATTAAACCAATCAAATTAAATGAAACTCTAAAAAATTAAAAGTATCTTACTTCTACTCTTGATTGCCTCTTGCATAAACTGCGATGATTTAAGAGGAACCCTTTAATGGAATGATAGCGTTGACACTAGCTCAATTAAATATATTCCAAACGTGCAATATCTTGGATAAGGATACAATATCTTCACTTCAAACCCTCACTCATCTTAAGGTCTTGATCCTGGCTATTAAAATGTTGCAGCTATCAATTTAACATATGCCAATAATTTATGGTAAAATGTTAATCCTGAAAGAAATTACTTTGTTCCAAATGGTGTTATGCTATCTTAACAAAAAAGCTGCACAATGTCTTTCTCTGCAAAATAGGTTACTTCTATGATTGACTATACAAGCAGTTTAGAAGCATCAGTTTCTATCAGAGGAACCTTTTTTGGAGGTAGATTTAGAGCCAGTGTAGATTATTAGAATATGCAAAATGATATGGCTAGTGGCACTTATCAATATATTGTCTCCAATTCAAGATGTTCAGTCTTCTAATTAGATTTAATTGATTCTCCTACTTATCACCCTCAATTTTCCAACGATATCTTGCTTAATTTACAATAATTAGCTTTAAATCAAAATAATGCAAATAATACAGAAGCAAATGCTTATTACGATTTCTTTGATAACTGGGGCACCCATGTAGTTACTTCAGTTGATCTTGGCTCTCTTTTCGGTTACAAATTCAAGATGCTTAAGACTGATGTTCAAAGTATGCAAAATCAAGGTATTGATGTTTCAGCAAGTGCAACATTATTCAATGTGAGAGGTAGAACTAATACTCAGTTAGAATAGAATAGCTTGAATTCTTTTAGTTAATCTATTTAAAGCTGGACTTCATACTCAATTGGAGCTACTCCTGATTTAAACAACGATCCTGCAAATTGGGCTACTTAAACTCTCACAAAACCTATGCCAATTAAGAGTTCAATTACTCCTTATCACGAAGCTCTAAAAATCTTCACATAAGGCGGTAATAACATTTTATCAAGCACTCAAATATTACAACTTTACTCTAAACTAAGAATGTATGCTAACTCATATTGCTAAAATAGATTATTAGCAAATGGTTAAGTCGATTATTGCAAGGGTAATACTTAGGATAATTATAATCTTAGTTAATTAGCTTAAACAGTTACTTATTATGATGTTTCTCTATTAGATATCACAAGAACTTAAATATCAGCTTATTACTAGAATTAAACTACATTCAACACCTAACTCTAGCTTTCTCCTATTGAGAGTACTATTGGATACAGATTCTTCTTTAAGTACAATAACCAAATTTTAAATGGCGTAACTACTTACTATGTTAGCATAGTTGCTACTACTGGTAATAGTTTTTGTTTGGTAGGAAATCCAACTTTAGGAGAACCAGCAACAATCAGCAGTTGCCCTTTAAACGATAACGCTACTTTCTAGTACGTGGCATATGATGATAACATATTTAGCTTGAGATTTAAGAGTGATCCTACTAAATGTTTAGGGTTCGATAGCTAAGGAATACTGAGAACAATGGTAACTGATTCATGTTTCGAATGCTAGGTTATAGAGCTAATTTAAAACACTTAATTAAAAGCTAAAAATTGATTATGAATTATAATTTGTATTTCATTTATAGATTACATGTTTTTAGTATCAATTTAGCTTGGTCATATTATATATTAATCATAAATTTCTATAATATTTAATGTTTCTGATTTAAATTTTAAATATTTCACTTTTATATTAATATTCTCTTACATAATAGATAAATAATATTAATTAAATATAATTGGATTATCATTTTTATCTGATAAATTACATTATTTTAATTTTATAAAATAATAATATGAATCCTTACATTATAGCAAATAATAATGTAATTCCTTATTTACTATGAATTTATATATAATATTAAATAATGTAAATCCTTGTATTTTTCTATAAAATTATAATAAAATTAGAAAGAGCATTTTTTGATTAATTTTCGAATAGGTTATATTATATTAATTAATATGTTCAATAATTCCTATATTAACTCCGTTGAAATTTCTTCAGTATATTTTTCTTATAAAATGTAAAAATTATTTCTAGTTTAAATTTGCATATAAATTAGAGTTTTAATTGAAATGAAAACCAAAATAGATATATTTTAAAATAAATTAATAAATATTTCATAGAAAGCGAAGCTAAAACTAAAAAAAAATCATTAAATTTATGCTAATATTAATATATTATATTTAATCCAATTTATGTTAATTAATTATTATGTTAAATACTTAAAATAAGAGTTGGCTTGATTATAAGAATTTATTTTGTTATTTTATTTAAAACCTAGATTAGCGATAAAATTTATTATGGATAATAATGAGATATGCTATGTCTTTATGATTAATTTAGTAAAAAGATAAAAATGTTTCAGTTTCAAAAATAAAGTATATTAATATATTGTTTTAAGTAAATTTAAATCAATTATATTTCACAAGAAATATAATTTATTGCTTGATTGTAAGAAATTTTTGGGTAATTGTAAATAATATTCTGGCGTTGATTAAAAGATCTTTCTTTCTATTCTAATAATCAATTAATATCTTAAATGCGTTATAAAAAACTATCTTGAAACAAAAAAAATTTTATAAGTTGCCATTTAAAATTATGCCCAACTAATATTGTACCGCATTTAAACATCACATCAGTAAAGATAATGCAATTCAATTTTACAACTTTTTAGCGTCATTTTTATTTTAGAAATACATTTAATTATATAAATTAATTACAAATATTATTAAATATGAAAAGTAGATATATTTATTTGTGTTATTTTAATTAATTAAAAACAATAAAATTCTTTTTTCTTTTTCTATTTATTGTGCTTGCTTTTTTTGTTCTTTCTTTGTTAATTTATTTAGCTGATCCTTTTATTTTCAAATTTTTTACTTTTATTATTAATTAATTAATCTTATTATTTCATCTTTTTTCTTCATTTTTTCCTTCGAATTAACTATTTTATGATATATTTTTTCTTCAATATTTAAAAAGTGGTAATTAAATTGGTGACGAAGGTGCATCAGGCTTAGGTTCTGGTTTAGCAAATTGCATTAATCTCTCAAATTTGACACTTAACCTTGTGTAAAAACAGTTTATTTGTTTTGGATTGTGATATTTTTAATTATAAAAACTAATTAAAAACAAGAAAGCTCTTTTTTCTTTTTGTTTTTATTGTGCTTGCTTTTTTTTGTTCTTTCTTTGTTAATTTAATTAGCTCATCCTTTTATTTTCAAATTTTTTACTTTTATTATTAATTAATTAATCTTATTATTTCATATTTTTTCTTCATTTTTTCCTTCGAATTAACTATTTTATGATATATTTTTTCTTCAATATTTAAAAAGAATAAATTAAATTGGTGGAATGGGTGCATCAGGCTTAGGTTCTGGTTTAGCAAATTGCATTAATCTCTCAAATTTGACACTTAACCTTGTGTAAAAACAGTTTATTTGTTTTGGATTGTGATATTTTTAATTATAAAAACTAATTAAAAACAAGAAAGCTCTTTTTTCTTTTTATTTTTATTGCGCTTGCTTTTTTTTGTTCTTTCTTTGTTAATTTATTTAGCTCATCCTTTTATTTTCAAATTTTTTACTTTTATTATTAATTAATTAATCTTATTATTTCATCTTTTTTCTTCATTTTTTCCTTCGAATTAACTATTTTATGATATATTTTTTCTTCAATATTTAAAAAGTGGTAATTAAATTGGTGACGAAGGTGCATCAGGCTTAGGTTCTGGTTTAGCAAATTGCATTAATCTCTCAAATTTGACACTTAACCTTGTGTAAAAACAGTTTATTTGTTTTGGATTGTGATATTTTTAATTATAAAAACTAATTAAAAACAAGAAAGCTCTTTTTTCTTTTTGTTTTTATTGTGCTTGCTTTTTTTTGTTCTTTCTTTGTTAATTTAATTAGCTCATCCTTTTATTTTCAAATTTTTTACTTTTATTATTAATTAATTAATCTTATTATTTCATATTTTTTCTTCATTTTTTCCTTCGAATTAACTATTTTATGATATATTTTTTCTTCAATATTTAAAAAGAATAAATTAAATTGGTGGAATGGGTGCATCAGGCTTAGGTTCTGGTTTAGCAAATTGCATTAATCTCTCAAATTTGACACTTAACCTTGTGTAAAAACAGTTTATTTGTTTTGGATTGTGATATTTTTAATTATAAAAACTAATTAAAAACAAGAAAGCTCTTTTTTCTTTTTATTTTTATTGCGCTTGTTTTTTTTTGTTCTTTCTTTGTTAATTTAATTAGCTCATCCTTTTATTTTCAAATTTTTTACTTTTACTATTAATTAATTAATCTTATTATTTCATCTTTTTTCTTCATTTTTTCCTTCGAATTAACTATTTTATGATATATTTTTTCTTCAATATTTAAAAAGTGGTAATTAAATTGGTGACGAAGGTGCATCAGGCTTAGGTTCTGGTTTAGCAAATTGCATTAATCTCTCAAATTTGACACTTAACCTTGTGTAAAAACAGTTTATTTGTTTTGGATTGTGATATTTTTAATTATAAAAACTAATTAAAAACAAGAAAGCTCTTTTTTCTTTTTGTTTTTATTGTGCTTGCTTTTTTTTGTTCTTTCTTTGTTAATTTAATTAGCTCATCCTTTTATTTTCAAATTTTTTACTTTTATTATTAATTAATTAATCTTATTATTTCATCTTTTTTCTTCATTTTTTCCTTCGAATTAACTATTTTATGATATATTTTTTTCAATATTTAAAAAGTTATAATTATATTGGTGCAATGGGTGCATCAGGCTTAGGTTCTGGTTTAGCAAATTGCATTAATCTCTCAAATTTGACACTTAACCTTTAGTAAAAACAGTTTATTTGTTTTGGATTGTGATATTTTTAATTATAAAAACTAATTAAAAACAAGAAAGCTCTTTTTTCTTTTTATTTTTATTGCGCTTGCTTTTTTTT